ATTCTATATTAAGCGAGTTAAGTTTCTAGAGTTTATTATATTTATCGAAGATATCGCGATAGATTAAAAATATATCGCTATTATTAAGAAGTAGTTAAAATTAAAAAGTTATTAAAATATATAAGTCTTTTTAGACTTTATTAATTTCTATTAATAATTTATCTATAGCTATTTTAGTATAATAGCGTTATTTACTAACTTACTTAAAGAAAGTAAAAATAATAAAAAATCTAAATCGTTAGAGTAAATAGATAACGCTAAGTAAGCGTTTTAATAGCTTCGAAATACTTTTATAACCGCGCTATTTCTATATTATTACGATTTAAATTTAAAGCTATATCTTAAGATCGACGCTTTTAACTTCGATATAAAGATTATACTTTTATAATTAAATAAGAATAACTATTAATAATTAGTAATATTCTAATCTAGAAAAATAATTTCTATAAAGTAAAACTATAAGATCTATAATTAAGAGCTACTCGCTATTATAGCGTCTATAAAGTAATAACGTTACTATCTAAAAGATAATACGTTTTATATTAAGATTCTAACGAATTATAATAATCTTAAAGACTTTATAAAGTAGAAGAAATTAAACTTTAGATAAGCTCGTTAAGCGCTAAAGTTAGCTATTTATAACTTTAAGATTTTTTATTAAATAGATAAATTAAACTCTATCGATTCGCTATCGCGGCGTCTTAATTATAAAAGAATTTCGTTATTAAATATTAAACTTTTATCGATATTATAAAATAAGCTTATACTTTAAACTAGCGGTAAGTAGTTATAAAGAAATAAGAAGATTATAGCGGCCATAGCGCCTATATTTCGTATTATCGACGTTTAGATAATTATTTCTAGAAGAAAGTCTAAGATCGTATAAGAGATTACTTATAACGTATTTTAAAGATTAATAAAAATATTAATTTAAGATTTATAAGTCTATAATAATTAAATAAACTCTTTTTAAATTAATATTAATAAGTTAGCGATTAAGCGTCGCGTATATAGTTAAGTATAGATCTTAGACTTCGAGAAATTATTAAGATATAATAATCGCCTTTATATCTCTAGAGATAAGATCTTAAGAAAAGAGCTTATTAGTAAATATTATAATAATTTATTATTAAAATACTTTAGCGCTATAAAGACGTATAAGCTACTTATTTATAAATATTATTAAAATAAAAGTCTAAAGTAAGTTATCGACTATATTAAGATATATAATATTTATTAGCGAATTAAAGCTTCGCGATATCGCCTATATAGCGAATTAAGCTCGCTTTCTATCGCTATTAAGCTATAAAAGAAAATTTCTATAAACTTTATTATCGACTTATTAGCGAGTAAGTATAAGAATATTATCTATAATACTATTCTAGTTATAGTAAATCGATTTATAAAAATAATAAGATATATTTCTATATCTATTATAATCGATATCGCGTAACTAATAAAAGTATTTTATTTTAAAATAGTATATCGCTATAATATATTAAACGATATTATTAATAATAGAGACTCTATATTTATTAATAGCTTCTAATTCGCTATTTACTTTTATTTTAAAATTAAGCGATATCTAAGTATCGCCTTTTACTTATAAATCGATAAATAGATTAAGCGATAAAATTAGATACTAGAATACTTCTTACGCGTATTCGCTAATAATAAGTAAAATGTTTAGATAAAATAACTATTAATAATAGAGTTCGCTTATATAAATAGTTAATATTCCTTTATTAAAACGATATCGTTCTTTCTAATATATAAATATTATTCTAAAATTCGTTAAAAGATTAAGAACGACTTTATTAAGAGGGAGATATTCGCTATAAATAATAGAATAAAGAAGTTATAAGTATTAAGAAATAAGATAGTAGAGCGTTTTTATAGCGCTATTACGACTTAATTTAAGTATTATAATAAAATATATTAGTCTTAAAGCTATAAGATAGATAATTTAATAATATTAGCGATTAAGAATCTAAAGTAGAAATATTTAAATAAGAAGTTATCTTATAAATTTATAGAATTATTTTAAATTATAGATAAGATAAGAGCGTAGATATATTATCTACTTCTATTCTCGATATATAAAATTTATAATATCTTTTATATATCGTTATTTAAGTCTTATTATCTTCGCGATTATAATAATATAGCGAAAGCCTTTATATAAGCCCTCGACCTTATTAATAATAATAAGCTTTAAAAGATTAAAGAAATTATTAATAAGATTAAGTATAAGAAAGATGTTTAATATAAAGTTAAATAAACTAATTAAGACGAAGAGTATAATTAATAACTATTAGATAATAAACTTATTAATATTAGCGAGCTAATTTAAGTCTATAAGTAGACGAGTAGTAAGCGAAAGTATTAAGTAATAAATAATAAGTCTCTTATTATTAAAGAGCTTAATTAATTATATAAATTAATGGCGAGTAAGTAAAGGTAATAAAATAAGATATAATTATCGATTAGATTAGATATATTTCTAGATAATACTTATACTACGCGCGTACTTCTCTATACTTACTACTATTAAGATATAAATTAATAAAATAATTATATTATTTAACTATCTACTAAACTCTACTATAAAGAAAGTTTATTATATTAAAGTATATACTATTAATATAGACGTATTTTTATCTAGAGTAGCTATTAAAGAACTATCTAAAAATCTTACGCTAGCGCTATTATTAAAAAAAGATCGTTATTTAAATATTCTTCGCTATCTTAGCGTTAGATATCGAATTAAGTTTATTAATCTAGTTCTCTAACGAGAAGATAATTAAAGTATAGTCTTCGAGTTAATATTTATCGACGTTCGTTATATATCGATAAAGGCTCTTAAGCTTCTTCTTTAGTAACTCGTTTATTTTCTTTAATTTCTCTATACGCTTATATATCGCTATAAGCTAGTCTTAAAGATCTATAATTATAATAAAGACGATCGAAGTTATCGCTATTATATATTTCTATAATTTATATTATTAAATAATCTTCTTATTAAGCTTAGCTCGTTAATAAGATAGCTTTTAAGATTATTTAGCGCGGCGATAGCGTTATATTAATTTTCTTATCTACGTTTAAAGATATAGAGGAATTTTAATATAGCGATTAATATCGCGTCTTTCGATCTTATAGTTATTATAGAGAGAAGACTTATCTTAAATATATAAATCGTTATCTTAATAAAAGTAAGTTCTATATAATAAATTAGATATTAGAACTTATTAATAATTATATATATAAAGCGATAATAATAGAAATAGTTAAGGGTTAGTAGTCGCGCCTATAAGACGACTATATACTTACTATTAAAGTTATTATTATTATTAAAAAAGAATATTATAAAATTATTAGTCTACGTATTGACGCGATTAATAATAATAAGATACTTATAATAAAGAGAAGTAGACTACTAATATAATAAGATATACTATACTTATATTAGTATTAATATTAACGTTATAACGCTAGAGTAAGTACTTATAAGAGAGGCGTTAGAAGTTATAAAGAATAAAAATAAATAATTTAAAAGAGGTTTTTATATTCTTTATTATAGCGCTAATATTAACGAATAGTACTTAGTAACGTAGATAGTAGCGACGCGATAATATTTCGCTATTATCTATAGAACCGCGTCGCCTAGCTATTATTATTATTTCTACTATTATTATTAATTAATAATCGAGGGTATTATCGCGAACGCGTCGCTCTATTAATTACTTTCTTCGAATTTCTATAATAAAGATTATTATTACGTTACTTCGCTATAGACGTAATACGCTATAAAAACGATATTATCTATAGAAAAACTCTTCTCTCTTCTTTTATCTATTAGATTTTTGAGATTTTATTATAAATTTTTAAATCTAATATTATTCGCTATAGAGGCTATTAACTAGCGCTATAAAAACGTTAATACTAAGCGCGTTAATTTATTATAAATTATTATTAATTAATATTATAAAAGCGATATTATTCTCGAAGATAGTATTAATATTATTATATAATATATTAGTTACGCGCCTACGGCGCGTAAGGGTTAATTCTATCGCGTTATTAAAACGATATTATAATCTTAATAAATCGACTCTTTTCTCTTATTTCTCTATTAGAGTTTAAAGGTTTTTTAATAAGCGTTCTATTTTTACTTAAGCGTTTAAGAATTAAGGCCTAGAAGAAAAGATAATTATTAGAATTAATACGTTATAGGCCTTAGCGCTACTTACGCTAAGGCGTCGATATCGTATATACTATATTAGAGTTTCTTTTAGAGTTTAGTTTTAATAATATATCTTATATATCTAGAGACTTAGCGGATATAGATCTACTTCGTATATCTCGAAGTTTTAGTATTTCTTAGAGATTAGTTCTTAATAACTAATTTATATATTTTATCTAAGACTATTTAGATTTTAAATTTATTATTTATTCTTTTTATAAATACTATTACCGCCTTAAGAATAATAACTACTTCGTTTATTAATAATTTCTAGCCTTTATTTATTATTTTTAATATAATATTTATTAACAACTTTAGTATAAATACGTACTTCTTAAAATCGTAATTACTATAATTTCATTAAGATTAACTAGTCTTATTCGATATAGTTATAGAGATATAAGCGTTCTCTAAAATCAATTAAAGAGGTATTAATCTTACTAAGTGCTTTGAATACGTATATCTACTTTCTATAGCTTAATAATATAGCATGAGCGTTGTGCGAAAGTTTGGCTTCGACGGAGTTGCGCTTCGGGTGGTTCCGTGGTTAGCGGAAGGCGCTAATCCGAAGGGCCTTAGCGCGCTTGGCACTATTGAGGGACTTAGGCAACTTTCCTACATCCATAAAGTACTCAAAGACTTCTACTCTTGTCCAACAGCAGTACCTGGAACAGAGATAGCTGAACCGTGGTAGTTTGTAGCCAGCAGCCGGGTAGCGTCAGCCTATCAGGCCATTGCTTTCTCCACATGTAGTGTTTCACGCCATGCATTTAATCCTATCAACGTTCTCTAATGCACATGAATCTGCATTCCAAGAGAAAGCACCTTTCATGTACGACCCAAACGCTTTTCCAAAGCCTTTCTTCTCCTTCACAAACAGCTTAGGCGGTCCCACGTTGTTCTGCTGGAGTATTGCCGCTAGTTGCGGCGAATCGAAACCATCTTGGTTATACTGCAGTCGCTGTATCCCAGTATCGTATCCATGCTTCCCAACGAAAATAGCCAGGACGTGGGCGGCTTTTTTCACCATGACCTGAGCCGTGGCGCCAATGCAAAATGAGCCGTACATGCGGCTGAGCGAGGCTATTCTTGTCGAGAGACGCATCGTACATGTCTTTCACATCTTTCACGTCTTGCTGCAACGCCACGTAGATCAGGGAGAGGAGTTTATGGAGGCGCTGGTGCATTGCCAACTAACCAAAGAGCAGCCGATGGCGTCCGTCGTCACCAAGTGTCTCAGAGGTCATAAGGTCCTCTGTCAAGCGGCGTATGAGCTCAAGCGCGATATTCGTCGATACGGAAGCGCTCAAGAGACCGATGGAATTGGCATTGTACTGCGCCCATGTTTTTAGACTCACAAATGAAAGCTATACGGGTGCCTTGTTGACATGGTTGAGGCGCCATCTCTGCTACCGAAAAATGATATTTGAAGCGCGTTAATCCACACAAAGGACAGGAATCTTTGGTAGCCAGTCATCATATTGTCTTTAAGCAGTAGTGCTGCCATCCAAAGCGGGTATACCAACATTTTTCCTTCCAAAGGCAGTTGGCGAGCCTCTCCTGGAAAAGTCTATACCATCAACAAGCTTGGGTAGATGAAGCGGTGCCTCCAAACTTTAGCGACATTTTCCTGCAATTTGAAGATAGTAAAAGACCCAAACCATTTGCTACCAGTGCTAGTTTATTGGCCTGACAGAGACAATGTAATCGCGAGAAGAAGGCAACAACCTGGCGAGCCAAATCGAGTTTTGCTTCTTGAAGTACTCGCAATCACACCAACATGCAACTACTCACAAGTATCCCATGGGCTGGCTTCTTGTAAAAGTCAGGGGTATAAGCCCAGCTGCCAGCACACTTTAACTCCACACGAAAACTGCTAGCCGATGGGTTATCTAAGCCCTGCATACTTTCTACGTTTATGAATCGGCATCAGAAAGCTGGACGAAGGGGGATATAGCAGCAAGCTACAGGAGCAAAGAATGATGGTCAAGCAGGATGTTCTAGGGTCTGTTACAACGCAATCAGCAGCAAACGTGCCACATGCCACATTCAGGCAAATCCGGATCTTGTGGCCCTTAGCCATTGGAGTCTGTACCTTGTTCTTTGGTATGTACACGGACAAGGTTGGCTATCGTTCGTAGCAAGATCTCTTTCTTGCAGGACCGAGTCTGAATAAGTGATCGCGCTTCTATCCTTTTTATGTGTTTCTGTGTGGAGAACCTGGACTGTTGAACTTTTTCCCGATCTCATGGATTGGTGAAGCTTCATTGAAACCTTTGCGAGATAACAAGTAGATTACTCAGTTGCCGCTCTACAGGAGGCAAAAGCAGGCTATTGACGATATGTTCTGAGTTTGTTTGTCTCTCAATTGTCCTTACTTACATCGGATTGATAGATAGGTGGCTTTTGATCTTTTCGTATAATAAGCGGCCGCAGGAAAACTTCGACCAGCTAGGCCCAGGAACTAGCAGGGCCATACCACTTGAGTAACGCAACATATCGGAAGTTATTAGGCCTATATTTATATAACTATGAGAATCTTGGACAAGAGTGACAGAGCGATGAAAGAAGTTTGCCCGCCAAGTCTTGGCTCAGCCCTATGGATAACTTATCGGTTGGCCAATGACGCTCCTGGTGCACCACCAAAGCACCTACACAGTCTGGCTTCACAAAGAACTTTCCAAAGGCTCAGCTTTCTTGTGTCAGCTAACCGGTCGTTTTTGGAACTTAGGCGATCAGGTCATCGACGAATTTGGTCTCAAGCAGCGTATGTAAGGCCTACAACACCCAGGAGCTGGGCAGGGCGGGCTTCCGAATGTCAAAAGCGGCCATTCCATCAGACACACGGAGCTCCGAAAGTGTGCCAGAGCTCGGCCATGGAGGTTGAGAATGGTAGAAATGGTCAGGATGATTTGCGACTGGTCAATAGGCTGAATGAAAGTAGGAGTCCGTACGTAAGTCCTACTCTGTCGCTTCGAGGCCAACGATGAGAACACTCAAGCTGAGAGGCTTCTCGCATAGGTCCGAGGACACAGGACCAACCCAGTAGCATGGCAGATGTGGGGCCCTGAAGCTTTGAGCTTGGCTAAGAAGCACAATCGCCTACTTTTCGTGAGCATTGGATATGCTGCATGCCATTGTACGTCAGAGCTATCATTCTAACACATCTTCGTCTCCAAGAGCTTTCCTTATCATGATTTATCAGGGTGCCACGTCATGGAACGCGAATCTTTTTGCTCTCCAGACGTCGCTCAACTTCTCAATACCCACTTCATCCCCATCAAGATCGACCGTGAAGAACGACCAGATGTCGATGCTATCTACATGAATTACGTTCAAGCTACAACCGGGTCTGGAGGATGGCCACTCAATGTTTTTATTACACCGGATCTCGAGCCAGTTTTTGGTGGAACATATTGGCCTGGTTCAAACAGTTCAATGACAGCAGTCGGCACAGCTGTTGCCGGGACTGTAGGCTTCGTGGATATACTGGAAAAAATGAGAGATGTCTGGACTCAGCAAGAGGGCCGATGCCGAGAAAGCGCCAAGGACATCACGAGGCAACTGAGAGAATTTGCAGAAGAAGGCGTGCATAGTCATCAGATGGGAGAGAAAGGCGGAGGTGAAGGACTAGAGGTTGAATTACTGGAAGAGGCGTTTCAGCACTTTAGGAAGAAGTACGACAAAATCAATGGAGGTTTCTCGACTGCGCCAAAATTCCCAACGCCGGTGAATCTCAGCTTTCTACTGAGGCTCGGACAGTGGCCGCAGACAGTAAAGGATGTTGTGGGCGAAACAGAGTGCCAAAATGCCTCGAGTATGGCTGTACACACCCTTCGAAACATGGCACGTGGAGGGATCAGAGATCAAATTGGCTACGGTTTTGCGAGGTATTCCGTGACCAAAGACTGGTCGCTTCCACATTTTGAGAAAATGCTGTACGATCAAGCGCAACTTTTAGATGTCTATCTCGACGCGTTCCTGAGCACTCGAGATCCTGAGATGCTCGGCGCTGTGTACGATATTGCAACCTACCTCACAAGCCCACCAATGGGTGCTCCGACTGGGGGCTTTTTCTCAGCAGAAGACGCCGATTCTTACCCAACAAAAAGCGACACTGATAAACGAGAAGGGGCTTATTACGTCTGGTCTCTCAAAGAGTTCCATGACGTTCTGGGTGAGAAGGATGGGGACATCTGTGCTCGATTTTACGGTGTCACGGCTGATGGCAACGTCGCATCTCGGAACGATCCCCACGATGAATTTATAAGTCAAAACGTCTTGAATGTTACCACCACTCCCAGTGCATTGGCCAAGAAATTGGGGATTCCCGAGGCCTCGATCACCCAAACCCTCAAATCAGGGCGGCAGAAGCTCCGCGAACACAGGGAGAATCATCGGCCACGCCCCGCCCTCGACGACAAGATCATCGTCTGCTGGAATGGTCTCGCAATCGGTGCGTTATCTCGCACCTCTGCCGCTTTACGGTCCATCGACCCTACCAAAGCCTCAGAATGCCTGGAAGCCGCCATCTCTGCTGTCGTCTTCATCAGAAAAGAGCTCTTTGACCCTGACACTAAGACCCTGTACCGGGTCTACCGGGAAGGCCGAGGCTCTACACCGGGTTTGTGTGATGACTATGCTTTCTTCATTCACGGTCTCATTGATCTATATGAAACCACATTTGACGACTCATATTTACAGTTTGCAGATGTACTGCAGAAACGACAAAACGAGTTATTCACCTCTTCGGATTCTCCAGGCTTCTACTCCACACCATCTCCGCATCCACCAGATCTCCTCATGAGATTGAAAAGCGGCATGGATGCCGCTGAGCCATCATCCAACAATATCAGTGCCCGGAATCTCTACCGCTTGAGCAGCATGCTTGACGACGCCTCCTATTTCAAGAAGGCGAAAGAGACGGTCGAAGCGTTTGAGGCCGAGGTCGAGCAATTTCCATTCACCTTTTCAGGCATGTTGGGGAGCATCGTCATGGGTCACTCAGGCTTGAAGGGCGTTGTACTTACAGGAGAAAATGACGAGATGCTGAAGCGATTGAGGCAGACCGTAAGGCCCAACAGTACTGTGGTTGCGCTTGGAAAGAGTAAGGGCGCGTGGTTGAGGGAGCGTAATGAGCTTCTCAAGCAGATGGATGCAGAGAAAGATGGTGTCATGGTCTGCGAGGGTGGTGCTTGCAGGGAAGGGATCGAATTTGTGTGATATTACGGTTGAGGAGTCATGTTTGCAGATACGTGGTTGGCTATCTTGGAAGAATGCAACGAGCATATGCATGGCGTTCGGATGGTTGTATACCAGATCCAGATATCATTTTTTTTGGTGGAATTAGTGCACTATTGGTCATGCTAGTAATTAATTTAATCACGGCTCGAATCATATACCGAGCGCCCACGAACGACCAGCTTGCGATTTCTCTCAAGATCTGTCATTCTCATCAAACTTCGCCTGCCAGAATCCCCTATAATGCTTCTCTGTACCGATTCCCGCCAAATCTTTGACCTCCTTTGGTGTTAGTGTGAATGTCATTGCCCTCAGATAAGCACTCAATCTCTCTTCCTTCCCACTCGTTGTGATCGCCACCACACCCTGGTCAATGCACCACCGCAATGAAATCTCGCCCTCGCTAACAAAATACTTCTTCGCCAAGAACGCCAGCATCTCATCGCAAGGTCCAGGCTTGGCTTTTGTGACAGCGGTTAGGGGACCGTATGCAGAGACAGCAATGTTCTGAGACTTGTGGTAGGATAGGAGAGAGCCACGTTGCAGGTACGGATGAAACTCAATTTGATTGATTGAAGGGGGCGTATTGGCGGTAGCGAGTGTGGCCTTCAAGTGGGATTCAAGGTAATTGGAGACTCCTATTGATTTAGCTTTTCCAGACTTCTTCACACCCTCCATGGCCATCCACGCTGTCTGTAGGTCTTCATCTGACTTAGCGAAGAATGGCGAGTGAACCAGATACAAGTCAACGTAGTCTAATTGCAGTTTCTTGAGGCTTGCATCGATTGCTTTGGGTATGTCCGCTATGTTGGTGATTACTTTTGTCGTTACGAAGAGCTTCGATCGTTCAATTTTGCTTTCTTTAATGGCAACTCCCACTTCAGGCTCTGTGTTATATACCTCCGCATTGTCAAGGTGATAATAACCAAGCTTGATGGCGGTCTTGATGCCCTCAACGGTCTTTCGGTCGACGCCGCCTTCGGTGGACTTATACCAAGCAGTCCCGGCTGGGGACTGTCAGAACGATGGGTAAACGCAGCAGATGAGTAAAAGACTTACTGCCATAGGCAAGCATAGGGATCGATGTTCCATCGTTGAGTTCCAACTGGGGAATAGGCGTCGGGATGTTCGCCATCTTTGAAGTAGTGCTTAAGTCTTGTAGGATACTCTAGTCGCGTTGACTACGTCAGGAAGAAGTTCGCTCTGCGGAGATAATATCTCGGGGATAAGTCCGCCTTCAAACGGCATTCTTTTTCTCGTTCGCATTTTCACCATTTGCTCATTGCAATGCTCTCTCTGCGATATCTGCAATTCTGACTATATGAGTATCAACATTTGATGTTGTATATGCTTCTCCATACCTTGCTACATCGTCCACATATCCCGCACCTTCGCCTCGCGCAAATGACCGCCCATCTCACGAGTGGCGCCACGAAAGGGGTCAGCAACGGCACCTACTCTGGTGTATCATTGCAAGAACTTCCTAAATCACACACCTTCACAGCAAACTTACCCCCAGATCCTGAATTCAAAACGCCCTCCGAATCTCACAGGGCACCGCGGGGAGACCTAGGCCCTCGAATGGTCAAAGGCGCACTCTTCACTTATGTCAGGCCGGAAGAAACAGAAACCCCTGAGCTTTTGGGGATCAGCCGAAGTGCATTGCACGATATTGGGTTGAAAGATGGTGTAGAGAACACGGAAGAGTTCAAGAACGTGGTGGCGGGAAACAAGCTCTACTGGGACAATCAGACAGAGGACGGAATATACCCCTGGGCGCAATGCTATGGAGGTTGGCAATTCGGCTCTTGGGCAGGCCAACTTGGCGACGGTCGAGCAATATCACTGTTCGAATCCACCAATCCATCGACGAAGACTCGCTACGAGATACAGCTTAAGGGCGCCGGCAGGACCCCTTACTCGAGATTTGCAGATGGAAAAGCCGTTTTACGCTCAAGCATTCGCGAGTTCGTCGTTTCAGAAGCGCTCAATGGCCTGCACATCCCTACTACCCGGGCCCTTGCCCTCACACTTGCCCCAAAATCTACCGTTCGTCGCGAACGACTTGAACCTGGAGCAGTAGTGGCCCGTTTTGCGTACGTATTTTCCGAATGCATATTTTCTCTGTTGCTCTATGGCCTTCAAACATATATCCCCCATCAAATAGGCAACACTGACGGCGAATTTATCGTCCAGCGAATCCTGGCTACGAATCGGTACCTTCGACATAATTCGCGCTCGAGGCGACAGAAAACTTGTCCGCACTCTCGCGAACTACATCGCTGAGCACGTCTACACGGGCTGGGAGTCTCTCCCGTCGGCTCTGGAAGATCCATCGAAGCCCGGCCCATCCGCTATCAATCCTCCCCGCTCCGTCCCATCTCATAAGATAGAAGGTGCGCAAGGAATAGAAGAGAATCGTTATACACGCCTCTATCGCGAAATTGCCCGTCGTAACGCCAAAACCGTCGCCGCCTGGCAAGCTTACGCTTTCACAAATGGCGTCCTGAATACCGACAATACATCTCTCCTTGGGCTTTCCCTCGACTTTGGGCCCTTTGCTTTCCTTGACAACTTCGATCCCAGCTACACCCCAAATCACGATGATCACGCTTTACGGTACAGCTACAAGAACCAGCCAAGTGTTATATGGTGGAACCTCGTGCGCCTGGGCGAATCATTGGGTGAACTCATCGGCTCTGGCGCCAAAATCGATGATCAAACCTTTGTGGACAAGGGCGTCTCAGAGGATTTTGCGCCGGAGCTAATCAAGCGTGCTGAGACTATCATCGGAAACGTGGGCGACGAATATAAAACTATTTTCTTAGCTGAATATACACGCTTGATGCGCGCAAGGCTCGGCTTGTTCTCAGAAAAAGAGAGCGATTTTCAAGAGCTATTCTCCGAGTTGCTGGATACGCTTGAGTCATTGGAGTTGGACTTCAACCACTTCTTCCGAAGGCTAAGTGCCGTCAAAGTCTCCGACTTGGAGTCTGATGAGCAGCGAAAGCAGAAAGCAAGCGTCTTTTTCCACGCGGAAGGTATGACCGCCACGAGCGGTGTCACAGAAGCCGCAGCACGGGAGAGGGTTGCTGCGTGGCTAGACAAATGGGCGAAGAGAGTTAGCGAAGACTGGGGTGAGAGGGATGAAGAGAGGGAGAAGGAGATGAAGAAGGCGAATCCGAAGTTTGTACCCAGATCCTGGGTATTGGACGAGATTATTCAGAAGGTGGAACATGACGGGAAGAGGGATGTAATTAAGAGGGTCATGGCGATGGCAGAGCATCCATTTGAGGAGGAATGGGGAGGCGATAGGGAGGAAGAGGAGAGGTGGTGTGGCGATGTTCCGAGGCATGGGCGGATGATGCAGTGTAGTTGTTCGTCGTGAGCGTCAGGCAGGGTCCAAAAAACACTGGCAGTTGAAATATTACATTTTTGCATTATCTATCACTTCTCCAGGAGCAGTTGCTATCATGAGCAAGACAACATCCCAGGTTGATGCCCGAAATCGAGGGAAAGATGAATGGTTTCCAGCGCCTCCGACTGCCATTCCGTCAGTAGCTTGCCTGGTATGCTCAAAACTGTGAGCGTGAGCAAGTAACGAAACAAAGTGGTTTATCCACAAATGCTTTAGAAGAGAAGTGCCCATAGTACATCGACAGTTCTACCCCTTTGTATTATATCGGCCGTTCTACCCTTTGTATTATATCGACCGTCTATCCAGTGACCCAACACCTGGGACCGTCCAATATTAGTATTATCCCGACCGTATATCCTGATGATCATTCCCGAGTCAGCATGCATGCCCTTTTCGAGAGAATGACTCGACTCTTAAGAGAAGTCTGAGGAGCACAACGACGGAAAGAAGCCCATTGCGTGACGGGAAGTCGAATCGTCAGATTCAAAGTCTAAGAGCAGGAGAAAGGGAAAAGAAGCCCCTCTTGTGACAAGCAGTGAAGTCGTAAGGACAGTGTCTGAGTTATAAATGGGGAAGAGGTCCTTTTTTCACTCCCCAAAAATGTTTCACGACCCAGACTGGAGTATCGAAAACAGGAAGGAGTGACTTTGGAATAACGTACCGTTGTATCAACGCCTGCGCTCAGAACCAGATCCTCCACCATCAATATGCATTTCCGGGATAGTATGCAACCTTGACATTATCCACCTCAACATCCGACCCCCCATTCGTACAGCTCAACACGATCATGAGCACGTCGGCATTGCTCACCGCCCGGAACGTCGCGACCATCGTGTCCCACACCCGAACCGGGGAAACATAACCGTTCACGGACACGCTGCCCGTCGTGGTCCTGTACGGATACTCGACCTTGATCGAACACTCGCCGAGATTCGACGAGTCGAGTTTGTAATCCAGCGTGATGGAGTGATTCGTTCCGGCGCAGGTGTTCAACGTCTGCTGCAGGGTGAGAGAGCAGACGCCGTTGTAAGGGAAGGTCGGCAGGAGCAGAGAGGCATCGAAGGCGTAAGTGTTGCCGCCGGGGTTGGCACTGCCGGGCGTGACGATGCTGTGGGTACTTTGGCCGACGGTATCCGTCACGGCCCAGGGCGAGAGGTTACCGGTTTCGAAGCCGCCGTTCTAAATGACGGGACCACCGCATGATGCGGATGCTGCTGTGGTCGCTGCTGGGGAAATCGAGGAGGAAACTAACGACGGCGCTGGTGAAGCCACCGGAACCACCGCCACTATAAACATATCAGAATCAGCGTCCCTTCTTCAAGGCAAGAGCTTGAGTAATGAGACAGGCCGAAGGAGAATTGGGAGCCTTTCGTTCCCAAAATATGTCTCGCGACTCATGGCGTGATCCAGGATAGGAAGATTTTGCCCTGAAAATGAACGTACCATTGTCAACCTTCACGACCCCAGTCGTCTTACCAACCTCGAACTCAAACCGCAAAATCCATGGACTGACCGTCGCCGTAAAGTTGACGGTATTGTCTCTATACGTCCCTGGCCCAAAATCGCAAGCGTCGACCGTGAATACCGAGGCATGGTTCAACATTACGCCCACAGAGTCTTCCGACGTAGTGCAAGCCTCCAAGTAGGTTCGGAATGTCAGTGTATACGTTTGACCCGCGGTGACGACTAGATCTTGATTCACGCTCGCCGGATTCAGGCTTGTGCTGGGATCAATTGCGCCCGTTTGATCGAATTCGTAAAGCGAACATGGGGTTGTCACCCGGGGAACTGATAGAATGTTTGGTATCGATTGCGTCTGCTGCAATCCGTGGGGAAATGCCGTATTCGAAACCGCCATTTTGCACAACATTGTTTGATGGACTAGGGACGCAAGTAGAGGTAGGCGTTGAGGTGGTCTGGGGGACCGATGATGAGATCGGTGGTAATACTGACGAGGAAGCCAAATTTGACATTGAAGAGGTTGGTGGTGATGAGGAAGCCGAGGTTGACATTGAAGAGGACGCGAGGGAGGATACCGCAGTGAAGGCTGATGAGGGCGGCGTTGAACATGAAGATGCAGAAGAATAAGAGGGCGAGGACACTGAAAATATTGCAGAGGTCGCCGGTGATACCGGACTGGGGGTACAAAACGACTCTATGGGTGGTTCATTGGTATCGTAATACCTGGGCATCAAACCAACCCATCTGCTGAGTCTCCACCCATAGCTACTGACACCCAACCAATGGAAGATTGATTTTTCCCAATGGTGAAATGGAGAACATGAGTTCATTCGATTGTATCCGACTACGGCTATTTACAACGCCCGCCGCCAGCTTTGAGTAAACAAGAAACAAAACGCCACCTGAAATCGCAGAACCACTTACGAGCCCTTGGTGTAGCTGTAGGATTCCGACACTGTATAACGGTCAGAACCGCGGTACTGGCCGTAGTTTGTGCCGTACGAGGGTCCCCAGGTCTCATTGTACATGGAGCAGTAGAGACCTTGTGGGATAGCGTTCTCGGAAAGAACGTAAGCATTGAAGAATACCTGGAGGATATGAGTACAAAGGCACGTTGTGTAGCAGGGGCATTCGTTGAACACGTACGCATGACATAAAGCTCCCGTCAGCTGCTGGGTGCTGGCTATCATAAGTCGTTTGAGCATCGCAAGCATCGGCGCACGTCTGTGGGTCGTAGCCTTGGCTTTGGCTGAAAGGGAAGTACTGGTAGCCCATGTAGCTGCCCGAGCTGGTTGGAGCATTGATCGCTCCGCCAAGTTCCTGGGGACCAACGTAGCCGCTGACGGCAGGTGGTGGGGCATCTTTGTTATAAGCTGTTCATAACTGTTAGAAGGATGAATCAGTATACCGTACAGAGGAAAACCAACCGTTTGAGCCAGCAATGACTACCTGGAATGAGTCTTGGTACTGCCCTGAGTTGGTTGCCTCTGCTGATGACACAGGAGCGCCCCATAGCGTGCACTTGAAGTTCGTCGTGCTTGGCGGGTTGGGGCAGCTCACTGCGTTGGCGTTCACCGTGGGGTCGCGCTCAAGGTACATGTTGAAGGCGGAACAACCAGATGCTTGATCGCAATAGGAAGCGCAGGTCAGGGTGTCATAGCTAGTGAGGGTGTAGAGACCCATGTAATTGGAAGCCTGCAGGGATGCACCAAGGTTGTTGAACACCACGGCATATCCGTCCGGAGTCGGAGCATCGTTGGCCATATTCTAGTCATGATGTTAGAATGGCTATTCCGCACGCGTTGTTCGATGGCAAAGACGAACCGCAAAGTCGGGGTCTGACTGGAAAGCAGCAGGGGTATCCGGGCTGGGAACGGGTCCGGACCCGGCAGGGTAAGGTGAGCAGTCGCCATCTCGCTTTTCCACCTCAAGGTCTCGCTTCTTCGCTGATGTGCTCAGGAGGGGAAGGATTGCGGGGGCAATGGACGGTGCTGGGATGTTGGAGACAACGTTGACGGGTGCCTTGACCAAGACCGGTTTCGCAAAATCCAAAGCGATTTCATCCAGGTTGATCAATTGAGGGGCAGAGTAAGCAAGGCCTGCCAGAGCAGCAATACATAGTGCAGTATGCATGGTCACGGATAAGAGTGTTGAGTGATTGCAGAGAACAGTGTCTTTGATTCAATCACTGGGAATGCTTGACTGAGGAATGTACGATGAGAGGAAAGATGCACTCTTTTATACCTTTCACTGGTACCCGTGCAAAGCATGCCAACATGGAGGACTCGGTCCCAACATCTTCGATCATGTGCTCGGTCGTATCTCCTCGACGACGGTGCAAGTTTTTAGCCAGCCAGTGCAGCCACCAGTCCTGACTTTCAGCAACACCAAAGCTAGAAAAGGCAATCAGAAGAGAGCAGAGGGCCGAGTAGCCTGGTCAGCCAGCCAGGTGAAAAGGACTAGACTCTTGGGGCGGAACCAAAGCAGGAGAGTCTCTTAAGACCTGGGCTATGAATCCCAGCTAGCCAGGAGAAGAAGCTATACACATTGTTATTAGGTATCTTGACTATTACTAGTATTATTATTGTTATTATTATCCTTATTACACAGCAGGCGACTTTGAGGTTGGGATGTCGTTCCTAAGTCAAATTGTCATCTCATGGCGTGAAGTAAACTAGCACACCCTGCGGGTAATCGTGCATACTACTTTATACTTTAGCTAAAGATTAAAGTAAAGAGCAATTTAAGTGTATCCAACAAATCGCCCAATCTGGATAGCCGGTGGTCAAAAGGGGAAGTGGGGGCGGAGCGGCATGTTTGACTAGCGCAATGCCAAAATATACTGTAGTACTTTACAAGTACGGGGTAGAACCAGGAGTTCGTTCACGAATCAACGAGTATTCGCTTGGCATTGACCAAAAGTCTACATACTTGGCCGTTTTATGCACCATGCTGAGAGGAAGACAGACTGATCTAGGTACACTGTTATACACTGTTGTCCTTGTTGCCTGCATTGAGCTGTGGCTGGGATGACCAACATGAATATTACTTTACTAATTATCATTATTGCGCCTTTCTTTTGCATTATCGAATTTCTTCGGGGAGATGACGAGCATGGATGCTTGTTCTTTGCCCCCAGCCGATAGAGTAGCGGACGCACTAAACCCCATTCCATCTTGTAAGCGTGTAAGCGCCTCTATTCTCACGTGTTTGCTTCCTTTTCCGACATTTTCTACCTTTCCTCTTTGTTGATTGGTCTGGCCCCAACTGGAACTCCAACCGGTAGGGCAGCTTACGATGCTGCACGCGAGGTGCGAGATCAGAGTCTGAACGTAATTTGTATCAAAAAACATGGATGAACGGCCTGATCTCCCTAAGCTCAAGCTACCATACCATTATTGGAACCATCCATTATGTTGTCCCGTGCTGCTCAATAAGTGCTTCGGTTGTTGAGACATATTCTGCCACCTGCTGCGTGAAAATAGCCGAGCACGAATGTGTAGAGAGATCAATAGTAGCCGTGTGAGACCGAGACCATAGATACTCAGGTGTATGCCACGTCAAAGCTTCCAGCATATGTCCGAGTGGCAAGGCCAATTTGTCATCAACTCCATTGGCCACGTGCGGAAGCTTGCTGCTCTGCTCCTTTTCTTGTCTGAACTTTCCAGAGTTATCTTATCATTGCGAAGTTCGCAATGCGAACTTCATCGAAATGAGCGAACGCCCGGAGGATTTGACAGGGACCACAAGCAACGTGGTTAGAGCTCAGGCATTTCCCCATGGGGATATGGTTTCATCCTCGGTTTGCAGCCTCTCCTTGACTAGCTTCTTGCTTTCAAGGGAAAGTCTACTACCGTATCATCCCAGTCAAGATTCTCACTTCTTCCACGGACTATAACGAGCTAGTCCAGACTTTGTACGAGATCACGATTCCGCCAGTATTATGGAATGCGGAAACCGGATGATTCCTGCCAAAGTGTCTTCTCAAGTCTCAAACATAACAGAGTCTTGCGGAAAGCATGGGCAAAATCAAGGCAGAAATTAGTATAAATAACTACAAGGTCGTTTTGGGTTCCAGTGAGATGCAATAAGTAATTCCGAGAGATGAAACACCTTTCAAGTCAAACTTTCAAAAGGAATGAAACAAAGAAATTTCAGAAAGTGAATTCTGTATCATGCTTCGGAACGTTAGTGTACAACATTGCTATGACTCGTGAGAGGCGAACGATAATACTCTGAAGAGACTTGCCTTTGGATGTTATCCAGAGGGCTAAGGATGACGACCGAAGAATTGCCAGAGATCATGACCTGGATATCGCCGCCCTTTTGCATGAGGCGAAGGCATTTTACTTGCTCTCCCGTGGTGCTTCAGCTGGTCTCGGGAGCATTGTGCATCGTGCTATTGAGTAGAATCCATCAGTATTACATTCTGCTGGACGGCAGACCCTAACACCGTGCATTCACTTACACACTTCTTCGCATCATCGAGGTCTTCGCGAACTACTCTTATCAAGGTCTCTCTACCTGTTCTCGTAGACACCCAATATGTTTGGTCAACAACAATATCCTCAACCCTTCGAGGCCTTTCATCAACTTCGTCTTACTCGCTTTGCAAATGTCTTTTGCCTTCTGAGCTTCCGGCCATTCGCCAAGTGGCCATTCATAGACCCTTTTTGAAATGTTTCCGAAGCCTTGCTACTTCAAGTGATGCCCAAAAATGTTGCTAGCTCTCGCGTCAATGCATGCTTTCTTTGCTGCTTGCTTCAACAAGTCTGCCCACCGGAAGAGTGCAGAATCTGGTCCGACATGGCCAATTCCACCCTCCTGGTTTAAGATTATCAAAATACCGATAGAAGTAACAAACACCCTCGGCTTCCATTAATCCCCGCCGGACTCCGTACAGACCAAGATCCAACTGCAAGGTCCTCAACATGCACAAGTATGCTATCTTAGATCTGCTCGCTTCTAGTTTGACGACGTGGAGAATGGTAAGAGAGGCTCACCGATTGCTTAGGGTTAGGGTTTCCACCACGGATAAATCTTCGGCAAGGCGGAATGACGCCAGCCAGCCATCTTTCTCTTCGCTCGTCGATCAAGGAAGTGAGCCAACCAATCAACCTCTACTTTCAACACCAATTTCATCTGTTTAACACCCCTTCTTCCATTCTTCCCCAAGCGTCTTATTTCTTGTACAGCGATTCAATCATAGTAATACATATCTCACATCTAGACCAATCCCACCAAATCCCACTTTTCTCAGCCAAGCAGAATGTCCACTTCCTCCGAACAACCCGAGAAGCCTCTCCACGAGTATGTCTCTCCCCCTGGCTCCAATTTCCTCCAGCTCGCTAAATTGTTCGATCCAGGCTCCTCACCACGTCCCTCGTAGACATTTACGTTGGCTCGGAAAACACTGATTGGACAATCCATGAGAAGCTCCTTTGCTACCACTCCCCCTTCTTCCGCAAAATCTTCTACAACAAAGAGAACCGCGAGAGCAAAACCAAATCCTACGGTCTCCCCGACTCCGATGACCTGCCTTTCGAGCTCTTCGTCGGCTGGCTCTACTCCCGCGCCTTGCGCTACCCAGAGGCCGAAAAGGACGTAGGACCACTCCTCGACCTCTACTTCCTCAGCGAGCAGTTCCAGATCACCAAGCTGAGTGACGACGTCGTGGAAACTGTGCGCGCATTCTACCACAACAACGAGACATACCCTGGCTTGAGGCGTGTGCAGTACGTCTACGCAAACACGAGCGAAGACAATGAGATGCGCGAGATGATGGTCAACAGCGTCGCAAGATACTTGACACTGAGCGATGCTATCCCTGCGCACTGGGAGAATGCGTTGAAGAAGAACGGGCAATTGAGTGTGGATATCATTCGCAGCATTCAGCAGTGGCACTTGGAGGGCAGAAGTGTGCCCGACGCTAGAGACGTCAGCCAGGATCGTGGGAGGGAGAAGGTTGGGTTTAGTGCTGTGGCAGAGGGAATGTCGATGACTGAAATCAAAGACGAGGACGTGGATCTTGACCACAGTAAGACTAACGGGAGTTCCTAAGGTTCCTGGTGGGTTAGAGGAGAACGGATGGGGGAACTTTTCACATTGCTCGCGTTGATTTATGGGTATATCCTTGGATGCTCTCTGTCTTGCGGAATCGGTGATGCTTTCCTTCCTCGGCGAGTGGTGCCTGTACATCTATTGGAAGACGGATCGATATTATTGGTCTTTTGACTTTTCCTTCCCCGTCTTCCGAAACATCGTTGCCCAGTTAATTACAAAGGTTGCCTGTAAATTGCGTGACTCTTCCTGAAACATTCTTCGTCAGCTGCCAGGGCGTCAGTCATATCCTCGGTCAGACCACCAATAGCCGCGGTCAGACTCTCCCAACACATGCGCTCCTTTCAGACTTCTCCGGCTATAATGCATGCATGCTGGTCGCATTTCCTCCGGTATCTCATCGGCTTTTTCCCTGCTGCTCTCTCGTCAGCTTCGCTTTCTCCTCCACTCCCCTTGCAAAGCATGCCGCGCACGGATAGGTCTTTGTCGTCTCGGTGCTCGTGGTAATGTGATTCATTTCGGACATGGCCAGCTCGCACATGGTGTATTTCGTGTCTTCTGGGTGGCCGCAGGAGAAATGGATATTCTCGATGTGGCACATTTTGAAGAGAAGATGGTGAGGTGGAGGGAGGCGATTGTGTGCTGTGGGGGTCTCTCGGGCGAAGAATGTGATGCGATGGAAGTTGCTGATTGTGGGTGGCAGTAAGGGGCTCGTTGGAAGAGGCTTGCGGCGTTGGAAAGTGCTGGGACCAATTGAGAGGGATTGGAGGTGGGCAAGGTGGATCAATTGAAGGCCGTGAGGGTGAATTGGGTGGGTCAATCGAGGCATACAAATGCTTGCGACGTGGGTTGCGGAGTGTGGTCCGACGTGTAATCGTTGGCCGGTTTTACTGCTTCCGCCAATGTTGATGAATGGCAAACTTTAAGCATGAGGGAAAGAGTTGATTTGTTGTTTTGGCTCTTGGGCTTGTTGTGGGTTTCTTTTGTTGTTGTTGATGTTGTTGGGGTGATTCTTGTACGACTCGATAGGAAAAGTGAGAAAGCGATGCTGACGTTTTGCGTTGCTCAGTATTTTCGGAGTTGCCTCAATGCGGCTATTGATGAGGCTCGATGCCTGACGTGCATTTTGACACATTTGACAGGTTTGTTGAACGACGAATGACAGAAGAGGACTGAATGAATTAAGGTTAAGGTTCTTCCGGTGCAATGGGACCCGAATAGTACTTTAATGACAGGTCAATTCCAAGAAAGGGAAAAGGGAAAAGGCGAAAAATTCATGCATCCACGCGCATCTGTCCTGACAGGCTGATAACTTCTGGAGGCGCGGAAATCCTTCACTTCTGATTCGTCAAAAAAAACTTAAAAAAAACTTCATGCAATGCGCCTCTATGCGGCCGCCTCTTCAGCTGCATCCCATCCCTTACCTACGATGCTTCGATACGCCTTTTTCTATCGGTCGATGCTCTTCAACGCAACGTCATCAGGCATCTCCACCATTTCTTTGCCCTTCATCCCATTCTTCACCAGCCAATCTAACCACATTGTCAGCGACATTCGGAGAATTTTTGACAAGGGTCTACCGCGCAGATACTGCTTGTCATATGAAACTTGGCCTCTGCCAACCTCGTACCTTTCAGCACTCCAAAAGCGGCTGCTTGAGCACTTCGTCGATAAGAACCACGGCAGCCGGCGTAGTAGATTCGTCAAGTCCAAACTCGAATTTGGTATCCGCAATGATGATACCTCGCTCAGCGGCGTAAGCGTTGGCTTCTTTGTAGAGCTCTAGCGAAAGCTGTTCGATTTGATTTGCGTAAGCTTGTCCCACAATTCGAGCCGCTGTCACCAAGAGCGATCAGCTTTGCCCGCGCAATTCATACGTGAAAATGCTAGTTTCAAGCTTCGGAAGTCAGCAAACTTCCGCAGGACTGATGTTCTCGTCCTTTCCTCCGACTTCGGCCTTCGTATACGGAGTCCAGAGGGGTTGCTGCAGCTTCTCGGACTCTTGCAGGCCTGGAGGAAGACCTCTGCCGCACACCGTGCCATTCTCCTGATAGGAGCTCCAAGCGGACCCAGTGATGTATCATCGTACAATGCTCTCTATCTGAAACACTTTGAGGCGTTTGACCACCATACTCCGGCGCTGGAGTTGGGAGATCATTTCAGAGGGCAAGTGTTCTTGGAGAGCCTGAGAGCTATTCAAGGAGACGTAGTGCGTGCGGGATCTTGGGCTGCAACAACTCCAACCAGAATTGGCTGAGTTGGGTGAGGATGGCGCCCTTTTGGTCGATACCCTATAAGTGCCAACGTAACACTCAGTCATCTCGCCTTGCCACAGTGAAAAGGTCAGATCGAGAATTGGCGTACATCCTTCATTACCACGTCGTAGGCTGAGAATATATTAGAAAAAATACCAGTCCATGGCCGCTTTGAGTCGTATCTGATATTCGATCGGTGGCAACGAAGAGTAGTGTTGACTGATCAAGCTTGTATATTTCGCGAACTTTCCCAGAGGCCACAAGAGGAAGACAATCCCGGAGATCTGTTTGCATGACCGTGCATGACCCGAGCCATTGCTTGGATCTAGCAGCTGGAACGCCTCCCAAGATACGTGAGAGATAGTATTGGGTTATCAGCCAGTCGGAGGCGCACTTTGACAGCTGAATTGCAAAACTAAGTTGCACTCAGCGGGTTCTCTTCAAGCGTCAAGCGTCAAGCGATGATAGGTGGCAAGCTTTCGAACCCGCAAAATGCTCTTCCGGAAGAGGCTCGGAGGAGTCGTCGTTGTGACAACTCTGATCTGCTGCATGTGATGTTGGAAAATATAATGATATCCCTTTACATAGCTTTTCAATATTAATGTATTATACAAGCCTAAATGCCTATGAATTAAATTCATGAAAAGTAATTTCGGAATTAGATTCGATTCTTGAAGGGTGAAAATACTTTGGTGAGCGATTTATAAGAATTTGAATCCCTTGCCTTTAAATAATTATAAGATCAAATTTTAGGATTTTAGAATATTTGAAAAGCGCAAATCGAGCTCTATAATTGAAAAAAAATCAAGAAATTTCAATAGAGAATGGTAAACTTATTTCAAGAAGTAGTCTAGCTCGCGGGTGACAAAAAAAACGGAACGCCAAGCCCGCACTGACAACAGTACAGACTAAGGCACTAATTGACGAGGGGTGGACTAATATTTCCACATCGTTTATTAACGAGAAAGTGGATAGTATATCAAATAGATTACAAGCAGTTATAGACGGTAAAGGAGCAATGACAGGATACTAGAACAGAGATTTACATAGAAATTTGTATGTGTGTCTCCGCGCAGTAGTCTGGCTTGGCGTTCCATTCTTTTTTGTCACCCACGAGTGTCTAGTAGGGAAAGGTTTTGATGGTTGCGGACGCTAATTTATCTAACCGCGGTGTCTAACCAAAAGCGTAGAACTGTCGAATTTATGATTGGCTACACATACAAATTCAAGGTTTTCTAGCTCAGCCCTATGTTGCCGGGGTCTCGGCGTTTATCGGATATATACTGGTTACGGAGGTTGGCACCAAAAGTCCTGCACCCGCCAAGGGTTAGGGCTGCTACTAGCGCGGGTGCAGGACTTCTGGTATCAACCTCCGTACCTATCTTATAGCCAGGTGGACCGCGAGAAAGTTATTTCATTGTGATCCCCAACATCAGAGTTGCATCGGAGGTCCAAGCACCTCCGACCAGCGCAGCCCTATGCTGTAGGACTTTTCCCAGTGCAGAGTCAACAGAAGTCTACATCTCAGGAAGGCGCTGGCTTATGCGATGGATGGATGGACGGTGTCATCGATCGCTATATATTGTTTAATCTGTCTGCATACATAACCCGCTCCTCATCCCCAACAAAAGAGCTGAGCTCCTAAGGCGTTTCAATCCGTCGAAGAAGAAAGTCATGATAAGGCTCTTGGGTCCCCGACCCTCGGATCCCTAGTTGCGTCGTAGTTTACCTCTCGCTCGACTTGGCGAGAAGGCGGGAAGTCGCTTGCAATGGGCGTTGGGGCACCGTTCGTCCCGGAAAAGTTGCCTGCGTTTCGACTGTCCTGAGCCCGTTGTATTGCACTCAGTGTGGGCTGAAAGTTTGCATCAAAGCTGTCCAGTTCCTCAATGGCTAGATCGGAGATTCCTGAATCAGTCTATCTTTTTCAAGCTAGAACCTTTTGAGGTCTAAGGAATGTCGTCGAAGAAAAAAAGACCTCTTGGCTTCCGAAACATGCCTTGCGACTCAAGTTGTGGTATTTGATGGGGAGGAACAAACAAGAATACACACCTCTCTTAGCGATACCTACGTGCTCACTGGATGGAGGTACGCCAAAAACTGGCTGCCACCTTCGACTTGTCCTGACCACTGGTTTTGGCTTGTGGCTCTTCCAGCCAAGTCGCATTGCAGCCCGAAGTTCGTCGGGGCGAGGCTCTTGACGTATGTTCTGAGGGGAATTACCCGGTCCAGCTTCGTCATCTGCGTACTCTTGCGCACACAGCGCCGTCTCACGTATCTTGTCTCTAATAATTCGTGATCAGCAGAAAAACCCTCATACTGATGGTAATACAAATGCTCTTACTTCATACTCTGCTCATGCTGCTCAAGATGATAAGCGGCATAAGCAAGCTTTTGCTCGCGGGAGAGGCCGTTGAGGGGCGGTACCCTATTATATTGAGTTTCATATCCTTCCCTGACTGGAGAGTCATACCTTGGGAAGGGTTGAAGAACAAGACACTGCATCTCAGCGTGCGCTGCATTGGAGTTCGAGTCACCCATGTAAAGTTAGAAGAAGCGTGAGGATATGTTAGGGATCCAGGTTATGATGGCTCCGACGGGCTTGTGTGATAACGAGTCTAAGCAGAGAGAGCCAGACAGTACAGATATAAAACCTGCGGCTAACCACTTATCAAGCTCTTGCACTCCGAGCTTGCATCGAATCCTCATAGGTAAGGAAGATTCACACTCTACCTAATCAAACTGATTGAAAGACAGTCGCTCGACGTGGGACACGCCCTATGAGAGACCGGTATCAACGGAAAAATACTTCTACGGTACCAGCGATAGCCGTATCCGAAAATCTGACTGACGGGTTTGGAGATAACAGCTGATTGGGGACGAGGCAGGAATATTTGGTTCAGGACAGAATCATCGGTGGCCAGCTACTCGTATTTACTAGGATTTGCAATCTACTAGGATTTGCAATGTTCAAAATCTAGTTCTTAAAAATTATTATTTTACAACAATATAATTAAAACTAGGAAAAAGAATTAAGAGAATATAAAATAGAATTTTTAGAATTTTTTTCTTTTTCTTACAAAAAATAATAATAGTGTATTAAGATATAATCGTCGAAGTTTATTACGCTATTATATAAATTTATTATTATTACCTCGATTTCGAAAATTCTTAAAAATATAAAAATCGCATTTCATATCCTCCTAGGAATTTTTTCGAGTTTTTTATTATTATAATGCTATGGAATAATAAACTATAAAGATTAAGTTTTAGAGATTATAAATTCTAGTAGATTACAAATCCTACTATAGCTTAGTAGTCAAAAAAAATCATAATCAGATTTAAATCAGACTATATAATCTGATTTAAATCTGATTATAATTTTTGATTTAAAAAATCAGAAAATCATGATTATGATTTTTTGATTTAAAAAATTAGATTTAGTCTGATTATTTAGATAGAATATTAAAAAACTTTAATTTTTATAGAGATTTTAAAAAAATTAGAGAAAATTCTTAAAAAAATATTATTTTTATAGACTTATAATTCTATTCTAAATTATATAGATATATTATATTATATTATATTTATTTAAAAATAGTAATAAGTTATATTTAAAAGCTAACTATACGTTTCTCTCTCAAAAATACTACTTAAAAATTTAATTTAGAAAAAATTTAAAAAAATTAAAAAAGCTATATTTTTAAGAAGTGTAATTTATATTATATAGTACTATATATAGTACTATATATTAAATATATATCAAGTTTTCGAGTAATTTACTCGATAGACGAATTTTTATCTTTAAATAAATCGTCGATATCTTTAATAATATCTTAACTTTTTAATAATATAATTTATTTAAATATATTCGAAGCTAGTCTATTACGTCTATCTATAATAATATTTTTTTTATTAAAAAATTGATTTAAAAAGATTTGAAAGTGATAAGAATAGTAAGATAAATTCGAGCTAATTAGACTAGAATCGGAGAATCTTTAATTTAATTTCTTTAATAATCGAGTGACTTAGTCTATAATATATAAATTAATATATATTAAAGTTATAAATAAATTTATAAAGTACTTATCTTTTTAGATTTAAGATTTTCTTCGAAATAAATCTTAATCTTAGATTTCTTAACTTCGATATATTAAGATATATTAAGATTATCGAATATCTTATTATTTAAACTTTCTAAACTCGAATTTATATATAAATATCGAGAATCGTCTAATTATAATATAGGATTCTCGTTATTTATTTCGATTTTAGTTTTATTAAAAAAATTATTAATAAAAAGCCTTATAAGAATTCTATAAAAAAAATTATTTATTTTTTAAATAATTCTTTAAACTCGTTAATAACGATTTAACTCTCTTAATCTAAAAGGTCTTAGCTTAAAAAATATTTATCTTTAAAATAAGAATTAAGAATAATTCTAAAGAAGATATTTTAATAAGTAAATTTCTACTTATTAATATTAAACTTTAGAAACTATTTATCGAGTTTTTAAATATCTCGTAGATAGGCGTTTTAAAGAATTAAATTCTATAATATTAATTAGTAATATAATTTTAAATTAAAAAAATAAAAATATAAAAAAACTTATTAGATTTATATCTCGATATCTTTTATCTAACTTCTTTCGAATAGAATATATATATAAATATATATATTCGATTATTGAATAATTAGAGCTTTAAAAAATAATAAAAGATTTAGTAAAAATTCGAAAGATTTCGAACGTTTATTATATATATTCGAGTTCGTTATCTCTAAAAATAAATTATTCTTTATTCGAAATTTTTCTTAATACTTCGATTAACGTCTTAATAGTTAATTAATTATTAAGAAAGTCTCTAAATAAATTATATATTAAATTCTAACGAACGTCTTTATCTATTATAATTATTAATAAAAGATTTCTAATAAAGAGAGAAATCTATTAATTTTTAGAGAATATAAATCTTTAATATTATAAAACTTAATTTATTATTTAAGTATATATCGATTTTCTAATTAATATTTAAATATTATAGCGAGAAGTCGAATTTTTCGAAATAAGTGTAGATCTAAAAATTTAATTAATAGAAATTTAGATAAAAAAAGATAAAAAAAACTTATCTAAAGATATCTAAGGCTTCTTACTATCTATCTCGAGATTTTATTAATTTATAAGATTATAAATTATTTAATTATCTTTATTTTTTAGAAGTAGTTAATCTAATATATCGCTAATTATATTATTAAATATATAAACTATATATTCGACGTTATAAATATCTTTATTATATTAATATTTATAATCGATTTAAAAGGTTTAGACGAGGGATAGATTTATAGTAGCTTTATTCGTTATAAATCTAATAAGAAATTAATTAAAAAATCGAAAAATCGAAAAAAGTATAATAATTCAAAAAAAATTCAAAAAAATAAATATATAATTATATCTTATCTTCGATATCGAAAGATTTTAGAATATAATCTAAAACCCTCGCGAGATACTTAGCACTATAAGGTTTTTCGAGTAATTCTATATTAATAAATCTAGAAATTAATTTTTAATTCTTATTAATATAGTAAATTATAATTTCTATAAACTTCTTTTAATTATCGACTATCTAATAATTAAATATAAGTAAGAATTTCGATTTAAATTTAAAGTATATATCGAAGAATTCGAATTTAATAATTTAGAAATTTCGAGTAAAGAGAATCGATAACTCGTTTCGAAGAGTTTCGTAGTAAATTTTAAAAGTATTACTATATAAAAGATAAGTATTTTAAATATAATAATATATAAAAAATATAAAAACTTACTTTCGATAATAGATTTTTTTTTAAAGGATTTCGGTCACGGTACGCCAAGGCCTCCTCCAGAGCCACCACCCAATCGGGCCTAGCGCGGCTTGGCACGCACATATCTGCCCTGCAGGCCCATAGAATAATCATTATCTTTACACCACACACCAAATCATGACATAGTCACATTGTCTCCTGACAACATGGTAGCAACACCTGAAGATCATTCAACAGGCGTCTATTAAGTTATTTCGCTCCCACACCAGTTGCCTACTTCCCCCTAGGACCCCACCTACCTCAACACCAAGTACGCTCCTATATCAGTACTCACAGTCCCACGAGTCCCTACAGATATCGTCCACGTCGATCCTTTCACTAGGCCACTCGATATCACCATGGCATCCAGCAGCCTTATTCCTGGCTTCTCAGCAGAGCAAGTCCGCTCCATTACCAAGCTTATAGAAGACGTGCTCGACAAGGCACTCGACAAGCACTTTGGCACACTACCGCCACGGCAAAAGCAATCAGTCATAGCGCCAAAGCCGGCACAGCCACCAAAGCAGGAACAAGAGCATAGGCCATTGCAACAGGCAAAGATGAAAAATTGCGGAGAAAACTGTGGAAAAAATACGGAGAACATTGCGGAGAAACAGAGCATCGCCAGCAGCAGCAGTCCTATTCAAGAGGGCACTCTCTCCACAATTCCACACCAGGCCACTATGCATATTTCCGGAGAACCTTCCCTCGCCTCAGCAATACACCAGTTTTCGCCACCCCTCTCGCCTCTCTTCCACCTCTCAACTCGCCTCTCCGCTCGGTTATATTCGTCAGCGAAGGATATGGAGGCTATAGGCCAAGGATAGGTGCATGGATATATGGACGGCGCATGCTTAATGCAGCTATCCAGAGATACAGCCACGAGGACGTGTCTTTTTTCATTCTTTGCGGGCATGTTGTCACGGTACGCCAAGGCCTCCTCCAGAGCCACCACCCAATCGGGCCTAGCGTGGCTTGGCACCGCACATATCTGCCCTGCAGGCCCATAGAATAATCATTATCTTTACACCACACACCAAATCATGACATAGTCACATTGTCTCCGACAATTTCGAACGTAGAGCGTTAAAGGTTATATTATTTTCGAGAAAAAAATAAAGTACTTTCTCTTTAAAATCTAAACTCGTAAATTACTTATTTAAAGTATTTTTAGATGGTCGTTTAATTAATTAATTATATTAAGTGAATTAATTAAGCGAGATTTATAATTAACTTAACTTAGAAACTATTTTTAGAAATAAAAGTTAATAAAAAATAGAAGATAAAATAGAAGATAAAGTAAAGATAAATAAATATCTTCTAATAGAGCTCCTTTTTTAGATTCTTTCTTAATCGAAATTATAGAATAATTATTATAATAGTATATAAAGTAATTACTATAGCGTTTTTAATTAACCTTTTCGATTTTCGAATAGCGATAACAAGTATATTTAATTTATTTCTAAAAAAAGTTAATAATAGATAAAATATATATAATAATATATAAATATCTAACGAGGATTTCCTTCTTGATATAAAAGAAGTTCTTATATAAAAAAGCCGTGTTAAAAGAGATATTCTTACTTTTTAATAGAAGATAATTAAAAATCGATTCTATACTTCGAGAAGGCTATTATATTAACGAAAATAATATAAATATTAATCTTAAATTTCAGCTATATATATAGCTAAAATCTAGGATAAAAATAATAACTTCGAAAATTAGTTAAAAATATATAGGAAGAGAAAAAAAATAAGGGAATTAGAGCTCTTATATAGGCTTTATAGTCGATATTAATATTATATATTACTAAAAGTAGAACTCTAAATATATCGATTATTTTTATAAAATTTAGCTTTAAAACGTATTTTTTATTAAGGTTTTTACTTCTATACTCGAGTTATTATTAACTTTCTAAATTTTCTAAAAATAGAAAAATCTTCTTCTCTTATTTATAATTATAATTATTAGTTTTTTTTTTTTTTTTTTTTTTTTTTTAAAATTTTAAAAATTTTTTATAATTATTTTTTTTAAAAATTTTTTTTAAAAAATAAATTTTAAACGATTTTCTAAGGGATTTCTAAAAATAGTAATATTAAATCATTAAATCAGATTTACTCTGATTTAATAGTAAAAATCATAATTAGATTATAATTATGGAGTGAAAAATCATAATCAGATTATGATTTTTAAGAAAAAAAATCTGATTTAGTGATTTTTACTACTGAGTACTGTAGTAAATACGAGTAGACGCGTAAGCGCGCGCGTCTATTCATACAATTTTCTTGTGGCGGTCTCGGGATCAAGGATCCAAGAATTCCGAGCTCTACTCTGTAAGTAGTTACTAGTAATCAACCAGAGCTTACCACACCAGCCTGGGACAAGATTCTCTCATGACCATAATGCGGCTGTATGTTGATTGCAGTGGTAACGGCGAAAGACCAACAAATTTCAAAATTAGCAATAGAACTACCTACACTAAACATAGTGCGACGAAAGCAAAAATCCCCTGACCGAAACATCAAACTACATTGGTACGGGCGTGCTTTGATGACTCGATCCCCGAGCCCCTTCAAACGCCACGAAGGTCCAGACGCAAGGATTACTTTTATTACTGTCGAGGTTAGCGGCTGTTGGAATATGGCGCAGATGGCGCAGATGGCGCCCTTCACACGGCTTGATACTTGCAGTGTCTCAGCCCCTTCCCCGGAGTTGCTCAAAATCTCTCTATTTTTGCGGAGCGGAGCTGATTGCTTGTCATGACGGCTTGATACTTGCAGTGTCTCAGCCCCTTCCCCGGAGTTGCTCAAAATCTCTCTATTTTTGCGGAGCGGAGCTGATTGCTTGTCATGAACGAGACCAAGGATTGCCGTTGAAGCTACCTAGTTTCAGAGCGAGGAGTCCTTCAGTAGCACCGATTTCCGCTCTGCAATTGTATACAAGGAGCAGGCAGCTCTTCCTTTACTCATTGTCCTAACAATCATTCCTTTCAAGCAAAACTACCGTTGTTTGGATGAATTCCTTCCAATCAAGATGCATTCATTGTCGTACATTCTCTGCTTGCTGGCAAGCCTCATTTCTGTTCTCGCTGCTCCCCAGGTGAATACACAAACTTGCCAAGACGAGGGCATCGTCACTCAAGAGAACTTCAAAGTTTCATCGAATATTTATGCCGCAAGTACAGGAAAAGGATATCAATGCTCGCAAATAAACTCCGATACTGGCAGCGCACTTGCATGGAGTACCACCTGGGCATGGCAAAATATCGCTTCTGACAACCAAGCTTGGAATTGGATCAAGAGCTATGCTTACGGTACGTTTGTTTGAAGTGATTCCTTCCTGGTAGACACCGAATCTTGAGACACAGGACATGTTTCGGGAGTGTTCTCTTCTGGTCTCTACACATGTCCCATAACTCAAAATCCATCTCAAAGAATGGTATGCTGACTTCGAAAAATTGCACAGCTTATGATTCTTCTGCGCCTGCATGCAAATTGGCCACACCGTTGAGCCAAATGAGTGGCAGTATCCGATCGCAGTGGTCATGGAGGTACGGACATCACCAATATCCTTTTGAAGCATCAGTGGCGACACACTCAATGTTTGCGCCTTCTGTCTCAACACTGACAGGTCTCATTCAGCTACTCTGGAGAAGACGTGATAGGAGATGTTGCTTACGATGCCTTCCTCGGCGAAGGCTGCTCCGGAACCACCGGCCAACACAGCTACGAAGTGATGATTTGGCTCGCTGCATTGGGATCTCTGGGTCCGATTGGGAGCAGCGATGATGGTGGCTCAGCCTTTGGTTTTGCCCCCCGAAACGTGAAAATTAGCAACTACGATTGGGTGCTGTACTATGGCATGAATGATGGAACGAATACCCCGGTGTATAGCTTCATTCCACCCGCGGGCACGCAGTACAACAGCTTTGGCGGCGACCTCATGCCTTTTTTTACATATTTGAAAGGCATCAATGGAGCTCTTTCGTCTCTGTTTCTGCAAAGCATACAGGCAGGGACGGAGGCAGTGAATGCAACAGGGCCGGCTGTATTTACGACCTTGTCATATTCCATCGGTTGAAGCATGACGCGGGAGACATTGCCCGTTGTGGAGTTTGGAACAGAGATGGCATGTGTCTAGAGTCCGTATGGGACATCTCGTACAAGAAGCTGTACTATGAGCTATCTCCTAGTATCCTTAGCTAATTTCCTCCACTGTACCCTTACAAGTGTCAAATTTCATCTTTAGAACAGCCAGTTTGCTGACTCGGCTGATAGAAGATTCTCGCTCGTCTAGATTGCCGACGGCGGATCTTCGGCTACATGACAAATGCTTCGGTGCAGCCTACGGACGGCCTCTATGCTATTCACCTATTTACCTGTCAGCATTGAGAAGACTTGTTTTATTCTCGAACCAACGCCCTGACCATGGCAGAGGAAGCTCCTAAATCAGCAGAAACAATCGAAATCACCTTCACCCATCATGGCACGCCTCACACCTTCAACTTTCTCTCTGAATCTACCATCGCTGACCTCTCGAACCGCATCTACAACGAATTAACTATCCCTGCGATCAACCAAAAATTCCTGATAACCCCTAAGCTCGGCATCTTCAAACCACCATTTGTGCATCCTCTCCTACTCAGTACCCTGAAATCGAAGAAGATAGTCCTTCTTGCGCCGACGCCCGCCGAGCTCGCCTCCCTCGCGTCTCCTCGCCCTAGTCCCCGGCCTACCAGTTCCACCACTAAACCGGGCGCCTTGTATCGCCATCGCGATTGGCAGAAAGCCCAAGAGGAGGCAACCTACACCTTCCAGACCATCCTCCCACTCAGCTACCTCCCTGGCCCGGCGCGTTCGCAAAAGTTCCTGGAGCGTCTGCGCGACGATCCCGGCATCAAGGCCAGCATGCGCAAACACAAATTTAGTGTGGGCGTGCTGACGGAGATGAACCCGGCCGAACATACAACTCATGAATCGCGCACCCTGGGTCTAAATCGAAACCGAGGCGAGGTCATAGAGTTGAGACTGAGGACGGATGCGTATGATGGATATCGAGACTATAAGATCATTCGCGATACGCTCTGCCACGAACTGGCGCACAACGTCTTTGGCGACCATGACCGGAACTTCTGGGACCTGTGCAAGTCTATCGAAAAAGAAGTCCGGGAGGCTGACTGGAAGCATGGGGGGCAGGCAGTCAGCAATGAAATCTTCTATGATCCGGAGGAAAGAGAGGGGAGCGCGGGGCATGTGGATGGCGGAGGGTGGTCTGGAGGGGAATTCGTGCTGGGAGGATACGGTGGGAAACAAGGGGTGCCATCACAGATGCTGAACAGGAGAGAGGCTATGGCCAAGGCGGCGGAAGAGAGGATGAGGAGACAGCGGCAGGCTGGGAGTGGTGGGAGTGGCGCACCGGCTTGATATGATCAGGTGTCAGGATCCTCGTCCAAACAGTATAGCACACCATAGCAGCTTGGCATTTGATTTTTTTGACTATTCAATCCAAAAAAACACCGAGGTTGATCAATTTTGACCCATATATGGAGGCAAAGGTTCCTCCATCTGTGCCAATAAAAATTCCGAAACGCAGCATTGAATGCCGTATTTAGTCCACGCTGAGTAAATCGTAGCATGTTCCCTGTCGCGGGACTACGAGACATAGCCTCTTAAGCCACAGCCATACCCAATGCCTATCCCTAACAATGTTTCCTGGACGATCCAACCCTCAACTATGCCCGCTGCGCTGGTATTTGCAACAAGCCCGGCAGCCCTGTTTTCCGTGTGCGGTGGCGAAGATACTGCAGCAACAAGTCCAGCCCCTGTTCTACCCTCCGATCCCCTTTTCTCCTGGCCCAAGCAACCAGCAAACCCAGTAGAGCCAGGTCCACAACAAGATGTCGTACGGTGACCCACACAAGCCAAGTCATCCACGCCCAAAGTCCGTTTCGCCTCCTCCCGTCCCCTATCGTTTTCGCTTCGATCTGTTCCCTCAGCGCCGCGACTTCCGTGGTCATCTTCACAAGCGCTTGTTCGATCTTCTTTCTCCATTTTCGATTCCGGACGTCCAGGTCCTGGGATTGCCCTGCCACTGCCATGGCAGCCTCTTCATCGTCGAACGGGCCCCCTCGTGTCTCCTCAAACTCTTCGCCTTCATCGTGTTCTTCCTCCCCATCACTAACAGGCTTCAAAATCCTAAGCCCCTCACCACCGCCCTCAGCTGCCCTCGCGCTCCCAGAACGCCCACCGATGCTAGGATAGCTTGGGAGCATCTGCTGCCCTTGACTCCTGGTTAAGCGTCCCGGCGAAGATGATGAAGAGGAAGCGGAATTCGACTTGATCTGATCCCACACGAACTCCAACTCGGCAACAAGCTCTCGGGCTTCCGTGGTCGTAGTGGCATATTTATGCATAGTTTCAATGAGAGTGGCGATGTAACGGCGTTTGGCTTCTGTGCGGCTTAGAGAGTGCTGGTCGGACCATGCGTCCCTGCAAGAGATTTTGTCAACACCTTCCCAAGCGCATGCCTATGGTAGCAAATTCATTATACCATTTTTGTTGTTCGGCTAGTGATTCCGGATCGTTGCTCTCTGGTCTCCGTGAAATACCTTCGACATCTCCTTCTGTGCTTTGCTTGTAGAGTCCATAGAGCTTAAGGCGGTCTGCTGGAGGTGGCCGAGCGGAGCCCGTGCGTGGAATGCGTTTGACGGTATTGAGCGCGTGGACGAAAACCCTGTCTGAGAAGAGGGTTGGTCAGTCGCATATTTGGATTACGAAAAGCAGAGTTCGAAGTTGGAGCCAAGAGACTTACCCACTGAGTCGGACATATTGGCGGAAGTGGGTCGACTGAGAGCCTCGGGCGTTTGTTTAGTCGTACCGCATCATCATAGGGAGGATATGAAGTGCTTGAAGTCGAAGTAAAAAGGATTCAACAACTTTATCAGTCAACATTTGAGGATTTTATGATATACATCAGTCATGCCGTGTAGGCACCGTTTGTTCGAGTTGCACCATACAACAATATAGGGCTGCGGGTGATGACGAGGATCGCCGGCTTTGACAGGTCGTCCAGACCGAGCACCACGGAGCCTCACATTCCACCATTTCCTGCTTTTTATTTAATATTCTTTCCATTACTCCAATCAACTTCAAGATACTAACCTTCTGAGTATTGATATGTCCAAGTAAGGCTCTGGCTTCAGACCATCGAATTCCGTTGGCCGCAAATATTCCATCTTCTAGATCGGCGTCCGTACTTGGGTTCGTGATTCCCGTCATCGAAGGGAGAAGCTATGGTTATCGTGAAAATTCTGGTCAACGAAAGGGTTTGGTGAAATCGGATTTTCATTTGCCAATCTTACGGGCATCCCCCAGCGTTGTCTTTGTTCTCTTTGACTCCGCTCGAGAGATTATCAACGTCGTACCCTCGATCTCCGGAAGCTGTGGGGTTTTACACGGCGACCTAGAAAGAAAATCCGGGTAGACTTTGGGCTTGGGAGCCGCAGTTATCACTACTAGTCATACAGCAAACAGGAGAGTTGCGCTTTCCCCTTCAATATCTTGCATTGACGGAAGGTGTTGGAATGTGAAGCTATTCTTCCAACTACCCGTATAACGTCTCAACTCAGAGTCGTGCTCATCAAAATCGGCCCCGCAAATGTTTGTCCCGTTGTCGAGGCCTGATCATATTTTTTGCATGTTTCCAGTCGCGGGCCTGACTCATGAGGTTACTCCCTATTAACCGCGAGTCCAGCCTCTTTGATGTCTTGTTCCCAGTTGCTGACATCACATAGCCAATCGATAGTATTCATCATTAACTCTATGACAGCAGGCACTTGATCTTCAGAGAAAGCTCGAACTTTGGAAAATTTCCGACTCTGAAAACCTAGTCATCGATAAGAACACCTTGGCTCATCCTCTTTATGATTTCGGTCAAGAGGAAGCCTCGACATAGAATCGGCAGCGAAAAACCTACTGCCTTGCGCCCCTGAGTCTGCCATCCTCATCGCTCCGTAGAGGCTCGCCATCACATTGCCGATTTCATCTCTTTCCCAATATTCTAGGTTATCCTTTGTCGCGATTCGCACCCACCGGCGTGCAAGCATCATCAAGCCACTCGGAGCACGAGGCGCGCAGGCGGAGTACTTCATATTTGCAAGTCGTTCTCTGGGGTTGTAGCGCATGGATGCAATTGCTTCGCCTGGTGGCGTGTCTTGTTGGCGCTGTCAGTTCAGTAAACGGCACGGTACGAGCTTCTTCTTGTGCGGGCTCTTTTCCCACCGTCCTCCAAGCTTTCGTCGTTCGCCTCGCTTGACCTCCTCTCCTTTCCCTCCGTATGGTTTTCATCAAGAATGTGTGAGTTCTCTCGCGTATGCGATTGCTCCGCCTTCAGCTGTCAGAAGGGAAGAGCTGCCGAAGAGGGAGCAAAATACGGGTGTCGCGTGTCCGAAAAATAGCGTGTAAAATGCAGAAAGCGTCGCAAAGATTGTAGACGGTATGCGTGGGATATTATTTGACGGCCATTCCTACTTTAGTTTTAGAAAGATTTTATCAGGGTTAGAGTAGGACCTAAGAGGAGTGGTGAGCTTATTTATCTTTTTACTCCGGCCCGAGAAGATGTCTAATTAGATTCGCGGAATCCGACCCGGTTGCGAATTGTATAGCGCGGGGGATACGGTGTAACGGTTACATGAGCTACAGTAGTATCATCAGGTAGAGGAGCAGAGGAGCAGAGGAGAGTGCACGGGAAATAGCCGAAATGGTGGAGTTGCTATGAGCCGTTGAACAGGGTCTTGCCGAACTGCACCGGCTCGTGTGGAAAGCTAAGTCGAATGAGGAAGGCGTAGAGTAAAGTAAAGAATCTTAAGTCGATCGTCCGTATCAACGTATCACCGACCACCGTATCAGTAGCGCTCATGATTCATTCAGTAGTAGGTACATGTACTTTATGATTCGTGAATCCATCAAGGCTCCGAAGAGTACTGTAGGGACGGAAAGATATCAGCGCATACCTACGCGTAGATGATAGAACAATCTGAACGAATACCTCAGATCTCAATGAATGAGATGCTTTACTGTACTACGTTTGATTTTCGATGTTTGCACCCCACAAACCGGACTTCCCGGATACCCTCGATCTTATCGCTTGGCACTCGGCACTTGGCGTCATCATCACATTAAAATACCAGAACTAACCTACGGATTTCGTCCCGTACTCAAACAGCGATTCAGTGTACAAGAGGAGAGCATGTTCAGCATACTGTAGAGATTGATTTCATCGGTCGACTACGATTGAGAGTAGTCGTCATGTAAAGCCGTAGTCGCATGCTTGCTTGATCAGGGGCAAAGTAAGACAATAAGAAAATAAGAAGAACATGGATTACGAATATTCGTACACGCGTCCAGCTGCCGAAAAAAGCCGTGCTGGGCAATGAAATGATGTAGAACTGCCAAGGACGATGCCCAGAATAATGCCAAGTGAAGCACACGACCTCTTTCTGGGAACAGCGCCGACCTTTTACTTATCTGTTTGGACCTTGGAGTCTTCTTCTTCTTCTTCTTCTTCTTCTGCTTAACGAATTATAACCATGTCACCCGTCTTCTAATATATCTCCCTCTGCTTCCCTCCTTTTTCGCTGTCTTCCTAACACTCCAGCAACATCATCCCCACGTCAGCATTGCGAATCCATACCCCGGTCCCCGCTATATCTCCCGTCGCTCTAGGCTCTAGCATAGAGCATTCCGTTGCCGCTCTGCAGTCTGCAAACAAACATTGGCCCTCCCTTCGGGGACAAGTGAGCCTCGAGTGCTCTTTGTACATATCTTGTAACCTTGATAGAACGCGCCATCATGAGGATACGACCAGTACTTCTTTCCCTCGCCCTCCTGTCAGACCTTCTCGTTGAAGCCTTCCTCATAAATCCACCAAATCACCAATCGATTTCCGCATCGCTTACCAAGAGGAGGAAAAAGAAGCCGCCAAAGACGCCAGCCGATGGCTGGGCCAAATACTTCCACGAACCTGGTGGCACCGACCTCTCAAATCACTATGATAGCAGATACGAGCACGGCATCCTGAGCTATGAAGAGAAGCAGGATTCGCAGGTACATATAATGAGGGCATATCTAGACTTTTTCAAGAAAAACAATATAGAGACATGGCTGGCACATGGCACTTTGTTGGGTTGGTGGTGGAACGGAAAGGTATGACCCCGGCCTGAGAATGCACATGTGCCGACACTCACATCTCGCTTAGATGCTTCCGTGGGATTGGGACATAGACACCCAAGTCTCCGGGCCTACACTCATGTTCCTGGGCAAACATTTCAACGGCTCCATATACGAATACAATTCCGCAGACTCAGACCCTGATCTGCAACCTGTGGTCGAGCGGCAGTACCTGCTCGACGTCAACCCTGCCATAGTAGAGCGAGATCGTGGTAATGGAGACAACGTCATCGACGCGCGTTGGATTGACATACGAAATGGTCTCTACATCGATGTGACCGGCCTCTCCGAGACGGAACCACTGGACCAGCCAGGGGTGTGGAGTTGTAAGAACTACCATCACTACAGGACTACGGACCTGTATCCCATGAGGGAGACTATGTTCGAGGGAGTTGTTGCCAAGGTGCCGTATGCCTATGATCGGATTCTCGCAGAAGAGTACCAAGAGAAGGCATTGGTCGTGACGGAGTACGAAGGGTATGCTTGCATGGCCAGCAATCCCAAAGACACCTACTGATGCGTGTACAGTCACAAGTGGCATCCGGACATCAAAGAATGGATCAAGAAGACTCCCGACGAGATCAAGCAAGAACGCCTGAGCAGGCAACAAGCTCGGCGGAAGAAGCAGGAGGAGAAGGCACAGAGGAACAAAGATAAAGAGGAAAAGGAGAAAGCGGAACAGGAGGCCAAGGAAAAGGGCGAGGCCGTCCCCGATGAGGGAAAGAAGGACGAAAAAGAGGAGGAGCATTCCGCTGACCAAGGCATCAAAGAGCCCGAGAAGGAGCCCATCAAGGTTAAGCGTAACGCAGAGCCTGATCCTGAACCTGACCCCGAACCAGTTGCAGAGCTAGAATTGATGAGGGAGTCTTCAGGCCTGGCACACCTCCGTCATCGACATTTGGATTACATTGTATGAACACAAGAGTGCTCGACGCGCTACACATATTGGCCATCTCGCACATACTCGGCTCGGCTGTTCGATACCGATGATACCCACAGCTTGTTGCATTCCATTGTTCTATCTTTTCGCAGCATTGTTTGTCCACCAGCATTTGTCGGCGCAACAGCGAGCCTTTTCCTACTGCCACAGCTCTCCCATTTTGGAAATTGTTACCTGCACAAGGATCGGCGTAGCCCATGGAAATAAAATTTGGTGCTCCAAATGGAGCGAGAGTCGATTGGAAGGATTCAGGGGGCATAGTTGTCCGTGCATAAGATGCCGCTACATTGTACATATTCACTGAGCTGTTGTAAATAGTCATGTCTATATGGATGGCCAGTGTTCTCTCAAGTCTTCATCCCCCGGAATTCAGCTCACAAACGTCACATGCCACAGCTCACAATCTCCGCACAGGGCAATCTAGGTTCCTAGACCAGTGCTTCCAAAGTCAGACAGACGTGGCACGACTGGAGTCAGTGGACCGGTATTTGGGACGTCTCGACCATTGGGTGATGTGCTCCACCACTGGCGCCACTGCTCATACGCTTGGTTAGAAAAGTCCGGCGTGGCGTACCTGCCTTTCCGCATAGCCGTACATCCCCCAAAAAGCAAGCTGTCTGCCTGCCATCGTCATCTGCCTCGTACCGCCCACGCCGGGCCAAAGAGGCTGCTCTCGACGCGTCTCCACGGCCGACGAGCGTTGATTGGAACTTTGAAATAGGGCCGGCGGCGTACGGAACGCTTTCACAGAAGAGGTGGAGGAGAATAGTAGTGTTGGTCTCAGCATGCATGATACGATGGAGTCCAGTGGTTGTATGTGGGGCCCCATCCTATCATCCCGTCGGGGATGTGGTATGAGATTCCTTGTCGCTATGTTTTGGATGAGTTTCGACCCCGGCTCACAATCTAGACTTTGTATCTTTTTTTTTGTTTCCAAAAGACATACCTTATAGCCAAGGTGCTTCAGGAAAAGCAAAGACTATAGATCCTGACGAATGTTAGAATATTCGAGAGTATGTGAGACCTTGTTGTTACCAGAGAATAGGGCCATTATCCGTTCCGAAAGGGGCCGTTCTATCAAATCCCTTTGTTGGGATTTTAATAGGGTAGCCAGATGGCTACGCCCGAGCTTTTTGCCATTCGTTTCGATTCGGCTTCGCGATTCATGTTTGATCTTTATTTCGCCTCTCTGGTTTGCAAGCTCTGACTGCAATCGCAGGGATAACATAGTGCAAGCCGGAGTAGTGAACCGCATTCCGTATGTATGAGACATTCTTCTTACAAGCGAGCCTCAGTTCAATACTCTTTACATCAATCATCATCTCCCAACTCCACCCTCCTTCTCCTTATCTGCCTCGTCCTGAAAACTCCTCTCCAACGCCACCTGCGCATCAAAATCTCTCTTGACACTCGCCACCTGCGCCGTCAACGGATTCACCATTGCATCCGCCGCGGCCTTCTGACCTGCTTCTTGCTTGTTCAGTCCTTTCCCACTTCCTAGATGCTGATCCTTCCAACCCCATCCTGTCAGATAGACACCGACTTGAAAGATCAGCTTTCCTTCCTGCCTAATCTCCACGGGAGGTGCTTCATCACGGTAGTGGATTTTGATTCCTTTGCCCATGATTTTCGCCGCCAGCTGCATTTTGGCCTTTGGATCTACTATCTCTGTATCCTCGCGTTTTTGCGAGCCCAGCTTTAATTCCCAAAGCGCTGCGAGCCATGCTTCTGCAACTTGAAATCCTTGTTCAGGATCTGAGATGATGACGGCAGCTACAAAGGCTTCGAAAATGTCGCCCAAAGTCTTCAGCCATAGCTTTCTGCTGTCTTTCCCTGGCGTGTTGTAAGTACTAGGCAGCTTGGCTTTCTCATCAAAACCGTACGCGAGGGCGTATTCAGCAAGTGTTTCGTTTTTGACAAGCATTTCACGCTGCTGAGATAGTCTACCGGCTGCAAGACGTGGAAAGCGAGGGAAGATTACTCGTGTTGCCATGAGCTCGATGTAAGCGTCGCCAAGGAATTCGAGGCGATCGTAGCTGATGTTAACCTTTGAGGCTGTGTCGCAGCTCAGAGAGCCCGGATGCGTGAACGCAACGGACTGGAGAGCCTTGTCTAGGATAGGTGGAAGTGGCGGGAGGGTTGAAGGGCGGCCATTGTAAGGTGGAAACTTGACGGACTCTTTTGGAGATGTGGAGGATGGACGGTGTTGGGTGGATACGGACGAAGATTGTTGAAACACTGGAAAATTCAGAGCCTTGCCCAAAGATATAGAGTCGCCATTGCCATTCGACTGCTTAACGTGAAGTGCATTGCCCGAAAGCCGTGGATCTTGGACTTGGGCCTGAGTAGACATGGACGCTTGCTGAGGATAATCATGGGCCTCTCTGTCGCTGTCTGACAGGGGCTCTGAAACAAGTTTTCGTGTGTTCTTTTGGCTCTCGCTGACTTGAGAAAGACTTTGACCTACGTGAGAGGATGCGGGTTTTGGAATGAGGGACTTGTCGCTAGAAGATGCCGAGTGTTTCTGCTTCTTCTGCGAAGACTCCAAAAACCCTCCGCCGGAATCGTGGCTTCGCTTCTTGCCCATACCGTAAACTGCTGGAGAAAGGTCTCTATTTTTGAAGTTTAGACAAAGAAGAAAGTAGTCACCGGCAGACTGTACCGAAATTGCTACCTTCCGAAGAACTATACAAGACAGAGTACTTCAATAAAAATGCTTCAAGCTTGAGAATGATGAATTCTGTCCATATGGCTCCTGGCCTAGAATGCAACTGTAAGAAGTGAGATGGTTTCACATATCACCTCCGATTACCTAGTCTGTTATGGGACATGATGACTTCCAAGATATGTTGACATTGAGTGGTGAAAGCGAGGGCTTTTTTGCAAATCAATAGGGCTGACCCCTAGCGCGAAATGGACGTCGGCCTAAAAGTATGAGACCTTCGGCCTCTTTTAACTTGACATTGTTTCAATCCGCCTCGCTCAACAACGATGTCGGTCCCTCAGTCTCGTATCTTTGATCTTCTTCAGGTATTCTACTATCAATCCCACCTTTCTTCTCCTGCAGCCCCTATACTAACGCCCAATCCAGGTTCAATGCCGCATTTTCTCCCAGACCTTTAACCCCCAGCGCCTACGGACCGGCAATCGAGTACTCCGCCAACGATTACGGGGACCTTCCGTCGCTGCCTATTATCCCCGACGTGTCGCCACAATAAAAGATCTGAAAAATCTGTACAAAGGCTTTGATGAGGAGATGGAGACGTGGGATGACGATGAGGAAGACAGATTGGAGCATTTATTGCTGGCGAAGCAAAGGGGTAAGGGAGCGCCGAAGAAGAAGAGGACCGCTGAAGGTGAGTCTTTATCCTGTTTGCTGCTCAGATGTGAGAGAAACGCCTGCTAATACGTCGATATTCAGAAAGCAAGAAGATAAAGGGGAAGAAGAAGCCTGCTGTTGCGGCGATAGCGCCAAAGGAATCAAAGTTCTAGCAAGAGTAATCCTGTATTTACGCATAGCATAGGAGTTTAGGCGAAAGGGCCTGATCAAACCTGAAGGGTCGGGTCATATCCCAGTTTTTGATGCAATTAGCTACAATACTGGGCAACCGAGGTCCGCCAACAAATAGGCGGACGGTAGAGGTAGAGAGCAAAGCTGCGTAGGTGGTATCAACGGACCTTCAGTGATGGTATCATTGGTATGTGATGCTATGGACTATCTATGGTTTCTCTCATTCCCCTCCCTAGCAGCTACACTCCAGAGGATGTGAGTGACTTGAGCGTTATTCTGGCTCAACTGGGATCCTGACCGCACGGTATCTCCATTTGAGGTCAGAGACATTGATAGAGCATTACGCCCCGTCCGACTTGACCACGTAGGTGAAGCTTTTGGAATTTCCAACGTCGAACTGTTTCTCATGTCCGTTCTTCAACTCAAAAATCTCTCCTCAGAAAGCAGTCCCAGTCCCCGCACCTTCCCCACTCATCGCCTCCAAGGCCTCTTCTGCCAACTCGCTCCTCAGCCCATCCCTTCTACTCTCCCTCTCTTTGCTGTCCCATTCCCTAAGGCCCCTTCTCTTCTCCCTTTGCTTCTCGTCGATCTGGTCTTGCAGTTTCTTTTTTTGCTCCTCCAGCTCTGCCAACCGCTTTCTCGCAGCTGGATCCAATGCACTTGGCAAAGCTTCGCCACCTGGGACGATAGCTGGCACCGAAGCGAGGTGGTTTGTATTAAAGCGCTGGGTGCGTGGATATGTAGTCGAAGATGAGTTGTTTGAGCGGAAGGGCGGTGGAGCGCGGTATGAAGACTCGAATGGTGCCGAAGGCCCGTGGTGGGCCCGCGGACCGTGCGGAATGTGCTCTGATGGCGGCGGGCGGGACTCATATTGCTGGCGGGATGGAGCGTGGTAGGTTGATTGTGGTGGTGGACGGCCGCCGCGATGAGGTTGTGGACCGCTGTAAGGCTGACCCCGAGAGTCTCGCCCTGCGAAAGAAGGGCCGCCGCGAGGGCGAGTGGGTGCGGAGAGAACAGATGCGCTGGCTGGGCGATTGTGAGCAGACATGGAGATCGGAGCTGAAGGTGGAGGTCCGGAGGGAGATTCGCGGGCATAAGAATCTCTGTAGCCTCCCGGTCCACTTGGAGGAGGACGAGAGTCTCCATTACGGTATCCTGATGATTGAGGCGTTGCCATCTGTGTGCCTGACCAGGTGGCAGGAGTGTCGCCATTTCGATAGTCGTCTCGCTCTCGTGGGGGCGGTGATCGTGCACGATAAGGTACAGCTTCGCGCGGTGGAGAGACGGGGACTGGCGAATAGCCTCTTCGTGGAGGCGATTTATCGCGATAGCCCGAATATCTTGCAGCAGGGGGTACGCGGGAGCCTCTGAAAGCGGGAGAATGAGGACCTGATCCAGTATTTGCTAGCCTGTCTGTATGAACATAAGGCGAAGAGCGACGAGAAGAGATCGGGGAGGCGATGCGAGAGGCGTGCTCAGTACGTCGTACTGGAGAAGCAGAGCGTTCGGGATGACGGTAATTACTCTCGTTCGGGAATCTAGGTCGTGCATTCCTGAGAGGAGAGAAATCGCGTCTCTCGTATCTCTCCCTGGTTGGTGAAGGTATCCTTTCTCGTTGAGAGGGCGACCGCGGTCTGCGGTACGGCGATGATTCTCTCTTCACAGGAAGTGGCGATCTCGCTCGAGGCACTGGAGATCTGGAGTAGCGACGTGTTCTGGGAAGGGGTGATCTGGCGCGTGTATCTCTTCGAGGCGAATATGCCCTCGCTGGGGACCTCGGTCTTCCTCTGTAGCTGCTTCCATCCCTACCCCTATATGCTGGGCTTCGCGAACGTCGTCGATCTGCTGCTGGAATATATGTGTCTCCATACGGAGGTGGAGTGCGCCCTCTTCGAGGCGAAGACCGATAGCTACGAAAATTGTCTGACCGAGGTGGTGGATTGCGTTCTGATGGTCGATATGTCTCCCCACCAAGAGGGCGGGTATTCTCATACCTGCGGCAGACAACGCGTCAGAATAATGTTTTGCACAAAGCTTCTCTTACTTTCCCGCGAAACCAGGACAGGGAGACATATGGGACACTCGTAGTTCAAAGCTCCCAAAGTTCTATGGAGTAACGAACCTTCGGTCACGACCTCTATCCATAGTGTTGATATGTGCGTAGCCAAAGGGAATAAGGGAGTAAAGCTATTTTTCTCACAACTCAACCAGGAGCAGCTACGAAATCCCGCAGACTGTTGTCGAGTGCGACGGTGTTGCTCGTCACAAATATTTCCAAAAGTTTAGCTCGGCACGCTAACCGCATTAGGATTCTGGACTAGTTTCTTCAGCATCGCTGCCGTCACTCACAGGACTGGCTGATTGTAGGTATATTTGCTGCATTGTATTTCTGGAAGGGCGTCGGGCTCAGATCAGTCCTTATGTGCATGGCCAGTAGTGAATTTTGAAGCCTCCTCCGCATTCACGGTCATAGTGACGCATTCCTTATTACTTCTTGAGATTCACTTGCAGCCGAAAATTGGTATCTTGAACGAGCAATCCCGAATTAATCTCACACTCCTAGCGCCTGCTTCTCCTTTCCTCGTCCCTCTTCTGCCTCTTTCGACTTTCGCTAGCTATCATGTCACTCAAATCTTCTTGAAACCCATAGTTGCCTTGATCCTGCTGCTTCTGCGCTTCATATAACCTCTTCATGTCTTCCTTGTCCAACTTGTCTTTAGCCTGCAGATCATCTGGGTTCATGGCTACATCCACATCACCAGGCTTCTTCCTCTTCCTGTTCTGATCCTCTTGACCGAGGACCGGCAGGCTGCTCTGAGCTGCCTTGAGATCATACGTCCGATCTCCGCCAAAGAAACCGGAGACTCTTGCTTGTTGCTCAGGGATGACCTGGTAGGCGGTCCGATGGTGCGTAGACTCTTCCGTGTCTGTGCCCCGTCTTTGCTTTCGTAAGTCGAAATCACCCGTGACGCTCTCTGCCCCGCCGTATTCGGACGGAACCGTCGATGCTATGCCTCCTGGCGTCTCCAACCCACTTGGAGTCTGCAACCCTGCGCCAACGTCTTCGACATCACCATCTTCATCCTCCTCGTCACTCTCTTCTTCTTCTTCTGACTCTTCCTCAGGCTCTTGCAGTTCGCCCCAAAGAGTCTTCTCTACCGGTTCTCCTAATTGAGTATTCTGCTGCGGCTGTAGAACACCAAAGATATCACCGCCGTATAAAGGCCGATTGTACTCGTCCACAGGTGGCTTGCCATATCCACCAGGATGAAATCCCCATGCCCCACCAGGCGGGGGAGGAGCATTGAGTCCTGGTATCTTAAGCGCAGTATAAGATGGCGGTGGGCCAAAGCGCTGTTGATTGATCAGCCATGGCGGCGGCGCGCCGGGTGGAATGTTTAGAGCTTCCTTCAACTCTTCGCTGAGCTCACCAGGTCGCAGATGTTTGAGATTAGTCTCATACTCCTTGCCTTCGTAGTACACTTCTCCATAGCGGGTGAGCTCTGGCTTGGTCTGGAATCTGAAAAAAGCTTCGTAGAGTTTTTGATAGTCGATATCAAGCTTGCCCATCTTCGGTTGCACTCGCTCTCGTTGCTTTTGTTTGAGGCTCGCCTGGTCCTGCTTCTCCAAAACGGCGTCTCGCATCTCCGCGATCCCGGTTTCCTGGATGAACTTAGGTAGGGCAAAAGGTGGCTTTTCCACACCGCGCTTGGATGATAGATACTCACGCTTCAGAGACCAATGCGATGGCACTGGTACAACATTTCGGTATGCCTTGATGTGCACAAGTAATCGGGGATCTGAAGCTGAGGTATCTGTCCAATCCACCGTCTCCGGTTTCTCGACTAAAGCCTTGAGTTCAGCAACCGAGAGTTTGTCTCGCTCCTTTCGCTTCTTTCTCGACATCTTCGGTTGCCCTGCCTCTTCTTCCTCGTCGGGTATCTCGTCGTCATCATCGTAGTAGATCTCAGGTTTTTCTACCTCTTTCGTAGACGGATCCTCCTTGTCACTCTGCTCAAATCTGCCCATGATGTCCTTGTACATCTCATAAAGAGGGTCTGTTTCGCTAATGCTGTCAATGCCATCAGAGATCCCATCTTGCTCTTCGTCCGCTGGAGCTGCAGGCTCAATTATGGATGTCGCCGGTTCTGGTTCCCTGGAAAGCTCTGGATCTGGTGCAGAACTCGCCTGTGATAGCTAGTAAGTAAATAGAATTCCACTGCGTAGATGCGACATACCTCATTGTGTTTCGCGGCCTTCTTCTTCGCTCTTCGGAGCTGGTTTTTCGTAGGCTTCGTTGCAGTAGACATCGTGGCTTCGAGGTAGCGATAACACTCTAACAGACGGGAGGACCTCGATTGGAGGCTTGATAGGAAAAGTTCTCAGTTCTTTCAACGCTGAGTGGCAGAAGTGTTGCAATGTAAAGGTTTGATTGAGATGAGCGCTGGAGTGAAGCACAGAGGAAGATCCACGCTAGTTTGAGCCTTACGAGGCGACCCTGAGATTTCCTGGCCATCAATCTACGATTGCTTAATAATAAATCATCCACTCTACATCAGATTGCAAGTATGAGTTGAGAACACCAGATGGGATTGATCTATCAAATGCTTCTAAATGCAACGAATGCTTCTGCTTTGATCCATCATTGCTCGTTCATCCATCTGTGCAAAGCATCCGTATAGGACAGCTCGGACAGTATCTCTAGCGCGAAACAGAATATTCTGGCTGAAGGGTTGTAGTCGTACGCGTGTCAAGGAGGAAAACCATAGTGGGCTGGAAAGTGGTGCATGCTGCGGTCATTGCGGATGAGCAGGTAAGCATCGTGGGGTGCTATCATGGACCACGCATACGTCCCAGCTGCGCCTTTTAAAAGATGCGGGATAAAGCTATGCGTGGTCAAATGCATAAATCGGATTTCGTATTAAGAGTCGTAAAAAGGAAATTCGTGACAGAATGAAAATCTGTGTCTGAGTATGGTGTACCAATATGGACACAAAGTATCAAAATGGCTCTGTGTCCATACTTGGGTCCCATGTAGAGGCCACCAACATGATTCCGCTAGATCGAGCAGAAATGTCGTTGAACTCCTTGCAGAATGCTAGGAAAGGCCTAAAGACCAAACGTGCTTTCCAAACGCGTAAAAAGAGTGCCAATGAGCGCCATGCTTTCACATGACTTCGATATCTAGCCAATCGATATCATGTCGGCAAGATGATCTGAAAACTTCTGCCGTATTCGTAAATGTGTATCGTGAGGTGGCCGTGATGTTCGTGTCGTCATATCGATTACAGTCTAGATCAAGGGTTCTCTTCAGAAGAAGCCACCGTTGACTTGAGGCAGACGCGCGTAAGATTGAGCAGGCTGTTGTACAGATTGTTGATTGTCCGGACTAAATTGCATAAAGTTGTTCGAACCGTTGCTCATACTTTGAGCGTGAGATGCTGGAGGCTGATACTGAGGGTAGGTGCCGCCAAAAGGGGCAGCGAAGGCGTTGTTGACGGCATTGTATCCATTGGAAGGTGCTGCGTACGTGTTTGAGGCAGGACTAGAAGTCATCTGTAACGACAAGGGGATCTGCCCTGAAGAGCGGTCGGTTGGAGTGCCGCTACCACTGAATCGACCTTGACCTTGGCCTTGACCTTGGCCTTGACCATGGCCTTCTTGTGCCATGATCTTGCTCTGAATGCGACGGCCGTGGGGCGTTTGACGAACCAGTGGCAGAATTGGGCGGATAGCTTCGACGAGGCGACCTTTGGTCTCCGGGTCCGCGAAGTCTAATGCTGTCTGGACAACGTAGTTGGCGTATGGGTCGCGCAACATTTTCTCGAGCTCATTGGCGTTCAGCATTTCTTCAATCATCATCTGTGTAACATTCAATTGGGCTCCACGAAGACACTTCTCGATGACATTGGAGCTGAACTTCTGCTTTGACAATTGAGGTATCTGGCCTTGGAAGACATAGCAGAGCGGGTCAGTGAAGCAAGACTCCTGGAGGTCGACAATGTACTGAAGGACGTAGTTGCCGAAGGGATCTTGAACAAGATGGAAGGCGCTGTTGGTGATTTGACTGATGAGCTTGGCTTTCTGGTGACCGGTGGCGTGATCTATGCAACGCTGCAGCACGCAACAGCCATGACGATGGGTTCCAACGGACACGCAGTTGGTGCCAACAGTATCAAAGATGAACTACCGTTGGTCAATTAAGTTTTACCGAGGCATGAAAAGATAACATACCTGAGCATCTTCCGGGGAGAGACGATTCAGACATTTCTGAATGACATGATTGCCATTCAAGTCCTGGATGAGCTCTACTACCTTACCATTGAGAGCATTGATGACGGTCTGAATCTGCTCGGGCGTAGAGACGAATTCTATCATCTTCTGCAGAGCGCGCGTACCATGGCTGTTCAAAGCGATCTTGACCATCTCCGAGGCGGCGTTGTTGATCAAGACTGTACGCTGCTCATCATTTGAGAACTCAAGCAGCTTCTGGCAGAGATAGTTTCCAAAAGGATCTATGTTCGTCAGCAGGAGCACTCCCAGTGTTGGCATGGGAATAAGTACCAGTCATGAGCTCTACGACATGCTGGTGTGTCTCGATGAAAATCAGCTGGACATGCTCAGGATTGCGCTCTTCCAACTTCTTCTGCAGGTAACGACAGCCATGCTGGTCTTTACAAAGTAAGAGGATCTCGCCTTGAAAATTTTCTAATTTGACGTTGGTGAAGCGGGCATTTTCTGGAATCTGTCAGTGACGGTAGTCGAGAGAGGTGGGTTTGGAGTTACCTTCACCATTTTGCAAGCGTCTCTGCTGGATAACACGCGCTTGGCTATCCTGGAACCGGCCTTGAGGACCGTAACTCGGATAATGAGGTAATCCGTTCTGCGGCTGGAAAGGTTGCATCTGGTTATGGAAAGCCATAGGATTGGCCATATGCATCGGATTCAGTCCCATGTTCATCATCTGCATTCCAAAGGCAGGGTAGTAGGCATGGTTTGGAAATTGCATCGCATTGTTAAGCTGAGCCATCGCATTTGGCATTGAATCGACGGGCGAGGCGGCGGTCGTAGGAGGACCAAAGGGAGCAGCGCTGGCTTGCAACCCAGATAGGACCTGTTGGTAACCATTCGGCTGCTCATCACGTCGGGCATCGCCTCCCGAAAGCTCACGGCTATGACGATTGCTCATCGCACTCGGAGGAATACGGCCCAAGCTAGCGTTGTGGTTGTGGAATTGTTGCTGAGCTTGAGTCTTGGGAGGAGTGATATTCGACATCAACCCATTAGCTTTCTTTAGTGTAGGGACATCGTTAGTCGAGTATGAAGAGTGGATGTTTGCTAGCGTAGGTCGGACTGGCTCGTTCGACACAATTTGCCCGTGTTGGGTTGGCTGACCATATGCGGCCAAACTTGCCTCCATGGAGTGTCGGTTCAGTCGAGTATTGCCCATGGACTCAGAAGACTTCTGAGAATCGGAGTTGGAGGTACCGTTGCTCGAAGGACCGAGCGACAAGGAGTTCATAGTCTGTGGCAGCGCCTGCTGAGAAAGGCGGTGACGCGCGAATGGAGTCCATCCTTCGCCGTGCTCTGGACTTGAAAGTGCCAGGTCTAGTGCAGCCGAAGATGCAGAGAGCTGCAGCAAGCCATTAGCTATGACCATATCTTCAAGTCCTCGCTATCACTTACGACTCCAGGGAATTCGTTTCGACGGACCAAAATTGGAAACTTATCGTCTGTGGCATTCATTTGCAGATAGCTTTTGACATCAGGGGAAGTGGTGGACTCTTTAGAATCTTCATCGTCAAAGAGAAAGCTCGTAGTATTGATTTGTCCCAAGCCCATAGTAGCAGAGTGCTCAGGTACGGTCTCGTGGTTCCGGCTTCTCAGCCCAGTGACAGGCATGGAGTAGCGGTTGTTGACTGCGGCATTGCGACGGCTTGTACCATTTGTCTCCGGGACGTAAGCCGCTGTTCTGTCGCTAGACCCACGCCGAGATCCCGGTACAGACCTTGACGGAAGCATATCCGAATTGAAGGAATTGTGTGGTGTCTGGGTTAAATCCGACGGAGGTGACGTGAGCTGGGAGCCAGAACGGCTGCTACGAGTGTTCAGACCGGGAGGAGACGTGATGCTCGAGGAAGAGTACCGATTGCTCCGAGCAAATACTGACGGAAAGGCGTGGTCACGGTACTCAGGAGGTGTCGTAGGTTCACTCTGGTGTCCAGCGTTGTAGCTAGCTCGCTCAAGGTCCAATGTCATTCTGTCCAGTTCTTCTTTCTGACGGGCCTCTTGAGTCTGGAAGTCGAACAGCAAGGCGGCGTGTTTCTTTCGCTGTTCTGCAAGCATCTCGTATTCCTGCCTCTTCTTCTCAACCTGGAGGGATTCAATGTCAGACATCTTGGCGGAACGACGGGGCTCCATGGATTGACAGGGTCGGAGAGAAGGGTTGCTTACTAGCTGGGCCGTGTGGAAAGTCTAAGTGAAGGGATAGTCAGCAAGCTGTAGCATACTGTAAGACAATCATAAGGTAAGAGCACCAAAGATGTGCAAGAACAGTTTTCTTTTCACTGAATGAGCTAAAGATGGGAAAATGATGGAAAATAATCAGGAAAAGCTGGACTCGTTTCGGGATCTCGCGTACACACCGTAGGCAAGTCACCTGGCTCCACTGCCTGAGCGGGCTGTTGACCGATCGGGGTGATACCGGGCATCTTGCTCAAATCAGTGGTTTGACGACGCTGTAGACTTCCTCGTGCGTCGTTGAATGGCTGACTCTGAGTCTGCATGAAACTTCCAGAGTATCTTGTGGGAGTTGTAGTTACGGTAGTGTTTGAGGATGAAGGAGGGTTTGGTGATCGTAGCTCGTCGTAACGAGCGGAAAGTGCGTTGTAAGAAGCCATGCTGTAGTGATCAAATAGAATGCATCAGCGTTGTGATACAGCGATGATCAAGTAAGGAAGGCAGGCGGGGCAGGTGGTGGTGAGGGAAAGTGTGGAGGTTGAAGAGGTTGAAGATGTGAGAAAGGAAGAAGAGGAATAGTGAGGAAAAGACTTTGTAGGATTGGATGCCGGCTGTGAACTCACTGAAGTGAATGAAGCACAGTGCATAAACAATGTGAAGTTGCAGAGTCTCAATGGTAAAATTCTGGCGTCAATCAATTGGGTCTTCCGAGTGAATAGAATTGCATTGGTTCGGCCTGCGAAGACCCTTACAGATCCTCGTATCTTGCGGATTCGTACAGGTGGTTTGAAGAATGAAAATGGTGAACAAGGGATAGTCGTCGTACAAATACAAGGACACACAATGGCACCAACGGGGGGATGGGTCAAAGTAAAGAAAGGAAGTGGGATATTGGCAGGTGGAAGTGGGCTGGCTCACTGGAGACTGGAGATTAAAGCCGCTGGGGTCCAGATTTCATGCGCTAGTACTCCAGGTTAGCACTTCATGCTGCTCTACAACGTCCTGGTACCTTAGTTTCACTAGTTAGTTTCAAGGAAAAATAAATCTATGGCATTATTATTATTATTATTATTATTATTAGTATTAGTATTAGTATTATTATTATTATTATTATTATTTGTTGGTTTAAAATAGTTATCCTGAATTCAAAATTGACTATGCTCGCCATCCGAGAATTCTCATGTGAAAGCTCCCGAAGACTCTTCCAGGAATTACCTTATTGCCCATCTTGCTTGCTTTGCTTGAAGAGACAATGAGAAAGTAGTAATTCGCTCGCTGGTCCCGGATTACCCCATCAAAGTCCCCGCAGCATCGGTGTAGATAGCACTGCCCATTTAAGCCAGCTCATAGTTTCTCCGATGCAGGAAAAATGAGGCTCATGATTTAAGCGTGGTAGTTCCCCTGGATCTAACGGCTCCCGTTGCAGCCTTTTAATTCGGAAGCAATAATGTAAACCATCCCTTCTACCAAAGGAACCAAGGAGGATTCTAGCCGAGCGCAAGAGAATGTTCCCCGCTGGTTACATGGTAGAATGTATGGGCCTATTGCCAAGGAGTGGAAACCGAGATGCAGAAAGCGAGAAACCCCACATCAAGCGGTGAACAGTGGAAAGCACTAGTGCCGTCAGGGTCCGGTCTAAGCGGTTGATCTGCCGCTCTATAGGGCAAGTACATCCCGAGCATCATAGGATGGAAATCGAAAGAAAAAACCCCCACCTGTCCACCACACATATCTAATCTCACCAATCAGATTCTCCACATCAAAAGTCTTGACGGAAAAAAATGAGAAGCAAGTATCCATGCCTCCTTCTACCCGTACCAGGTCTGTCGAGCCTGTAGCGGCATTCAAAAAGGCAAAGTCTGCCAAAGATTCTTCCCAAGTATGCATGCTATGTGAAATGAATAGAAACGTTGATGGTAACTAACACATGATAGTCGGCGTCAAAACCACCAGCAAAGAAAGTCAGAATAGTAGCACCGCAGAATGAAAAAGAGGCTGCGCGCGAAGATGATGCAAGTGCAGTGGGCCCAAAGCCTCCAGCGAAGAGTGGCCAAGATGATGTGTGCATTCATTCCCATTTCAAACCTCGAGAGGCTGTTATTGAAGTTGCCCTAGGGTTTTGATGCTCTTCTCGAGCCTTTCTACCAAGGAAAATCTCTGACAGATCCCATCGATACAGCAAAGGTAAGATGCCTCATTCCTTCCACTTCCCCTTTGTCGTATCACGTTGCATCATCTCGTATCTTTGAACACACTTCATGCCCGCAACGAACGAGTGAACGAAAGCAAAAAAGACTTGTCCAATATAGTGCTCGTGGCTCGAAGCCAACCTCTGAATTGGATATCAGGTTGTAAGGAAACAAGTTCTATCTTTTCAAACAGGGTCTTACCCATGACCTGGGAAAATGAGAGTGCCGATTCCACGGGTCTGACCATGTCTAGGACAAATGGAACCTTCTTCCGGCATTCTTGAAGGTGAAAGGTCTCGTCAAACAGCATATCGATTCTTACAATTTCTTCATCGATGTCGACCTTAAGAGAATTGTCAAGGCCAACCAGACCATACTCAGCGATATAGATCCAAAGTTCTACATCACTTACACAAACATATATGTCGGGAGACCAACCCGCCATGACGAGGATCTAGCCGACATGTCTCGCGCTAAATGGACGTCCACAGTCACTCCTAATGAATGCAGGTTGCGCGACACGACATACTCAGCACCAATTCTCGTCGATTTAGCCTACTGGCGCGGCGTGCGGGAGGTTCGCAGGAAGGGTATGGTTATTGGGCGGCTTCCCGTAATGTTAAGAAGTTCTAGGTGCATCCTCTCAGACAAATCTGAGAATGACATGGGGCAGCTTCAAGAATGTCCACTGGACCCCGGCGGTTACTTTGTGATCAATGGAACAGAGAAAGTAATTCTAGTTCAAGAGCAAATCAGTAAGAACAGAGTCATTGTCGAGAAAGGTACCAAACACGGGATAGTTCAGGCTTCCGTGACATGGTACGTGCACATACGGCCTCACGCATTCTCTCAGCTAATGAGACCAGCTCAACACACGAGCGAAAGTCGAAAACATACGTCGTCATGAGGCACGATCGGATATACTTGAAGCACAACTTTCTGAACGAAGACCTCCCAATAGTGTTGGTGCTTAAAGCTTTGGGGATTCATTCAGACCACGAGATAATGCTGCTTACTGCGGGGCACGATGCATCTTACCAAGATACCTTCGCCGTCAACTTTGAGGAGTGTGCGAAGCTAGGCATCACTACTCAACATGAAGCGTTGGAGTACATTGGGCTCAAGATCCAAATCAAAGGGAGAATCACTTCATCGGATCAACGACGCAAATACTCACAAGAGGCAGTAGAAGCTCTATCCAACGTTATATTGAACCACGTTCCTGTGCATGGGTTGGACTTCCGCCCGAAAGCTCTGTATGTGGCGGTCATGGTCAGGAGAACACTAATGGCCTTCCATGACAGCACATTAGTAGATGACCGAGATTACTATGGGAACAAGCGACTTGAGCTGGCTGGCCAGCTTCTGTCGTTGCTCTTCGAGGACCTTTTCAAGAAATACAACCATGACATAAAAATCGCCATCGACAAAGTATTGAAGAAACCAGTGCGAACAGAGGAATTTGACGCTCTGAGGTATCTAACCATGCAACAAAACCACATTACCGCCGGTATTCAAAGAGCTGTTGCTACAGGAAATTGGGACTTGAGACGATTCAAGATGAAACGAGCGGGCGTTACACATGTCTTGAGTCGGCTAAGTTACATCAGTGCTTTGGGCATGATGACTAGGATCTCAAGTCAATTTGAGAAGACCAGAAAAGTGTCCGGACCGCGGGCACTGCAACCGTCACAATTTGGCATGCTGTGTCCATCGGATACGCCTGAGGGAGAAGCCTGCGGTTTGGTTAAGAACCTAGCTTTGATGACACATATAACCACCGACGACGAACAAGGTCCTGTAAAAAAGCTGGTGTTTGCACTTGGAGCGCAAGACATTACCGTGGTTAATGGTATAGACATATATGGTGACGGCGCCCATATTGTATTCATCAATGGTACCCCTGTTGCCCTAACCCATCACCCGAGGCACTTTATCACTAGTATTCGGAAGCTTCGCCGATCTGGTCGTGTCTCTGAATTCGTCAGCGTCGCTCTCAACGGTCATCAGAGTGCAGTGCATATCGCAACGGACGAGGGGAGAATTTGTCGTCCTCTAATAATCGTCGAGAAAGGCAGATCCAAGGTGACTGCTCGTTCGCTACAAGCTCTACGCAAAGGCAAGATTGGCTTCGATGATTTTCTTTCCCGAGGTCTCGTCGAGTATCTAGATGTCAATGAAGAGGATGATTCCAACATCGCGATGAACGAGTCCAATATCAATCAGACGACCACTCATCTCGAAATTGAGCCGTTCACCATTCTGGGAGCTGTGGCAGGACTCATTCCTTACCCTCACCACAATCAGTCGCCTCGAAACACCTATCAATGCGCTATGGGAAAGCAAGCTATTGGCGCCATTGCACACAATCAGTTTACCCGCATCGACAGTATCCTCTACGTCCTCGTCTACCCCCAAAAACCCCTCGTCAAAACGCGAGCTATCGAGCTCATCAAGTATGACAAACTTCCTGCTGGCCAGAACGCAGTTGTGGCAGTGATGTCCTACTCAGGATACGACATCGAAGATGCCCTCGTCCTCAATAAAGCCTCATGCGATCGAGGTTTTGGACGCTGCCAAGTCTTTCGTAAATACAACACCATCCTTCGAAAGTGGCCGAACGGCTTGGAAGAGCGTGTAGGTGACCCTCATTATGAGAACGGTTGGCCCGTCAAAAAGCATGCCATTCTTGATGAACATGGTCTTGCCCAAGTTGGCGAAAAGATCTCGCATGGCGATGTCTACATCATGAAGCAGACTCCCGTCAATCCTCACGCCAGTAGCATCGGTAGCGAGTGGGGTAGCGGTGAGTACAAAGATGCACCAATGGCGTACAGACTTCCAGACCCCAGCCATATTGATAAAGTCCTGGTCTCCATCATGGAGTCGGAGCATAAGCTCATCAAGGTCCAAACCCGCCAGACAAGAAGGCCAGAAGTTGGCGACAAATTTTCTTCCCGCCACGGTCAGAAAGGTGTCGTAGGTCTCATTGCTGAGCAGGTGGACATGCCTTTTACCGACGACGGAATCGTGCCCGACATCATCATGAACCCGCACGGCTTCCCCTCTCGTATGACAGTCGGTAAAATGCTCGAGCTCGTCTCTGGCAAAGCTGGCGTGCTTGCAGGAGATCTGCAATATGGCACAGCATTTGGTGGCAGCAAGGTCGAGGATATGGGAGACATACTGATCAAGCACGGTTTCAGCTACGGTGGTAAGGACTTCGTTACGAGTGGCATCACGGGCGAGAGCCTACCAGCCTACGTCTTCTTCGGTCCCATCTACTATCAGAAACTCAAGCACATGGTCATGGACAAAATGCACTCTCGTGCTCGTGGTCCTCGCGCAACCCTTACACGGCAACCAATGGAAGGGCGTTCTCGAGATGGTGGTTTGCGTTTGGGAGAGATGGAACGTGACTGCTTAATCGCCTATGGTGCCAGTCAACTGCTACTAGAGAGGTTGATGCTGAGCAGTGATGCGCATGTCGTGGATATATGTGCGACATGCGGTATGATGGGGTATTCCGGGTACTGTCAGAGCTGTAAGAAGACGGAGGGAATGACGAAGATGACAATTCCATACGCGGCGAAGCTTTTGATACAGGAGTTGTTGAGTATGAATGTGGTGGCCAGAGTGGGGTTGGAGGACGAATTTCCTGCGTAACGAGGAACTGTGTCTCTTTGATGAGGAATGGGACTATGATTGATGCTACATGGTAGCATAGCTCTGGAGCAGCATAGATAGCGGCTCAGCCTTTGCGATGACCTCTCCTATACCAAAGACGCAATTGCGGCAGTAAACAATATACTTAGATCATGCGTTCTGCTCGTGCCCTTTCCCTCGGACAACTTGCGTCTGTGACAAAGTCTTGATTATGCTGTCAGCTGTATTTGCAAATTGAAATGGTTGACAAAGACAAAACCATGTCGATGCTTTCGGATATGCTTTTGTTGTATCCAGATCCAATGCACATGCCCATACCTTAATTGAACCGACTCTCCAGTGCCGTGTGCCTCCATCCATTGCATGGTGTTCCGACCACCCAGTCCTACAGCAACCCAAACATTCCCAAGTATCAAAAATGTCTTTCAGATCATCTGACCCGCACCTTTCGTTCCCCCCACTCCTCCCTTCGCCTCTGCTTCGCCCTTCCCTCCCCCACCTTTTCCACCCTTAAGCTTCTCCCTCTGCCTCGAGAACTTCTCACCGTACACGTCGGTCTTTTTGAACAGCTCCACAGCCTCCCACGCACTCGGTCGTCCCAAATCCACATCCGCCCCTGCTTCGAGCAGTATATCCACAATCTCTTGTTCGTTCTTGAACACAGCGCCAGCGAGCGGGGATTGACCGCGATCGTTCAATCGGTTTGGATCAGCGCCGTGAGAAAGAAGAAGACGGGAAAGTGGAGCGTGACCGTGATAGGTCGAGAGCATGAGCTGTTGAGACATATGAGAAAGGTTCCTGTGCTGGGGTTCTTGGTGGGGGACGGTGGCATTTGGTAGGGTGGAGCGTGGAATAGGCGAGGAGCCGGGGCAATTCGTTAGAGATCTCGAGGAAAGAGCGTACCAGACTGTCGCCCTTATCGTTGGTCATATTTGGCGGCAGGCCTGCTGGCAGTGCTTGCTCGAAGATTGGCATGTCACCTTGTCTTGCTGCATCGTACATTCGAGTCGCAAAAGCAATGATTTCAGGGGACTCGGGGGTTGGTTGGATCGCTTGGTCACCCATGGCTTCAATTGAACAGTCTCCCGTGACAAGAAGGATGATATGCAGGTGGAGAATAGAATGAGTGAAGCCTCGCCCGCCTCGGAAGCAGCAGCAGTTGCGCAATTGGATACTCGTATCTACCCTCATTTGCACGCCCTTATATCCGATAAATCCGACATATATAGCTACCACTACCATAGTCAACACTACCACTCATTCAAATTGCTTACTACCATGTTCTATCATAAAAGCCAATACTACGGATTTGAGCTTGTCCAGCAGCGATTAGACAACTTGGCTGCTAAGCAATTCGAGAAGCAATTTCGAAGCATATGTCACCTCGAACCAGCTATTTTTGAAGACACAAAGAGAGGTAGGAGTCCAGTCAAGAAAAAGGCTACTGCACCTCCCACAACTACACCTCCCACATCAGGCCCACTGACACCACTAAACCTCGCTCCACCATAGCAAAAACAGCGACATGGAGGAGAAGCTGCTCCGCCACAGTGGCGGGCTCCACCGGAGGCTTTACCACAGCACTAACGGTAAGGTGGAAGAGGTGGAAGAGATAATAGAGGTAAGAAAATAGTAGAAGAAGCAATGGTTGAAGAAGAAATAGTTGAAGAACAGATAGGGACGATTTATGCAAGACATGGTAGACCGATAGGATCCAAAAAACGGTGGTTTATGTTTCTCCGATATAGAAGCCTTGATAATAATACAAGACCATCATTATTATTGTGCTAGTTTGCCAAACAAAATTGGTAGGTAGGCATTTTGCTGTTGCGTCGGACTTATCGGACTTTAGAGCGTGCAAATAGGGGTAGGGTAGATACGAGTACGAGTACCCGGGCGGATATTCGGCTTAGGGCTTTGCGAGGATTCCCATGTGAATCCCGAGTGTCACAATATTCAGAGTTAAAGAAACGAAGCTCATGACAGAGTCCACTGTTAGAACAAATGGTCATTGATTGAGGACTCTCTTGTGCGTTGACGACTTTACGAAGCTCATGACTTGCTTCAACCAACCCTTCGATCACAACTCGGCTACCAGGGCTATGTCACGTCGTCTTCGCGTCTGCAAGACTGTGTTACGAGATCCTCGGTCCTTCTTCTCTCTGTCAAATTGGCAACCCTAATCGTCTCACTCACATGTCCAATACCAACGAGACTCCAGTCCCAATCAAAGACCTCGACTTCAACATCATAATCCTCTCCGCCAATGACTAGTACGTTAAGCAAGCCCTGCATTGTGGATTTCAGGATTCTGTATGTCAAGTGCTGGTTTTGGACTGATCGCATTCGGACATTGCCGCCGTACGGTCCGTTGCAGCTGTATGGATCGAGATCTGGAGGGAGCCGAGAATCCCCGTCTTGAGTGATAACGAACGTGCAGAAACTGCGAACGCTTTCGAGAACGCCTTGTAAAATCACGGAATCCAAGGGCCTGCCAAAAAAAATCTTCAGGCGCGTCTGCGTATTGGGCACGTTATAGCTCATTTGCCGTCGGCGATTAGGAATGCTGGGGTCTAGAGGTTGAGGACGAGATAATGGAAAGTCTCTATTTCAGCTTTTTCAGTGTTCTTCAACTTCGAAACATGTCCAATGATCAAATTGCTCACGTTTCCGTCCGTTGCAAATCGTCAGCCACTGTTAAATTAGACTTTGCATCAAGTGGGATTGAGAAAGCAAGTCGGTGAATCAAAGCTTGATACAAGGAAAGCAAACACCATGTCTTGATGCAATGCATAACGGAAAGGCATACGCGATGCAATGCGAGAACATCTGTCAGCAGACCCTGCTTTTCACCTTTCCGTGGGATCATGGAGAGAGGGAAAAGGCGAAATGAACCCCACGGATATATGATCATTCTGCGCGACAAATTGACGCTTCCACTACAGCTGATGCATGATGAATTGCGGGGATGCGGACGAGAGAATGTTTATCATTGTGTCACGCGACAAGCGCACTAGAGAACGGAAGCATAAAGCGAGCAGAGCCAGAGAACTCCCTGCCGAGAGTGACACTGAGAAATAAAAGAAATATAGGCGTCTTCTGACCAGTGTTCCTGTTGAAGTTTACCTTTCTGCACGGCTTGCTGTTAACGATCACAATCCAAGAAGGTCAATTCCATGCACGTCAAATGACTCATGTCCTTCATGCATTCAAGGTAGTCAAAGATTTTAGATCCACATCGATTTACCTTTTACATTACCATCAGTGGTGTCGTCAGTACTGAAACTCAAGCAATGAATGTGTCAGTCTAACCATGCACACACCGATAAAAGGTAGTCGAATTGTTTGAGCCTAGGCTGACGGGTCGCCAATTTCAACATCTTTGACATCACCCTGTTTCCTGCCCGAGTATCATAACGAAGACAATTCACGTTCTCGATAGATGACTCGATTTGATCTTCGCTGTTTCTAGAGCAGAAAGGTGTGGCTAATAAGGGGCAGGCCTCCAACGGTCTTGATATTCCATCTAGCGACTGATCAGACAGCACAAGAACGGTCTCGCCATTGGAAGGCTCACGGATGTGGCCATGAAAGGCCCCGGTTGTTAGTGAAACGGGCCGAGTCATCCTCACCCTTGACCCCCCAAGGCTGTTATCCGTGGGGCCTTCATTCACCTTGAAGAGTGTGTGGTACTAGTACGATTGGGTCTGGAGTATCTTTTGGCTATGCCTCTGCAGTCGCTCGCTGAGGGTGCTGAATCCCAAATGTTGTTCTCCATGTTGAACGTGGCTGCGATTCCAGGATGATGGTACGCTCTGGGCTGAAAGAGAGAGTGGAAGTATAACAGAGACGGGGGCGAAGGAAGGGGAAGGGGGGTGGGCAGCCTTTCTTATCCTTCATTCAACACCTTTTTTTTGACGAACCGCTCGGGCAGCCTTCCAGGAAATTCGAAGAGCCCAGGACGCCCTCGAAACCTCCCATAGACTCGATGGAGAATGCTGCCTGTGTAGTGAAGTCATTTCATCCATCATGAGAGTAAGCCTGACAAGCGAATACAGCCCAGCGGAGCAACACCAAGACACGTATCCGTTCACGCCCAAGTGACATCTGTGGTATGTCTTGTCGGCATAGTTCATAGCAGTTTGGGAATTCCGTCTCATCATGAACATGTGCAACGCGACCTAATGGAAGAGAGCTCTCTTCCAACAAGATTCATTTTCTAAACTTCGCTTGCTTTTGGTTGTACCCCAAAATCCCGTCTGGTACCTCCGCATGATTGTTTTTCCTTGTTCGGAGGGCCACTTCCAGTCCTCCTTCTTTGTATGCTTTCTAGGCTCACAATCTTACGAGGTGAGGGTGACATTAGAGATAATTGCACTCGCGTTACCCAGATTCAACGAACGATGCGACCACCGCTGCTTCATTACACTGTCTTTAGGCAGCATAAGAAGGACTCCAGCATCTGAAACTTGCGTCCAAGCTGGCGACTTCCTCCGTTGCACACAGAATGAATACAGCTGCAGTAGCTGCTCCATTAGGTCGGGCCAGTTGGCATCGAGCGATGCTGGAGCTTGGCTCGTCGGCTCAAAACCTCCACCTAACGTATGATCAGTTCGTATCCCATCGTTTTTCGAGGCGTGTCTCTTACCATAGGGCAGGACGTCATCCCCCAAGTCCTTTGCCATTCTGAAAACAACGACACAATTCCCTACACACCGTCACGCTCGTTGCTAGACGGACGTGGTTTTCCAAAAGATATCATAGAACTCACCGTACTCTGATCCTTGGGGGACTTCCCATGACGGGCCGGGTGGAGCATCTGAGATGAATTTTGCTGACTATAAATTTGTTAGTATACTATGATTTCACATACTCAGTCTACGACACTTGCCCAGAATGTCCATTGAGTATAGCCATACGGCAACATTCGATCCCAGAGCCGTCCAATTGCGTCAGCACAATGCTTCGCATCGATCGCACCAGCCCAATCCGGATTTTGGGCGACCCTTACGCAGATTGGGGAATTTCGGGCATTCAGAGTCGGAGACGGTGGTGAACTCTGGTCTTGGAAAATAGTGTACGATGGTGAGGGAGCAGTCGCAGCGCACGGGCATTGAACAACCGTCCACAACAGCAAAAAAATAAACGATGACATGGTTATTTACCGAAATTTGGGCGAAGAAGCTGAGACTGCTTCAACAAGAAGCCGTCGGGAATTATGTAGGGATGCGTGCACATTATTTGGAGGGTTGGGTGCTTTGACTGTGTTCGGTTGTTTGAGGCAGAATGGAATAAGACGAGTCGCATATCAGGCTTGGAAGCGTAGGGTCCTCAAGAAGTTGCATGCACATTTGCACCGAATGAAAATAAATCGATCCAGCGGATAATTCATTCCCTGATATTATATTTCTGTCTCTTCGCAGAAATCGATCATCTTACAGAGTAGAAGAATAACAATGATACTCGTGACTGGGTCGGGCGATGACTCTGAGTACCTACAAGTAGGTCGAGCACCAGAATAATGGTTTCGATTCGAATGGACAGTAGCAAACGGGCGAAAGACGATGATATCAAAATTATGAGCGGCGTCATAGTCTCTCGTATGCCGTCCTCAAATATGGGTATGTAGAGTACAATGATTGACTGATTGACTGACTGACTGACTGACTGACTGACAGTGAGGTTTGGTGATTGGTCAAATTCTCCTAAGTATTGATGACGCTACTGTATACCCCCCCCCCCCGGCACAATTGCGGGCTGGTGCGGGACCCGAGAATCGGACATCTCGGCAGCTTCTATATCTGATACTTTATTTATATACTCGTAGCAAATGATGTAATTCTTTCATACGCAATCCTTCACCCGCCCTATAGTTTGTCCTCTCTGTATATTCATAAATATATATTTATTCTAATTCCCCAGATTCAAGCTTCTTTGAACAAACAGCACACTGCAATTCGGACACAATCATCATGCCTCGCGTATTCCTCATTACCGGAACCTCAACCGGCTTCGGTGCCAATTTGGTTCAAGAGGTGCTTGATAGAGGAGACTTCGCCGTTGCTACGGCCCGCAAGCCCGACTCTCTCTCCTTCAAAGGCACCTCCTCCCACAACTACCTTGCCGTCAAGCTCGATGTTACAGATCCCTCAAGTATACAGTCTGCTTTCGCCGCCGCTCTTGATAAGTTCGGACGAATTGATGTCGTTGTCAACAACGCCGGTTACGGCCTGGCAGGGCCTTTCGAAGAGCTATCAGATACTCAGATCAAGACTCAGATGGATGTCAACTTCTTTGGCTTGATTGCCGTGACGCGAAAGGCCATGGAGGTTATGAGAGATCAGAAGCCGAGCGGAGGTTTGGTTCAGCAGGTAACTTCAATTGGTGGTCAAAGAGGGTATGCGATATCGTCGAACAGAGACGGTGTATTTGCGATTAATGTGCAATAGAGTGCCCAACTTCTCCATTTACTGTGCAAGTAAGTGGGCTGTAGAGGGTTTCACGGAAGCTATTTCGCAAGAAGTCAAGCCCGATGTAAGCACCCTTTCTGAGCGATCTCTCTTCGCAAAATCCTTTTTCCCCCAAGTGGACTTTTCACTGCGGCACAAAGGTTATCAAACCAAAGCTGACGCTGATGTTGTGTAGTGGGGAATCAAATTTACCTGGTATGGTGCACTAAGGTTGATCTAATTGAGTCCCGCTGATCATCCTTAGCATTGAGCCTGGAGGATTCCGTACAGACTGGGCTGGACGGTCCATGGCGTTCCCCGAGAAGAGGCATCCTGCCTACGACCACATTGACGTGCAAAAGGCCATGGGTGCAAGGCACGGGACACAAGCCGGAGATCCTATTAAAGGGGCGAAGGCCATGTATGAGCTTGCAGTTATGAAGGATCCACCGCTGCGAGTCGTCGTTGGTACTGATGCCTACAAAGCGATTATGGGGAAGATCGATTCGTATGGAGAGAACTATAAGAAGTATGAGAAGATATCAAATAGCACAGATGTGGAGGGCTACAAGGCTCCGTAAGCCGTCTCAATGACCCCCTGACCGAAGAAAAGAGGACGTGATAGAATGCTACAGAGGAAAACTGTACGCAGATATGTGGATATGTGTAAAAACTAGCAGCGACTGGTGGCTAATGCCTTCGCATTTGAGAAACAAAATGCCAAAGCGATGACGCTCATGGGGTGACGAGTGTTTGCGCCAGCATGGTCACGTTTGAGACGCACACCCGCCAGCACATAGCCAGCTCCCCCCAAAAAAGTGCTTGTTAATGCACGTGGTTTCCACTCAATCAAGTAAACAATGTGCCGAATGAATGAGTAGCTTCCCTCATCCGGCTCTACCGTGCAAGTCCTGTCTCTGGCGCCTCTCTTATCGTGCCTCTGCCCACCAAACCCAACGCTCCATGGCAAATATCAAACTCAGACTCCACGTATCGGCCCTCGATCACCAAGAATTCCCATAAGCCATCCATAGCATCTTTCAGAATGTCCCAGGTAAGACGGTAGTCCGGCCGAGAAGGAACCACGTTAATTGCAGCCCCGTAGCCCAGGTCCTCGTGGAAAGGGTCTTCACTCTTGGGAAGCGGCCCGTCGCCCCCTTGTTCAAGCTTCTGCTCGCAGTAAATGCGAGCGCTGTTGATAGTGTTATGCACCCCCGCTTCCTTGCACGGGAAGCCCAAGTGGAAGTAGAGTGTTGTTATGGTGTTGGGAACGTGATATTCTATGCCTGAGTCTTCCACTAGATTAGTGATGTTGAGTGGTTGAACGGTGATGGGCGATGAAACATGAGGGAGGATGTTGAGATGACTGCTGGTGAGATTGCTAGTAGGTAAGTATGGAGCGGATAGGACGGTTGGGACGAGAGTGTACTGAACCAGGACCAAAAAGCACAAGTACTGAAAGCCAGCCATGCTAGGATCAACGAGACCAAAACAACACGTTGGGAATGGCAGAGGCTGTATAAAGTAATAAATGCAGAACGCGAGTAACTGTTTGGCGTCAGAAACTTACAGCCAAAGAACAAGAGCCCATCTGCGGTTCTCATGCAAGGCGAAAAGCGACTTGTTATACATTTTCGGTAGCCATACATTTTCCCTAAGCTATGTAGTAGGCGCGAAGCGATTGGCGACCTTTTGCCAAGTGAGATAGCTACAAACGGGACGCTCATTTTTGATTAGCCATAGATGTATACTGCTGTACTCTGCCTAAGGCGATGAATAGCTAGGGCGCTAAACAAAATAAGGTTCACGAGTGTATGGAAGATGCAAAATTCAACAGATGATGGCCGAAGACATTGAGAAGTCGTGGTCGTTGCAAGGCGATTTTGACTTGATATTTTGAGGAACGTAGCGGACCGGTTGATGAGATGACTTCAGTTGAAAATGATACATCGATTTTACTATAATTCGTAGAAATAAATGAAATCACGACTAGGAAAAGCATACTCTGTCGTACCTCCCCTGAGGCTAAGAATCAGAAAAACTCACTTGCCATGCCATTTCCAGCCCTTTGCCGCGTACAATTTGACGTCATACCTCAACTTCTGCTCCGGGTTTTGTAGTACATCAGCTGCGTGGCCTACCATGGCGGCTGCCGCATCGATTTTGACACGTTCAGAGTCAGACATCCCCTCTTTCTTCAATTTGTCTGGATGGACTTCGACACGTCTGCGCTTGGCAGCGCTCTTGATCTCCTTATCCGTAGCGTGAGGGCCGATTTTTAAAGTAGCGTAATGATCTGGTAAATCTTCTTTGGCCTTTACACGTGGCACCTCCTGATGGTATCTCTCCTCGTGATCCCCATGAGATGCTTCGTTCCTCTTGGTTCTGAAGCTTTGTCCCCGGCGACTTTCGCTTCTACTGCTGTGGGGACTTTCTTCACGGCGACTGCTGCCGCTCTCAGGATTTCCCTGACTGCGATCATCGTTCGTTGCATATTTGCGATTGCTGTGGCTTTTTGATCTGCTGGAACGACCGTCTGTATATCTTGGCTTAGGCTCCTTTGGCTGCGAGTGTTTTGCATGTGCGTTGCTGGGATGTCTTCGCCGCTCTTCAGCTGAGGGTTGCCATGTTGGATCTCTATGACCTTCGTCAGAGGAATACCGTTCGTCTTTATCATCTGGATCTGACGAAGAACAAGAAGGAGCGCGCCGCCTCTGTCGGTAGCCGGATGTAGACCGATGACTGTCATAAGCAGTGGACTCCCTACGACGATGATGAGAAGTCGCGGACTCACCGCTGCTGGTGTGGATTCGACCGGATGTAGACCGATGACTGTCATAAGCAGTGGACTCCCTACGACGATGATGAGAAGTCGCGGACTCACCGCTGCTGGTGTGGATTCGATACTCCGTCACTGTAACTTTGCGACTCGCCATGGAAATGTTGCGAGGATCGTGATAATCAGAGCTGACATAAGAATGATGGCTTCTGAGACCTTCATGGAGAACATGCGATCTGTAGCTCTGATGAGATGAGAGGGCATGTTGGGGCAGAGGATGAGAGTAGTCCTCATAGTCTTCATAGGTTGCGTGACCGGAGTCGCTGGTATGTGGGTACGCCCTCCTCGAAGACTGATGTCTTGATGAATAAGACATCTTAGATAGACAGCCAGAAAAGATTCAGTTGACTTAGTGGGGAAGGTTGGCAGCGTCGTTCAATCAGTGAACGCTGTGTACTCCTTGAAGAATGGTTAAACGGTTGGTTCGGAAGATAAGATCGAAATTGATCTTTTGAATTTGTCTGGAAAGTTTTTGAAGCAGACGTAGCCATCTTGTAGGCCTCTGTTCAGACCCTTTGATCCAAAATGCTGGTCAACAATGGGCTGCAATTCAGATCTCATTGTCTTCAACACAAAGGCTTTGCGGAAAGAGCGAGGAACAAGACCATTGACGGACCATGAACAATCCACAAAATCCGTAACACATTCATTGTCCACAGGTTGAAGCCTGCATGGTAACAAAGGATCAGGGACATTACCGTTGTTGCGGGACAATAGAAGAACGCAGACATGCAAAATCGCGCTAGACAAAGACCGGGGCATCGAGCCTACTATCGGTTCGTATCTAGTAAAAGGGAAAAATGGGCCAAGTCTCTGGAGATGGAGAAAAGGCCAAGTCTCAAGTTCCCTTGATCGAAGTTGTGAGACGTTGGCCTGGGCCTCGGCCGAAGCTGTGTATACTCCCCTCCCTTAGATATAGAGCCGGGGACTCATGATTCACGGAGACAGCAACGCGTTCGTAACGACTGTGCGTTGTCTGTGTAGACTTTGCTCTTAGCTCACGAGAAGTTACATGGCTGGCCACTAGACCTTTTCTTGAAGGTTGGGTGCTCGTCTTCCTGGGCCCCTTTTTAAGCGGAATTAGGTTTCAACAGCGTATTTGGGTTCCATAGAATTAAGTACAACTGTGTACCATTTTTTCATCTCTTTGTCGGGATGAATTTTTCCCAAGAGAAGACCAAAGGCAATTCGGCTCGACAAAGCAGTGACAGACACCACGACTAAGATCAATCCCACAGAGCTGGGGCGCGATAGACATTGCAATGTGTGGACGACGTATGCCCCTGGCAATAATCTATCCAGATTTGGGCATCGAAATGATGCGGAGGATGTCCACTTGCCTTTTGATCGTTGCACACGTGCGCTTGATATTCTAAGATATTTTTCCATGAACTGCCTCGTGCAGCTACCTCCAGTCCCTAGAATTCAAGGCCTGCTTCCTTGCCAATTCTTCTGCTTCTTTCTTCCAGTGTTCTGGTATGAGGCCTCATAAGCTTTTGCACATAGGCAAACGGTAACCCAGCCCCGTCCACTGCGTCCTGGATTCCCATGTTCATGCGGTGGATGTACGCTTTCTGAGGATTACCATCCACCACCCTTCTACGTTCGATATAAACAAGCACATCCTTCTTCCTTCTCTGAAGGCTAACGTCAATTGCTTTTCCGTCCTTTGACTCCCAAAAGTCTATAGCGATCATTTCTTTAGTATAAGCAAATGGGACGCCCTCGTTACGGTCAAGTCAGTCTTCGTCGGAGGAGGAAGTGAGATTGTAGACATGACCGTACACTTCGTCTTCGGGTTTTGTCGAGGAGACTATGTTCGCGTAGCCACGGTCTGTGCCTTGTTATTAGCCTGGCGGAGGTCTATTGCGAGCTTTATGTTATATATAGAGCACCACTGATGATCCAGCGATATTGGGCCAGATGACCTGAGAAGATCAGTCGACTATTGAACCTGTTGTAGCTCCAGCAAGACTCACCGACTCCCACGTATGTACTTTTTGGACATCTAAGCATCATTTGCTCTCTCCATAAGTTGCTTCCACACGCAAAGTATAGTCTTGGCCGAGCTCGAGATTGGAGGGCGGTCATGTTGCCTCAGCGAACAAGAGGTAGAGTCATTGAGCGAAGGTGTTTTTCAATGTCGATACTATTACTATCTATTAGAATTCCTTTCATGCAGGACATTGTCGAGCAGGACCCCGAGGAGATATGGCTCTGTGGGAACGATAAAGCAAACACAAAGACATCAGGACTAGTTTCAGACCGGGTGGTTCTTTGGAATACAGGACGTCCTTTTTTCTTCTGTTTCTTCCGAAGATTCGCAGAGGCACCTTCCATCACCCGGGATGAATGCGGGACTGAATCAGGTCAAGCGCTAGGGCCGTAAAGAGCTATTCGAAAAAGGACATGACCAGAACACCCAAATTTCACACTTTCCATTCACAGTCTACGGATGGCTTTTACCTACAAAGCGGCCACCTGTAATGCTGAACATGGCGCATGTAAAGTCCAACTGTTGTCAGCGTGGTGATGGAGCAGCCTTCCACTTCGAGCAATGTCACAGGTACCTTTCTACCTTGCCGTTAAAGCGTCCAAAGATTACCTCTCCCCGCAACGAAGCTGTGAAGCTGACTTCTGTTATGATCTAGTGGAATACGCGGATCCATCTGGTACATATCCCTCCCTAAGCCCTGAGCTTCGCCGTCGACTACCTCTGCGTCATCTCCACTGGAAATCATCATCACGCCCCGTTCGAACTATCGACTCTCTCCACGTTACGCTCATTGCGGACGAAGGACCGCTCGATGCCAACGACAACCGGCCAGCACCCAAGGGCGAGAGCCCGCGGAAAGAGAGAAGGCATCAGATCCCTGGCTTACGACAAACGCCATATCTGAAAATTTATTTCCTGCAATGCATTGACGTTGATAATTACAAGGTGAATTCAAGAAAGTTGCTGCGAGATTGGGTCAAAGATCACACTCCACCATCTCAAAGCAGTACCTCGCTCACCAAACAAGAGAATCATGATGCTTTCGAATGGCTCATTGTTCACGTGCTTCCAGCATCTGCGGACGAAGATACATCCAGACCCTCCAGTGTTGCCAGAACCGAGTCAGAGAAAAGGTCAAGCTCTTCAAGATGGCCTTCGCGCAGCTCCTCTAGCGTCATTGAAAAGATACGTGTGGATTTCAATGGAACGTCTAAGAACGCCGTGGATCGTGTTGCTCAAGTCCAGGTAGCAGACTATCCGGGAGAGGACTCAGGGGGGGGCCAGCTACGATCTCAAGACGACAAGAATGGCTGGGGAGATTTTGTCGCAAAAATGAAGTCACTGATACTAGCATCTTTTGACCTGAGAGTGAACCAATATGAGGAAGATATTAGGGAGAAAGAGCTGCAAAGGAACCTTCCTGGTTGGAACTACAATACGTTCTTCGTTTTGAAAGAGGGTCTCGCTAGGGGCTTCGAAAATGTCGGGTTGACGGAGGACGCTTTAACTGGCTATCACGAGCTTGCTGCTGGCCTGAATGCGATCGTGGATGTTCAAAGTGGTAAGGACACTACTGAACAGCAGGCAGCCCTTTTCAGCGACTATACAGAGGATCTGGTTGAGTCATTCAAGCAGATGAAACGATGCAGCAAAAGCACTCAAACATCGTGGCACGAGAAGCCGCAGGTTGTTGATCTAGGTGCCTGCATTTTAAATACAGATCGGAAACCCTTCCGAGATCTGATCCTTGCGAATAAAATCTCCTCTTTTGACTTCCAATGTTACGTCTTCGCCCGTCAAGTGTCCCTTCTGTTGCGTCTAGCAGACGTGGCTGTTCAAAGTTATCCCCCAACGAATGGTGCGATCGTTGGAGGTGGCAGCGACGCGCATTTTGATGTCGGCACCCGATTCTTGAAGCCCAGTGGCGAAGATCGAGAAGACCTTACCATACTCGCCGAAGTGGCTCAGAGAGCTTCCAATTTCATCAACTCCGTTGCTACAACTATTCGAAATGACATCAGGTCTGGGATACACCCATCAGACGACGACCAGGATGAAAATGGTGGCTTCTCATATATCGTGCACGAAGAGATTGTTGAAAATCTGGTAGCATCGTGGGTTTTCTCTGCAAGCAGATGCATCCTGGAAGCAACATCGGCAAATTCACTGTCTGCTCAGCTTGATCCTCTTTTACGTCAGCTGAAGTCTTCCATTAAATCAAGCATGGGGGACAACGAAAGGGGGGTGGGACCTATCATTGACACCGTCTATCGTAAGGGTCTACCTGACAGAACAAGCTCACTGAAAGCTCACGCTTCCGTGTTGTCACACCCGCCTATTCAGGAGAACTTTCCCTCGGTGACCTTATTGGATGCCGTAAGACTACTACCGCCTGCTACCTTCCATCCAGGTGCTCAAGAACTAGCCTCGCGGCGAGGAGATTTACTTGCTCTGGCCAGACGAGCTCTTAGTGGTCTTGGGCTTCAACATGTTAATCGTCAAGGAGGTCTGGCTGATTTAGGCATGGTATCTGGGGCTGAAGAGGAAGAGATGCACGATGTGAAGCTGGAAGACACCAGAGAGCAAGAAGAAAAGCCGCTCGAGAGCTTACCAGTCACTGCACGAGCTCCAACCACCGCTGGGTTATGCAACAGAAAGTTATTCTCGGCTTTGCAGTCGAAAAATGACTTCTACCAGGCGTTTGAGGTATGTTAAGCTCGAAAGTTGGGTAGTTAGCGAGGCGTTGATGTACCTTCTTCCAGGAATCGACTGTATCAACGCTAGCCAACTATGTCATCGGTGGAAGAACTAAAGCTGCTGAAGGAATGACCGTGGACCTCGCAGTTACACGATTGTAAGAGTCTTTTGGCTAGACGCTCTGCAACACATCTAACTGCTAGCAGCCTGCTCGAAGACTACGAGGTGGCGGCATCTTATTTTCGTCAGCTGACCCCGTTCTACGCGAAAGATGACTGGTCGGACTTGGAATTGCTCATGCTTGACTTGTACGCCCAGTGTCTTCATCATATGGAGCGAAATGAGGATTACGTCCGCATTGGATTGAAGGTATTGGCCAAGACGATTCGAAGCAAGGCCGCTATCAAACAGCAACCACAAGAAACATTGACGAAGCTTGCAAATATTCACCAGCCTCCACAGTGTGCGATGGGCAGTTTAAGTGGTATCTTAAGCGCCTCGAAATCACTGAAAGAACTGGTATCACTACCGATGGATACTTACTTCGACCCTATCGACATGGGAATGTATGTTCGTCATTCGCCTGACGACGATGGCTTTCAATTTCCACTTGTGTTAAGGAGTCTTTTACCAGAAAGCTTCCTGGCCGAGTCAGTGCGAGTGCAAATTCTCAGTGTAGAAGAGGATCAGCGCTCTGAGCTTTGGCTCCATGCCAACGGCCAAAATATCGAACCCGGCACGTCTAGTATATGGCTTGGCTCAAATGTGAGTTGGTTCTGTTCAACTCCCTATGCTACGGTCGCTCACAACGCATACAGACGATGTTCCCAGCCTGGTATGTCTTGAATCAGGTCACGATTCTTTCTGGAAATATCCTCTTTTCTCACAGTCTTTCTCCGCCATCCGACGGCCTCCCCTTCGCGAGTTCCAGATACTCGACAATATCTGGACTCACCAATCGACGACGTTTGCTACTCTGGCCCCAGTTCAGAAGCCTTGAAGCTCGCCTGTCTCATTCAGAACACATTCATCTCGAGCGAACAAAGTCCATCGCCGTGAAAATATCCAGCGGCTGGAACGAAATAATTCAAGGTAGGCTATCATTACGAGCTGCCTCTGCAGGGCTTCGACTTCACACCGCCCGGGCGGAAATCTGGAACGGCAAAGTCGCTATTACAGACAAGTCACAACCCGGCAGTATCTTCTTCGGTCAATTTCATTCGAATATCACTGCCGACGTGAACATTCCCTACAGCCTTGAGAGTGATCTCAAAGAGATTGTGGTGCGTGCTGAGGTCACTTACGCTACTGAACGCGGGGAATTCGTTTACGCTTGCGGTTCGAAAATCTCTACTGTTCTTCCAATAACAATCAATGTTCGAGATACTTTCAAGAAGAGTGCCCTTTTCTCCACATTCACTGTGGGCACTGCAAATTCGATCCCTGTCAAAATATTGAAATGCACCGTCGAGGGGAACGAAGATTTTAGTGCAACCTCGCAAATCCTAGACAGCGGCGAGCATGATGTTTTCGTTCGCCAGCCACTTTCCTTGATCTCAAGAATATATCGTACCTTGCGGGGGAAGCGTGACTTGGATGCAAACGAAACTGCACAGAGAAAATTGTTTCTACACGTCGAGTATCGATGTCTGGATCAAGAGATCCTCACAGTAGCTGAAATTATTTGTCTAAAGGCCCTCGCAGCTACGCCTATGCAAAAGCTTTCGCGCTTGTTGACGCCTGCATTGCTTGAGACATTACATTCGAGGTTTTCGACTCAACAGCTCGAGATGGCTGGCCTTCTCCGTGAGATCGACGTAGGCACGTTTGATGATTACGGCTGGGACTCTTCGATACTTGCTGGCCTTCCACCGGATCTTGGAGAGGAGCTCGCTAGATGGTTGAGAAATTGGCACGACGTTCGTGTCTCTTACATGCTTATGTTCAACGTTACTGACATTGTCTCAGGATCATCCCACGATCTCGTTTAGGGATATTGATCGAACGTTGCGGAGGCAACATCTTACGGTTCCATTCGATGTACCTCATGTACAGATTTTACATACAGTACAAATGCGTCCCATGCATAATCGTGCAGCGCCATGTTTGCAGCCGGACTTTCTCGCCCTCGGATCTGCCTTGCCATTGGAGGTCGTCATACGTCACACACGCAAGTGGTGGGATGGTGATGCGAGGTCAAGAAATGATGGCAAACCCTTGGACTTCAAGTACGAAGTGCATGCTCTTCCCGATGATTGGACTATTGGGGGACAGAGGAAGGGCCACTTTAGCGCAAAGGTAAGCTATTCAGCTGGTTTATAACCCCTCGTCGCTCACAATTATAATAGGCAGATGAGAGTTTAAACTTTGCAATTATCCTCTTGCCACAACGTACAGGTCACTTGATGTTTCCTTCCATTGACATACATCTTTCTCATCCAGCCCATGTTTCACACCGGCCTGACGATCGAGAAGATTCGGCAGAATCATGGATTTCCTGTGAGACGGATTACCAACACCAGTCCGAAACAATCCTGGTTGTCTCTGGTCTGAGTAGCACGACTGTCAGCATCGATCCTAGTAGCATGGTAGGTGGGACGTGGCTTGTCGGGTCGAAGAGCAGATGATTTCGCGACCATGTTTTCCCCGCAAAACCTAAACTATATAATGGACCTCGCTCGTCGGTTAAAGTAGCTCACTTGTGGGGAAGGGCTGTGGATTCGAAGCCAGAACCCGTGCGGTTGCTCTAATTTAGTCAAGACCTAGGGTTGCCGTACTGCTTACGTTGCCCACGAGCACACGCTCAGGGTCTGATCTCGCTCCAATCGACGCGGGAACTCCTTCTGATTCCATTGCTTCGCCACTGATAGCCTTGGAGATGAAGAATGGGCACGGTCAATCGACTGTCAAAGAAACAATGGGTAATTGATGGTGACTGATGGTGTGGGGCAGTGGTAGGCACATCGGGTCCAAAGAGCACGTGCTTCTACTCAAGAGGGTCAATCCCAGCAACACTCCAAGCAGTACGCCCGGGGTTGATGAAAGATAAGGTAGAGGCTTGAGTGTTGAGTGTTGGAGCAAAAGGTAGCATTGGACTGGCAGAAGGAGGCATGGATAAGACAAAGTCATGTATGCAGTAACGATACCACGCTGTCTCCACTCGGCCTTGCGGCCCTGTCCAGATAGGTACAGAGTAGATTGAGTAATGTCTTTGAAAAAGTGGGCCTCCCGCTACCACGTTGACTCCTCGTTCATTTCTGCATTGCTCGCGGATGACTTCTCAGGTATATCATCACATAAAAGGGAGGAAAGGGCGTTTATCGAATAGAATTGAGGATGTCGTGTTGAAAAGGATGGGATGGAAGGCTTGCGATTCTTTCTCGTACTTCATCCTGTTGCTTGTGCCAGGATTTGCTACCGAGATCTCAGGCAAGAAGGATCTGAGACCGCCGACCGGCCCATTCCCTTACTTTACCTACTTTAGTTTCAAACGAGTGAGCCCCTCGTTTAAGCGTAAACTAAGTTTCGATTAGTGTAAGACCCTGCATGTTAGTTTCTCCCAACAGTTTTATTAGCGCTGCATCTGCAACTGCCCATCCTTGTAAGATGATGCAAATTGTTGCATCGACCCAGGTACAATCTTTCTTGAAGTTTTTTTTTTGATCGAGAAGGCATACGGATAGAATATGCCCATTGGCTCTTGCATTTGTTTCCATTATCCAATTATCCAGTGATTCAATGATTCAATGATTCAATGATGCAATTGCATGTACAGTGAGTAATGAGTAGCGTCCAATAGTCGCCAGTGGCGCTGGGTAAGATGATCTAAAGTACCCCACGTAAAAATCATGGGTATTGTTCCTTGAATTGTTGTGGAATGGTGGATCATAGCCCAAATCAACATGCTATTCGTATATACAGTAGAGACAGAGGATAGTCGTAGCCATTGAGAAGTCAAGAATGGAGCACGCTTTTTAATGAAATTCATCATCATAGTCATTTGCTTGCCGTGTCCTTGTGTCCTTTTGTCCTTTTCCTAAGGTACCTGAATGCAACTAGCGTCTGGGATTCATTTTTTCGTTACTTACCGAGGTACCCATTATTAAGAGTATTGAGCACATATCATTCCTCCCTTGAACACACACTTCACACTTCACACTTCACGCTTCAATCCTCACCTACTCTGCCTATGCTGTCCGACTTGCAACATATCTGTCAAGCTGACTTAATACTTTAACATCTAAAAATACCAATTGTCATCTATACGACCACACCGAACCACACAACCACACTTTCTCTCCACCTCTCAAACCACCCTTTTCCCCCAGCCCGCCTCGAAGATATTACCGTGCACACATCGCAGAACCTTCTCAATCATAATCCTTTCATTTTCACAACAATTAGTCAACTCTGACACACATTCAACAAGGCATATTCTCCAACATGTCAACCGTAGCATTCTCACGTAAGAGTGTCTTGCAGACTCCAGTCGTAGAGTCTCTACCCTCATCCTCCTCAAATTCCATCTCAGCGACTCCCGACCGCACACCCTCTCAATCTCACTCCTCAACCTCTCTTTCCTCACTTGCTTCAGACAGTGAGGTCGACGTCCAAAAATCCGCGGGAAATTTGGTCAATAACAAACAGTCAAGCGACTTGGTTGATACGAAACTGTCAGGTCAATCGGTCACTTCGGAAGCGCAATATGGCAGATTGGTTGACACCTATGGCAATGAATTCCAAGTTCCGGAGTTCACCATCAACGATGTTCGTGCTGCTATTCCCAAGCATTGCTTTGAGCGCTCGGCGGCCCGGGGCTTGATGTACGTTGCCAGGGATATTTTCTCCCTTGCTACCACCTTCGCTCTCTTTCATCTATTGTGGACTCCGGCAAACGTTCCTTCGGATAGCGTCCGTGCAGCTGGATGGGCACTTTATACTTTCATTCAGGGATGCTTTGGTACCGGTTTGTGGGTCATGGCCCATGAATGTGGCCACCAGTCTTTCTCTCCCTCCAAGACACTGAACGACACTGTCGGCTTCATTTGTCACTCGGCACTCCTGGTCCCCTATTTCTCTTGGAAGATCTCTCATGGCAAGCACCACAAGGCGACCGGACACCTGGAACGTGACATGGTTTTTGTCCCTAAGACTCGCGAGCAGTATGCGTCAAGGATTGGAAGGGCTGCCCATGAATTAGCTGAGCTTGCCGAGGAGACTCCCATCGTCACTGCGGGCTCTCTCATTGGTCAGCAGCTTGCGGGATGGATCTTGTACCTCTCCCTTAACACAACTGGTCACAACAGTCATACCCGTCAGAAAGAAGGTCGTGGTCAGGGCAAGAAGAACGGCTGGGGTGGTAATGTCAACCATTTTGATCCCTCAAGCCCTTTGTATGAGGCCAAGGACAGCAAGTTGATTCTCGCGAGCGATTTGGGGCTGGCTGCGGCAGCCGGAATTCTTATCCTGATTGGGAAGAATTTTGGCTGGGCGAACTTGGCTGTGTGGTATTTCCTTCCATATCTGTGGGTCAATCACTGGCTGGGTAAGCTGTTCTTCCTCCTCAACCTGAACATCGCTAACAAGGTCCGTAGTTGCAATCACCTACCTTCAGCATACCGATCCCTCCCTCCCTCATTATGAGGACGCTGGTTGGAACTTCGCTCGCGGCGCTCTTGCAACCGTCGACCGTGAATTCGGCTTCATCGGTCGGACCCTCATGCACGGCATTGTCGAGACGCACGTCCTTCACCACTTTGTCTCCACCATCCCTTTCTATAACGCCGACGAGGCCTCCGAAGCCATCAAGCCCATCCTGGGTCGTCACTACCGCTCCAACGTTGAAGGCGGTCCCTGGGGTTTCATTAAGGCTATGTGGACGACTGCTCGAACTTGCCAGTGGGTCGAGCCCTCCGAGGGCGCTGAGGGACTCGGCAAAAGCATCCTTTTCTTCCGCAACCGCAATGATAATGGTCTCCCACCTGCGAAAATGACTCCGCTCGAATCCTGAAGGAGGGGTAACCGCGCATTACCCCTTATGAGTGATGAGTTCACGTAGCGACATCAAAGAACAATATTTCTACATCGACAACAGTTCGTACATAGATAGTCATCTTCCTTGGCGTCCGCTTTCGACTTTCGGAATACCTATTACGCAACTCCTTCTTCTCATGCATACCTACCGAGCACCGATGACGAGTTTCCCACTCGGCGTCACGGTTGCCCTATGCCATGCCATTTCCTAAGTACCACCTCGAACACCCGACTGTTCAGGATATTCTACCATTCTCCGGCTTCGATATTCTTGGTGAAAGTTGCACATCAGCATGACAGAAAAGCACTTTGTTCCCTTCTCCATGAGCGAATTGGCGTTTACAACCGATGCTCATTTGTGGCCCTATCGTGGGCATTGCCGTGATAGACGCATGTCGAAGCATTCCCTGCATCAGCGTTCCATAGACCGTTAGATATCCCCTATAGACAGCATTCAATCAACTCTGTTTGTCATTACGCAATGTGAAAGAGTGAAGGAAAGTAGGAAAGGGCGAGGGTATGTGGTTGGGGGATAACTTCTTCCAGATCCTTCCCACGCCGTGGACTGCGGCTGTTGACGGATAGGAAAATGTGGGGTGCAGGACGCTTGTCGTCTGTGCCATTTCTCATGCAACTGTTTTCTTCCGCACAGATGGAATGCATCTTCACGCCCCTCTTCCTAGATTCGTTTCTGGTACGGAAATACCACTCAGCTGATTCATCGACTACAATGTCACCGCCATGTCTGTGCAGAAGCAGGTTTCATGACAAGACATCCACTGCCCTGCATTCGCTTCATCCGTTGGTTTGATATGCTCGAGGATGTTGACCCATCCTATCTTCTATTGCTCCTGCAAGATCACCGAGATGCGTGATGTCATGTTCCACTTTGTACCAAGTCAATAAACTATCAATGGAAGGTCTGATTCTCGACTCTGGTTGAACAAATTCATTTTTATGTCAACGAATCTATGTGACAGGACAGGGCCCTTATAGCATCCACGGCGAATCCTCCACCAACGTCCCAAGCATATCATTCCGACATGGAAGCAGCGCCTCGCACAGGTGATATCCAAAGCAAGCCCGTTGCATCCCGCTCACAAATTCAAAGAAATAGCAAAGTCATGACAATCGTGCCGCCCATGAGTGATAATACGAACATCCTTGTGAAGGGGAAGTAACGATGTTGATACCGGCTATGGACAAGATGCCAGGTCGTAAAGGCAGGAGACGAAAACAAGACGTGCTTTTATACCGCTGCTGATCGGTGTAGTGAATGATCAAGGTGGCGCCTAGTGAAAGCCAGAAAGTAGATCGTAGGGACCGCTCGCTACGAGTGATCGAATGAAGGCGTGGTTACGAAAGTCTAGGCGCAGCAAATGAGGTATATCCAGCGAAGACGCGAATATAGGTGATCTGTCTGCACCAGCATGTGTGCCTGAAAAAATTAAGAGGTAGAGAGGCGAGCGACCCAACATTATTGACCAGCAAGACTTGGGCTCCAAGGCGAACGTTGTGTCCCGTAGAAACATGGCTTCAGTTCAGCGAGGCGAAAGCCAAATTTAGCGATAATGACGACGCCTGTCACCAAAGGTTAATATACGCATTCAACGGGTTCGGGGAGTACACTACTAACCCAGATGGATCGATTGGGCTTGGGCACTTCTTCGTTTGATGCGAACCATCCGCGCGTTTGTAGACCAGAAGATTTCGAGACCTCATCATGGCTATTTCACTGTATATATCCTCTAGTTCGCCAGTGTCTGTCTCAATTTGCTCGCGGTCTCGACCTTGGTCAGTACTACTAGGGCGCATGCCAGAGTGCAGTGGCTGATCCATATGGGTTTCGCTAAACACTTTGCCGTAGCCTCGTTTTCCCGAGCGTGCTGACATCGGATCGGCGCTTGGTGGTTGGTCTATGGCGTAAGAGGAATACGTAGACGAAGCGGAAGAAGGCATGACTTGTCTTTGAATACTGTTAAGTGGTGACTGGGGCTCGTACTTTGGCTCTACTGCTCCCTGTTGATAGGTATGGTCCATCTTGAGGGGAGGTAGTGATGTCGGCGGTTGTCCATACCCATTCATGGTATTGATGGGAGTGGTAGTTCTAGACGCAGGCTGCTGTTGCTGAGCGCAGTACGCTTGCTGTAACGCAGGATGATTATTGACATATGTATTCATTGTGTTCGGAGGCAATGACTGATGGTTGAGGGGCATCCCTGCGGACGCTCTCCTGTTATCTGTTGCCGGACGGTAGTCTGTACTGTCAGAATAGACAGGAGACTGGGCATACGATGGGAGCTGCTGAGGTGGTGGTGGTGGATGATAGTTGTAATTCTGGGGAGCTGACATTTGGCGAGCGTGATAGCTGGTCGGATACTGATAGTTGGGACTATGCTGAATATAAGGCTGCGGCGCGGGCGGTTGTTGTGTCAGTGGGAAAGCTGGAGTTGCGTATTGAGGAGTCGTGGATCCACCAAAGTTCAAGTGGGAGGTGTAGGAAGTGGCAGACTGAGCTTGAGCTGGAGCTGGAGGTGGAGGCGGTTGCTGATAATTGGAATGGGTGTAAGGCGATGGTGGAAAGTATCCTCCTCCTACCTGGTCTTGCACCGATGGCCGACGACCAGTACTGTAAGGTGTCTGCGGATCCATGCTTCCATTGCTAATCGAGCGCGGTCGATCTGGCGCTTGATGTGATGTCTGGTAATGCTCGGATTGTGTATATGAGGTGTCGTCTTCATACTCCTGGTAGCCGTCGTTGGTTTTGTCTCGGCGTCTCATGCGCACATCGCGGCGGATGCGGACTCGGCAGCCCTGCTCAGCAACGGTACGGCTAAGCGGCGTGCTCTCTGACAGCCCAGGGAACTTCTTTGCGCTGTATACCGCGAAGGGTATTGACTTGACCTCCAGGCGGAAGTGTACATGCGCACGTGGCGCCATGGGATTGCTACTCAGGAGTTTGTCTTTTGATTTTGGACTACCCCCCGGTGGTTCAACATCTGCGTCCTTGTCTTCCTTGAGCTCCTCAAACAGACTGAAGCTCAATCGGTACAACCCTTCATGGCGCACAGACAGATCTGGGAAGATGAAGTATCCTGCTGGATTCGGGCGATCAAGATATGCCATACCAGCCACAGGGGATCCTGTCAGGACAGGGAAGGTTGGCGGTGCTACCGGCAACCTGCCCTTGGCAATCGGCCGAGCATTCTCCAATGTCGTGAACAGGAAGAAGTTGGCATTGTGTGAGAAGGTAACGTCGGTTCTGTTGTCGCGCTCGCCCTCGAAGATCTTGAGCTCTACAACGGGCGGCGGATCCACAGGGCGACGATCCGCAGAGGCTTAGACGAGGTCAGTGATGGCCAGGTGTAAACAGAAAGTTGACATTACACACATTTTGCCCCAGATCCACATGCTCTGGCCCTTTCCGGCTGTTGAATGACTTTGATTTCTGTGCCATGTCAACAGGGACGGTAAGACGGGATAGAAAGAGAATTTACCATATGTAAGCTCCCTGCCATCTTTTGTAATCCTGTTCATTGAAGCTTCCGTCTCATTTTTTACTGGCAAGATGGCTGTAGCCATGATACCGCTCATCCGAGGCACACTTGCCGAATGCTTTGGAATGATCTGGTTTCCAGGCGTGCTATAGACTCAATTGCAGGCAGCAAGTCGATGTTCCACTTGTAAACTTGTCTTGTATGGCGGAGGTCGGTAGTCGGTCGTGGAGAGGAAGAGGGTGATGCCGGGCGCAATGAGATCCAAGGATCCGGTTCTTGGGTCGCTGGCAGCCGGCCGACAGGATTGCGGGAAAAGTTGTCGAGCTGCTGGGCCTCGGGACCTTGGAAAAAATGCCAAGCAAAATAGCTATGTAGAAGGGAAGGTTTGATATAAGGATGATGGTGGTAAATGTGTCGGTGAAACGTGCGAGTTTGCGTGGTTTAATGGCCGTGGTGGTGGTGGAGGTGGAGGTGGAGGTGGAGGTGGAGGTGGATACTAATTATTTTTGGAGAAATGACAGAAGGATAAATTTAATGTGTAGGACGAGGTATGAGGATTGTGGAGATGGGAGATTGTCCAGTAAGGTAAAAGGTAGTAAAATAACGAGTGACGCAGATTTTGAACCGGGCCCCAAGCAAAAGGCTTTCCCTTCCCCTAGATTTCCCGCAAAAGCTTAATTAAATAATTCTTGACAAGCTCACAACGAGCACACAAGCACACCAAGCAAATCCAAGCACTTTCAAGCTCAGATTGTTGCCAGATTGCATGCCACGACGAGCATGTCGCGTTTGAAAATAAAGAGAAAGGAAAATGGGTTGCAGAATGCAAAAGAATGCCTTTGATAGAAGAAGAAGCTGGAGAGAAGGGAAGAAGGGGAGAGGGGGGGAGGGGCCCCCCCCAATCAGCCATTAGCTGCAAGCCTGCACACCTCACACCCACGCACACTCACAGCTCCATCCAATCAGAGTGGGCGGAGAAAGGAAGAGGATTGACCATGGTAAAGTATGGTAAGTCTGGGATAAAGCAGCCTGGATCGTGGAAGAGGCGCAGGCTCGTGCAGACAACTAAGTGACGCTACGACAGGTTCCCACTAATCAAATGGTTTGGGGAGCACTACTCCCTGGTGCTCCCGTTGTTTCCCAGGGAAATGTCACTCGCCTTGCCCACCAATCATGTTACTCGCCTGTCAGATGGGAGTGGGAGCGCTAACCTGGTGCAGGGGTTTTTCCTGGGAAAAGCCACCGAGGTCATCCGAGGTCCTCATTACTGTATTATTGTAATATCCATGTCCAAACAGCTCCCGCGCGCTCACCAACGTACGCCGGAGGCTTTGGCAGCCATCTTCTTTCGGCATACAAAGACAAAGCTCTGGCGTTGAGCATCATTACAATTACGGTGGAATATGCGCCATTCTCCCCCGGTCCATTATCAAAACGACGTCCGATTGACAGCAAGTGTAGGTAGATCAGACGGGAAGTCATTTCGCTCTTTTCACCCTCAGACCAACGAGTCAGCCGGATCGACGTGACGGGGTTTCGACTTGTGCTCCATGCAACCAGTAACTTAGGTCTTGACTGGCCGCATACTGAGCCACCCAATGATAAGGTAGCATGGCGCGTTTCAGCGGATCTTTGGACCACGGCGCAAGAGCATCATGTATGAAGCTGCTGCATGACACCCCGATCATCTTCAACATGCTCGGAAATAGTGATATTGATGGATGAAGATTATAATCGGGTACACTCGTTTGGTGGCATTTGGCAGAGACGGGGCAGTAGTACCAAGTAATAATGGAAAAGAACGATAGACTAAGGTTAGTGTACTGCAGCTAAAGAGTTAGGTTGATCTGCCCGTTAAAGGGAAGCTCGGGGTGGAAGGTCAAGGATCATTATTCCCAAATCCCCAAGACGGACAGCAGTACCTCCCTCCCTCCCCACAAGAGATGTTGGAAGGGCGCGGAAATTCTCCGCCAGCAGGGGTAGTGGTACCAACAAGGTCTGAGGCTTGAGGCTTGAGGCTTGAGAAGGATAAAGTACGGTAATGTGATATGATAGAAGGAACGGTAGCAGAATAAATAGCCTAGCAGTCAAACATTTACGACCTAGTCTTTACCAACTGACTCGTAGCACCCCGGGCCCCGCCATCCATGAAAAGTCCGAGTGGTCGCATCGCATAGGCCTCTAGTAAGAAGGATTGCCAAGCCTATCCGATCGCGAGCGTGGATAATCGATATCTTTTTGTGTTAAGCGCACCCCACCCACAGTCAGTCAGTTGACAGGAGATTGGAGAAGGCCCCTCCTGCACCTGCTGCAGAAAACCGTTGAACTAACATTCAACACCCAAAGTACTTTTAAGGTAATCGATTGAGAGTGGTGGCACGGGTGGGATGGATTGATTTCGTTCTTCATTTTTTGATGGTGTCATCGGATGATCGGACCGACCTTCCCCTCTTCTTAAACTTCTTAGCCTGCTTTAGCTGGACCTGCTGATTGACTCGTCCAGTGTCCACTCACAACCAACACACTATTCCGACCCTCGGACATTCGATAAGTTACAGACTTGAAATAAGAAAGTGGGTAATGTATGTATGTATGTATGTATGTATGTATGTATGTATGTATGTATGTATGTATGTATGTACCTACCTTAGGTATATCAGCCTACATAAATCTGACGCCAACGTGCATGTGTCTACTGGCAAAGGATTTGCTCCGTACGGAGTACATACTCGTAGAATATCTTCAATCCAGCTACCTACCTAGGCACCTAGGCATGCATGACATAGGATTTTACTCCATGAACCCCACCACCAGAGAGGTTAATATTATCCTTCCGTGAGGTATGATCCAGATACGTCTAGGTACAGCATTGTAAAGAGAGTACTGAAGGAGAATAGCGCCACTATGACCTTTCTTGAGGTTTGAAAAAAGCCTGTTTGACCCGGCAGTCTTGTTCAATTCGGTGCTTGGCCTCCGGGGAGCTTTCTGTGACCACATAGTTGCCTTCATAGATAGGCTAACCCGAGACATTTCTTCTTTTCTATTCGTCACCCGCTCCGTCTGCACATCCTCCATCTCCCAGATAGCCGTATCCTTGTCTCTCCCTGCAGTCAACCCTTAGAGTCGAATGGTTCCAGGGGCTGACGCCTACCATGCCCATGAATCTATCCAACCTTGTCCTTTGGTATCTATCACGCCATCCTCAGCAGGATAAACTTTGCTGCTTGCGGGCAGGCACCGTGCTGGATGCCAAAACTCAGCACGACGCTATGATTGAGCATCGTCCAGGCATCGAAGACATGGAAGCCTCGTACCCGTGCATATCTTCTCTATGGCCCTGCCCTCGACAATATAGTATTTGCCGCGGACAAGTGCTGACCTGGCGTGTAGCAGTGCCAACAGTGCCAACAGTGCCTTCAACTTTGGTCCATACCACGATTACCACGCCGAACCCCGGGAAAGAGCTACCGACAGGACCTGAGTGTAATGGAGAGAGATAACGGACGTAGTAGAGCGCACAACCGAGAATTTATTCGTCACGGCTTAGACCGAAATCAATGTCGCATGGGCTGCCACTGATCCACTGAACAGCTTTGTAGAAATGACGTGCGGCGCAGAAACCAGAAAATTTTACGTCCGCAATGAAGTCCCCTAGGTTGTATTGATTGCGTCCAGAGACCTCACATAGCGAATTTAGCCATGAAAAGGATGTCGGTCCATGGCAGCGCTCCTTTGATCTTCTACGACCAATACTTTCTTATGGGATAAGTAGACAAGTCTCGAAAACTCTTGGAGGAGAGGAGGGAATTGATAGCTAGGGATAGGAAGTAATATACCGACTCTGAAGGACTTGAAGAGATGCGGACAAATTATAGAGAATGTAGACTGGTATTTGAGCGTTGCTTTTGGGATTGTAGGCGTAGGCCGGTCACAGCGAGCGAGGAGGGCTTCGGGTCATAGAAGCAAAGAGATGTAGAAGATGTCCGTTCAGCTAGTCTTTTTTTTCTTGAAGGCACAAGCGAGAGAAAAGATGTAAGTAAAGTCCGTTAACATCAATCATTGTCTTGTCAAAGCGATATGCCTTGAGGACTATTCTCATGATGGAAGCGTCGTCTTCGACTTCTGTGTCCGGTCTCATCACACCGCTGTCGCCAATTGCAACGGTGTTGCGCAAGACAACGTGACAAGAACGACTGGCCAGATGTGCACTCGTGATTCATGAGTCTGTTCTCAGTGAAGCTGTCAAACTTCCTATCTCACTCAAGTATGGGTCAACACTGAGAATGATTGTTCCGAATGGCAAAGCGTGATGCGTGGAGTCGATTTCTTACGTAGCGAAGTGCATTCCAGACTGAAAGGCTTAGTTGCGCTCAGTGGAGAGCCTCCAGTATTCACGTCAGCTGGGTTGAGGGCTAAAAACGGATCACTGGCGGAGGCAGCATGCCCAAAGATGGCATGGATGTCCGCAAGGATGTTCATGAAGTTGGAGTCGATTGCTATTTAGACAGATTTTCTCAAAGGCAATGTCAAATCAAATTAGGATCCGTTGAAAAATGTCTTAACTTGGGGCTACTGGCGAACACTGGATGTGGACACCAGATGGTGCTGCTGAATTTTGGCGAAAATGCTTCATCCTTTGTTCCTTTAGTGATATCCTCTCATAAAATAAGGGAACAAAAAGCTCAAATGGAAGAAACCTAAATGAATGAAGGCACGAGTATACAGCTGTGTCACTCGGGACTATCTCCCCCCTCCTAATTACAAAATGAAGTCCCAATGAAGGCAAACCCGGAACGCCCCAAACACCAACGCTGGTCGTCTGTCTTGGCCTTCGTCTTCAAGGCTGATGTCGTTCATCATTAGTGTCAAGCACTTCGTTTGCTAAGCTATCTCAACCACACGTTCTTGGAGGCGATCCTGAGCATAGTAAAGGGCTTGGCGAGCGCCGTGCAGCGCCTGCGGCACCCGATCTTTCAGCATCGCCACAAGAACAAGAACGAGAAGTGGTATCTGTTTCAGTATTAGACCATCAGATGTGGCAATCCGAAGATGATAGCTTACCCAAATGAAGAACAGATTCCGATCTTTCCTCAATCTTTTGACTTTCATCGCGTGTGCACTTCTCAGTTGCTCTGGTGTCAAAATAGTACTTCCTAGGTTGGCTGTCTCGAAAGCAGAGGAGCTCTTCGTTTGATCAAAGGTCTCTTCGCATTTTCTATCCACATATACATCCCCAGTAGCCCGGAGGGCAGATGTCTTCTTATCGCTCAGATCACGTTGTGAGCTCTCCGGATATATCTCATCATACGCTGGCGGTGATGGGGCCGCCCCAGTTAATAGCTCCCACCAGTGGTAATCGGTGACTTTCGCAACTCCAGTGCTCCTGTTTGCTGCGCTTGGTCGTGGATTGCGCTGAGGCACCATGGAACTTATTCGTCTGACTACAGGATAGGCTTGATAGTCTGGGAGGTTAGGAATTGGCGGCAACGCGGGAAGCTGCAAAGTTGGAAGCGTTCTTTGCACAGTTTGTTGAAACTGCTGGATCTGGGCGGAAAGTTGGTCTCTCCAAGCGGACATCGCAGGGTTCACCGCAAGGAAGGGGGTCGTTGAGGCAAGGTTGCCCCGAGAAATATCGCCCGGATATTGAGACTCGGCGGCAAAACTATTGCGTCTTGTTTGGGCCCAGATCTGAGCTGGTGTCGCTGGCTGACTCATGTAGGCTTCGGCCAAGCCTTCGTCGCCTTCGTCGCCTTCATCGCCGTCTGTAAATGGGCCGTTCATTGCACCCGGAGATGCCACCTTTGAACGAGCTCCTCGAGAAGACTTGTAAGACATCACGCTGCTCGCTCGACTCCAATGCGAGACTGGGGTTGCACCAGCGCTCCTAGGCCGTGCTTGATGGTCGAAGGTGCTGCTTGCGTCGCGAGTTTGTTGAGACGTCGCCATATCAGCTGGAACATAACCATTTAAACTCCGCAGATTTGGATCGCCACCAGCGGAACGGAGTTTACGGATGATTTGCGCATGACCGCGGAGACAAGCCATATGCATCGGAGTCATGCCGTTGTAGTCTCGCAGATCTGGATTCGCTCCTCGTGCTAGGAGCCCAGCAGCCAACCGGTAGTGTCCGAGCGAGGCACTAAGATGCAACATACTCTGGCCATTTATGCCTCGAGTGTTGAGTCTTGCTTGATACGGGCTATCATCCAGGTCCACAATGTCCAGACAGCTCAGCAACGCTGCTTCTAGGTCCACAATACCGGTCATAGCGGCATTGAACGAGCCAGCATGGCGATGTTGATTGTTCCCTTGAATTGAACCACCCGTGAAAGACGAATTTGAGCCAAACTGGTTGATGATGTTTCTCGCAGCGTTGCCAGCATCAGTTGCATTGCCGTTCCATTTGCGGTTGATAAGGGCAAGTGCATGTTTCATGAGCTCCTGCTCATCATCGTCGACATACCTGAAGAGAGCCTGCTTGTTTGAGGGAGAGGGAATATTTTGCTCGTAATTATGTTTGAAAGTTACTGGCACCGTACCTGCTTCTAGAGCAGGAGGTACAAGGCAAACGAGAGCGCTCTCACCCCAGAAAGTGGTCGTAGTTGCTTGGGCGTCACCGAACATGACTTCCAGACCCTGGCGGAACCCACTTCCCAAGCACGTGACTTCAATACCCCCAGATTTGGAAGCTTCTCCAGGCGTCAGCTTATGGATGACTGGAGCCCTTTGGGGGTTGGCAGCCCCGGGAACACAATGTAGGGAATTTGCCAGCATTTGGGCATGACTTTGTGCTAAGCCGTTACTCAGAGGGCTGAAAGTAGGGCTCGGTACCCGGCTTGGGTGAACTGAAACCGGGGCAGAAAATACTCCCGAGAAGCCTTGGAGATTCTCCATGCTCTGAGATCGTTGAGCGGAAGAAAAGAAACTGCCGTCAGTTGCGGTGGGGGTAGGTGGATTTGTATTAAACTGCGGGGGTATCTGAGGCATCGGAAGCCCGTGACTTGGAGCAGCAAAGTTAGGCATGAAAGCTGATGTTATATTGGAGCCTTGTGGGGTAGATTGAGTTGTGGTGGAGACGCACGAAATGGGACTATTCGGCGTTGGATTTTTTAACTTGGTCATCGTCAGATCGTTTCGAATCCTGCCAGATCCGCTGGCTTTCCGCTTCTTGTTGTGCTGTGCTGAGGGTGCCGACGGAGATGCTTGACGTGACAGATTTCTAGGGGTCAGAGTTGCCGAAGTGGTTTGGGAAGGAAACTGGGGTATGGCAAAAGGACTTCTATGCTGTGGGTTAAAATGTTGCTGCATACCCTGTAGGTCCGTAGTCGAATAAGCATTTCGAAACGACGCTAGGCCATGACTCCCAGCAGGCGCCTGCGAGAAGACTCCTGCTCCGGGGACTTGAGCGTTGTCAGGGAAGACCCCATTGTTGGGAGGCATCGCACCAGGTGGACCATGTGTTTTGTGGTCGTCTGTTATTACGATGGAATTTGTCATGGTTTGCGCAACCAGATTATTTTGATAATCTATGATAGTGAATATGACCCTGAAAACAAGTCAGCAATACCGTGAATCAATGGCAAGGCATTTCGCACGTACTGAAAGCCAATTTTCTCCTCCTGATGACGACAGTAACAGGCAATGCGCATTGGGATATCTACCTGCACGGCAGTTTCTGGAATTTTTGCATTTTGACCATAAGTGGCAGGATTCTGAGCATTCTCTCCAGTTTTTGAAGGCGATGGTTCCTGCCATTCTTTGACTTCCTGGGTATTGAAAACGATCGTCCTTTTTGCTTCATCCCTTTGCCATAGTTGCTCTTCCTCGACGTTTTTCGTTTTCTTTCTAGCAGCCCGCTTCCGTTCTCTCTCGATGCACCCCGTGCATATATGCACTGGGCCACCGTTGGCAGGTTTGTCCTCATCATCTTCTGAGGATGTAGTCTCGCCTGAGGACGAACGGCGACCTTCCCTCTTTTCATCGGACGAAATTGTAGCAGCCCGGGCAAATGCTCGCCCTCGTTTTGTCTGATCCTGCATGGCACTAGTACACACAAGCATAGCATGCAACTCCAGCATGTCAGGCAGTTTCTCTGGGGTCGGCTTCGCCACTAGTTTTGATTTGGAAATTGTATGAGTCTGCAGGTGTATTTTCAATGTTCCCGGCGGCACAGGGTGCAAGGTCAGTTTGACAGGAATTTGGGTCTCGACGCGCGACTTCGGTGGAAGAGGGTGCACGTGCAACATGGGCGGGTACGTAGGACCCGAAACAGGAGCAGGAGAGGCAAAAGGCATAGCCACTGCAGGCTGCTGGAAAATAGATGGTTGGATTGGGCTAAAAGCGCTGGCTGGCCCAGGAGCGCTGCTGTATGGCCAGTCCTGCGTCCGAGAAGGCTCGCTCAACATGGCGCCATTTATATACTGGCCGGAAAAGTCCATAGACGACCCCTGTGTATGGCCTGCAGCCGATGGCCAGTCGCCTTGGTTCTTTATCATGGATGACAATGGAGACGTCTCACGCGAGCTCTGGGAATCAAGCACGGTTCAGCTTCAAATTCGCCAATGACGCTTCTTTGAGCAATGACTTACCTTTGACACTGCCGGATGGGGCCCGAATCCATGGGTAAATCCAGCATTTGGAGAACACCGGTAAGGCATCTTGATGGATCGGACCGATGAAGGTTTGAAAGAGGGCTTTGTATCCGAGAAGGGGCTGGGACTACTTGCAGCGCTATCGAAGTCGAAGTGACACTCCATAGCGCGGTTGCTGAGGTCAACGTCTGTGGCAGGCGAAGACTTGTCGCTCGCATGATCTCCCATATCTGCACCTATGAGGATCCCATTCATCGAAACATCGCCATCACCAGCAAGCGCTCCGGACCGAGATGAGTCGGAAGAGTGGTTCCGCTTGTGTTGATTGTTTGAGGAATCAGACGCAGAGGAGGATTCTGGGGACTGCGAAAATGCAGGACCCATGAATGGCTGCTTGATTGCCTGTCTACAGTTGGTCTTGCTAGGCACTGGTGAGGCCCCAATGGTATTGTTCCAGAAGCCCGGAGAGTCGAACTGGAGTTCGGGGAACTCGAGTCCCCCTTCCTCCATTGCGTCGTTCATGTTGGCGTCGAAGATTTGAGGCTCGTCAAACTTGGGCAAAAATGGGAATGGATCGTTATCGAATTCCATTAGTCTGCGCAGGTGGTCGTTTGTCTCACCGAATCCGCAACGAATGCAGTCCTTGTGGTCCGTCTCTTGATAGTCCTATGCTACTTAAAGGTACTGAGCCATTGGGTTGGAACGGGCGGGTTCAAAATGGTATCTGCTAATAGGCAGTCTTCGAGTTTTCCTGGAAGTGCCTTCTCCGCAATCGCAGCTCCCCACTTTCAGAGTGCACGGAGGACAGTAAACTCTCATCCCATAGCGATATCAAAAAGCCGAAGAGTGTCGAGATAGTTGACGCGACGCTAACAGAGCAGCGAGCGAAATGATTCTGTACACAATAACGAGAAGGAGTGTGATAGATCGGGCCTGCCTACGCAAGAGTAAGAATCCAACTCAGAGTTCGCGCAAACGTGGAGAAGAACGCTAATATAGCGCTATCTGAAGCCTTGGCATTATCCGAACTACGAGTCTCCTCAGCTTCACTTGCATATAGCCTAATCGTCCGTCCGATGGTCATTTGGAACCGTGTCTTATATGCAAAGGGGCCTTATAACACTGTGGTATCGTATAATCTAGAGCGCTAGTCGCTGGCCTTACTAAATCCAAGGCGTAGAACAACGTAAATATTCTGCATCTAGTGTCCTAAATTATCGTTTTCCTAACCTTACTACTCGAGCGCTGCTTGTATTGTTAATATGTGCTGGGGCGCGGGCTTCCCAGTAGTGAAAAGCTTGCCGAGTACTGGTTTTTGACTATATTTGATTCTCAGGGAGACCCCCTAAAACCCCTCGGACCCTTCGGGGGCTCTTTAAGGGCTCTCCGAGAGCTTGTATCGGAGGGGCTGTCAAAGCAAGCTCGAAATTTGATTGTTTTAGTGATATTTGATTGATTTCGAGCTTGCTTTGACAGCCCCTCCGATACAAGCTCTCGGAGAGCCCTTAAAGAGCTCCGAAGGGCTTAAGGGATTTTAAGTGGTCTAACCCTGAGAATCGAGAGAGAGATGTTATATTTCACTGAGAATCGAGAGAGACGTTGTAATTTATTTGATATACTCAGGGGGAGACCCCCTGAAACCCCCCTAACCCTCCGGGGGCTCTCCGAGGGCTCTCCGAGGGCTCCTGCCGGAGAGGCTCTTCTCGCAAGCTCGATAATTCAAGTAAAAATCTTAGTTTTTAGTATATCTTTACGGATACTTTATCAAATTTCGTCTACGCTATGCTGTTTAAAAGCGCATAGTTAACTCTATAACTCTACGTATTTAGTTTATTATTATATTTTTGATAAAAGAAAAGGAATCAAAAAAGGTAGATTTGAGGATTTTGAAGTTCTTTTCCAGCTTCCTCTTTTGGACGTACCCGTGTGCACCCGCGTTTAGATCGAAAATGAAGAAATAAGGTGTGTTTTAGACTGAAAATGATGAAATCCGATGGTCTGATTGGTCACTAGCCTCTTAGCGTAGAAGCCATTTGGGATTTCAACTCTTGAGCATTGAGAAAGCAAGCTTTCCAATTAAGCGACTTTTTGGACGCTGTAAAGATCAGTAATTATGATTATATATTGCGGTTTTACTGGAATTAAGTAGGCTACTGACTTAATATTTTATAGTCTAATTATGGCCTACGTCTGAAAATCGTTATTTTAAACGGTATCTTCTTTGCAAAAGGGTCTTATAATGCTATAGTATTTTATGTATCAATCAATTCGGTAGTGCTCCTAAGATACGTCAATAATATAGGAATAGATTCTCAACCTTGTGAATCGGAAGACTAATGAGGTCGAGCCGCCCACCGCAACTTTGACCCCCTGTGATATTTAGAATTCTCGGCCATGAAATGTTGCAGGAATTCTGCTATGACTACTTTTGCAGTGGATTTACAGTGGTTACTGTTGTCCCTCGTGGACAAGAATAGGTGAGGTGAGCGTATATGGTGCTTCCAGTCGGGCTGACCTCCCTTGATTTGACCTCTAACTCGGATCTTCATGTGGTTATGAATAAGTGCTCCGATTTGTTCCCTGCATCACGTTCCTGTTTGCTTTGACAATATGATGGTCTAAAAATACGATGTTGAGAAATTTCGTTGTTGAAAGGACTTTCTTTGCTAACGCTCATTCTGTGATTTTTAAAAGGGTCTGACCACAACTTCTTTCTCTATGGAACGCCTTTGCCGGCTCGAGTTGCTTTCGCCAACTCGCATTGGGCGGTGTTGTCCGCGCTGCAACGTGAAATGATCAGCTTCCGGTCTCATGTGGCACCAAACCGATACTTACTATCTCTGATAGATGGGAAGGTAGTATTGATTCTCGCTTGTAGTCTCTTTGATGATTCTTCTTTCCTCGATGGCAGCCAGCCATTTTTTCCACCTATTCCAGCTCCTCTCGTCGACGCCTCCCTCACCTTCATTTGGCAGCTCAAGGCCGCCTTTGTAGTGATCAAAGACTCACAATCGTACTGCCCATGGAGTCATGACAAAGTCCACAAGTGATGCTCCCTTTCCCAAGAAGAAGAAGGAATTACCGTCCATTGCATCGGAGAATTGCTTCAAAGTATCTCAGAAGTCTGACCTGTCCTTGTTCAACGAATCGGACTGGGATTGAAGGAAGCGACGGAAACTGGGTATAACACGCGTCGTAACAAAGTCGATCCAGTTCCTCACTCTGGCTCTTGAGTAAGGGTCCGCAGGGAGCAGCTTGGGTCCATGCTCTGGGTAAGTGTCTTCTAGGAACTCTAAGATGACGCTCGACTCGTAAAGTGGCTTGTTGTCATATTGAAGTGGCGGCACCAAGCCTCTCGCATTCAGTTCCAGGAGGCTCTCGGGCTTATGGTATGGATTTACTTCGATATACCGAGATGGGATACGTTTTTCTTCAAGGACTGTCCAAAAACGCTGAACTAGGGACATTTTGCGCACTTCTCGCCACGGAGTATACTGGAACGAACCAAAGGGACAGAACCAGCCGGCATAAAGCTTCACCGGCTGTGGCTCGTTGTGCTTGTTCACAAGGGTCTTGGCTGGGCCGGTAGCTTCGCCATAAAGATCGGCGTCTGGGGGAGGTGGCATTCTGACGGGGGATAAATTCTCGGTTTTTGCGCTGAGGAAATAGTAGATTGGACAGGAAAATGGACGTTGGTTTAGTCAGAGTTTCCCGAACCTGACGTAGTCTTGTCAGTTTTATTACAAAGTAATTGTAGAAGTGGCACAAGATCCACCTATGGAAAAGCATAGCGTTACCATGCACACAAACATAATCAAGCATACAGGGTGCGTTTTGCCATTCTTGACAGGTTAGGGAGCGTTAAATGATTAAGGAGTCATGTCATGACGAGCTGCCACCGCCAGACCAATGGGCAGCTCAGAGTATAAGCTTTGAAAACAGAAATTCGACTCCATCAAGAGCTCTATGCTTGCACATGATAAATCGAATACCCTCCCTGAAAGCCAAGGTTGTGCAAAGAAATGTATCAAGCCAGCGCGTCCGCCTCCCAGCCTGCTGCATCCTGTCACGGTCTTCAGGTCGAGGGGTCCTGCAGAGCCAAGTGGAAGATTCAAGCAAGGATAATAGTTTCGCCGCTCCGTTTGCTCCGATTGACCACCCCGAGGCTTGTGGCCGCGTAGCCAATCACAATGACCTTCCTCATGGAGAATTGAATAGTAGGTATCAAAACGCTTCCGATGGCCTGATGCCCGGGCAAGAACGACCTTCCGCATTAGATGTGCCGCAGATCTTGCATCCCGGATCACGGGCTACGTCGTCTCAACAGCTTATCGTTGGTGCAGAAGGAAGGTACATTCCCTCAAAGGAACAGTGCCCGCCCGTGCTATCCCCAGAGTACTCCACTGTGTTGTCAAGGCCTGAGCGTATATAGGTAGGGTCGTAGAGTCGAGCTCTTCACTCTCTCCTTCATTGTCACCCAAATACTCTGCATCCAATCATGTTCCTTCCCACTGTGGCTATCACTTTCTCTCTCTTTGGAGCGACCCTCTCTCAGTTCGTATCTCCACCCACCAACCTAACCACTGCAACAGGATATGCAGGTTTCAAAGTTCGCTATAAGCAAGTTCCGCCAGGAATATGCGAGCAAAGATCCGACTTGAAAAGCTACGCGTCAGTGGAATCTTTCCCAGCCATTTCTTGTTGATTCGTACTGCGTCTCAAATTGAAGATTTGTCGCATTAACGGAGCACTCATGACTCTGGTTACTTCCGGAAGGGACATACTGACTCTGACATAGGGGTTATGTAGACATTTCTCCTGACACGCATATATTCGTAAGCATGCCTGCGGAGTGGTCTTCCCCCGGCATATAAAATTATTCCGGTGCGACGACGACTTAAAAGAGCACAAATCTCGTTGGCCTTCCTTCTTCCTCTCTTGACTTGTCTCGGATAAGTCACGTTCCATGATGGAAGGGAATTCTAACCCGAAAAATGTCCAGTTTTGGTTCTTCGAGACCAGGAATGGTAACCCTACGAAAGCACCTTTGACATCTTGGTCAGGAGCCAGCTCATGTTCAACTTTCATACGCATACTAAAAACTTGAAGGATCAATGGAGGTCCCGGCAGCTCCAGCATGATAGGTCTTTTTCAGGAGCAGGGACCATGTCGTGTAAATTCGATTGGAAATGTCGTCAACAACCCATATGCATGGACTGAGGCCAGCAATATGATATTCATTGATCAACCAGCTCAGGTGGGCTTCTCGTACTCGGTGCCTGTGCCTGGTATGTATATTCGAAATTATCTCCTCCTACTTGATAACAGTATCTGGGGATCTGAATCGCAACGCATACTCGGGGGATCAAAAGGCTGGTTCGGTGTCATTTTACGCAATCTCTGATTTTAACAGAGGCTGACTGACTCCAAATGTTGCATAGGTTACATCAGCCCCGACGATGGGTCCGTTGTCCTCCTGCCGAACGGTACTTGTCCCAACGACAACATCACACAAGGCACGTGCGGGACATACTCAGATCCCAATGTCACGGACACGCCCACAACAACTTCAGCCGCAGCGCCCGCTTTCTGGGCCACTTTGCAGGGATTTATGGGGGCTTTCCCTCAATATTCGAGAGAAACCTTCCATTTTTCCACAGGTACGTATCGTCCTTTGTCCAGCCCCACCTCCGCACTGCTGACACCGAAATCTTGCCAGAGAGCTACGGTGGACACTACGGGCCGGTTTTTAATGAATACATCGAAAGTCAAAACGCTAAAGCCATCCCCGGTGCGCATAACATCAGCCTTGAGACGGTTCTTATTGGCAATGGGTGGTACAATCCTTTGATTCAGGTGAGCTCCTTGGAAACATGCTCCTAGGGACGATGAATTGAGTTATCTTGCTCAGTATCAAGCATACTATAATTTTACGGTTACTTGCCCTTCCTGAAAGCAAAAGATGAATGACTAACAAGCGGCAGGTGTATCCGGGGAACACGTACAGTCTCAGGGAATTTTTTGCCCTTGACAGGGCTCAGGATTAGTAGATGCTGATGTCGTTCAGATATGACTACTTCCCCTACAACGACACTATCGCTGCCAAGGTGTATAAGAATCTCTATGTATGTATTTTCGGTATCCGGCTTTCCTCTTTCGGACCAAGTCTTGAGTCTCCAGAGAAGTCTTAGGAGTTCCGACTTTTTAGACATGTTCCACGGCTTAATATACCCCCTTCAGGAGGGCCATACTGACTCTGAGAAAGGGAACGGGCAATTGTGTCGACCAATGTGAGCATTTTCGATGAGGTAGTAAACTTGCTACCGCTCTATGAAGTCTCAAGACAGCTCTTTGAAGGGCTTCGAATACTCTTGCTGTTTTTGTTTAGTCCTTTCAATAGTCTCATGACCCGTGTATTTTAGACTCAAGAAATACTGACGGGGATTCTAGTAAATGAATGCGCTGCCACGGGCAGCAACGTCATATGTTCGGCCGCCGACAATTACTGTGCGGATAATGTCGAGTCAATCTACGATGAGGTCTTGAATCGAGACGAGTATGATATCCGAGAACTTGAGCCTGACCCGTAAGCCATTCTAGTCATCAGCGCCAATTTGCTTACGGTCCTTGGACATCGGGAAGCCTGATGCCTTGATGAACAGTTTCCCCCCGGAGTTCTACGTGGCGTACTTGAACACGCCAATTGTGCAATCGGCCATTGGTGCATTCCAAAATTATACAGAATACTCAGCAGCGGTGGGAGATGCGTTCAATACTACAGGTGATGATGGAAGAGAAGACGGAACCGTCGCAGACATGTTGGAACTGCTGGAACAAGGTATCACGGTATGCTTGCCTACATTCTGTTTCTTAGCAAAGTCTTACTCTCAGCAGGTCATGATGTATACGGGAGATGCAGACTATAATTGTAGAGCCCACCTAAGTGTTTGCCACGGACAGTGCTAAACAACAAATAGGCAATTGGCTCGGCGGCGAGGTGGTCAGTAACGAAATAGGACAGCCGGGCTTCAATTGCAGTGGCTACACCAATGTCTTAACGTCTGATGGCATTGTTCACGGCCAAGTCAAGCAGAGCGGCGCGTTTAGTTTCGTGAGAATCTACGAGAGCGGACATGTAAGTTTGTCGAAATCCAGATTTACCCCTTGTACCAAGATTTGGGCCGGGATACATATGTCGGGAGTGTTCGGTCATAAACATGGTCCTTGGCTTAGATTCCCATCTCGATCAGGCTATGCTAATTCCAAGATCTTCATTCAGGAGGTACCATTCTATCAGCCAGAGATAGCATTGGCTATCTTTGAAAGAGCCATAGCAGGATTGGACATCGCTACGGGATTGGTCAATGCGACTAGTGACTACCGAACATTTGGCCCACCCACAAGTGACTACAGGGAGGGCAATGCCACCGTTCAATTTGAAGTCGTCAATACTAATACGACGTACAACACCACTACCAACGAGCCTAATCCGCCTTTAATGGGTCGTTTTGCAAAAAGGCAAGGCGAGCAGTTACACTACGGGAAGGTTTTAAAGCCAGTGAAGCTATGAGTGGACTGTGAAATGGGTCAGTACTTGCAAGACACAGTTGCATTACTAAAGGTCGCTCAGCGTCCGTGCGTGGCTTGGAATAGACCATGATCAGTCAGTAAGCTAGCTCGAAATCGTAGGTTTGATAGATAAAGGGGACTGAACGCCCGAGTACTTGCTTGTGTTTACTACCAAAGTGGTGAACTTTTCCCCCTCAAAAGTCCGCTTTGCGTCAAAGATTGGGGAACAATGAAGATATTCTGGCATCAGTACCCGTCCGCTCGTAGCGACATCACCAGCTTCCAGGTCCAGATCATAAGGCTAAGTGTCCGAAAGACTGAGCAACTCACGGCCGTTCAACCAACGTTCTGACTTGATCCTCGCAAAGACCAAAGATGGGTCGGCTTATTTAGCCGAGAATTCTTTGGGTTTAGGGTGAAGCCGCTTAGACTTGCCGCTTGGCAAAGGCTCAGTTCTCTTGGTCTCTGCTAGCCTTTGAGTTTGAATACTTTAGTTGCTGCTCCAAGCCATTGAATGGGCTCTCCGTCAAGCTCAACCACTAAACCATCTCAGCCGGTCAATGCGTTACGTGGTGCGTACGACGGTGAAGGGGGCCACCTTGTCTCACTTCCCACCAAGGTCGAATTACAATCCAGTTGCCAAACCATCGAGGTCTTTGTCGCTACCATTCCTCTCAAGTCCGCAAGCACAGTCTTGAAGTACGTGCTTCTGTTAGCCTCATACATGACCTGACTAATATGTAATGCAGGCTCGTCGAAGCTGCCATTCAAGATGCCGCCGCTGCGAATCTACAGCACCTGAGAAAATTGGTCAAACCTGAACATCTGCCCCCGTGTCTGAGGCGCCTCGGAGAGATCTCGGAATTTCACAACCCTGCCACTGAGCCAGCAGGCTTGCCAAGATTTCCCGGGAATTATAATAGCAGTGTACCCAACGGCTACCAGACCGCTACATTTATAGCAGTCAATGGCCATGCAGAAGCGTCGCAACAGCCTGCCTTGCATTACCTTGTCTGCCCAACATCAGTGGTGGCCGTTGAAGATCTTCACACAATCTTCTCGTCAATGGAACCTTCGCTAGGCGTCGACTTCGAGCCACATCTCCGCATCATACCAGTGCCTCTGTATCCGCCTTCTTCAGCAAAGCAAGCGAAGGACTGGAGCCAAGAATACTGGCCGACGGTGTACAAGGGTGGAAATCCATTCGGTCCACACCCTGCTCTGGTGTCCCGTGCTCTAGAAGACGTACACAGTCGCACTGGAAGATGTATGAGCCTCGCGAGGCGCGCTGGGGAGGAAGTCTCGTTGGCTGCTAAAGGAGAACCCATCGGCGCCGTCATTGTTGATCGCAGCGGAGGCGAAGACGCCTCCATCATTGCGGTAGCTGGTGATGCACGTTGGCACCATATGGACAAAGCTGAAGAGCCAGGGAGTGGGAACGTCACGGCTCATGCTGTTATGAGAGCAATTGGCATGGTAGCAAGGAAGCGACGAGCCCCGCTACACAAGGGGCTGGCTGCTGAACTTGACTCCGAGGAATCGGATCTTGACGCAGACCGTCCGCTGACTCCACTGGAGAGTGACGTGTACACTGCTTCCACAGTGGCACGCGACGGATACCTCTGCCTCGATCTGGAGCTATACATTACTCACGAACCGTGCGTCATGTGCTCGATGGCAATCTTGCACTCGAGATTTTCCAGGGTCATCTTTGGGCAACGCATGCTACGTACTGGAGGTCTTACTGCGGTCTCACAAAATAACAGTGGTTTCGACATCGAAAACGATGATCAAGGTTTGGGTTATGGTTTGTTCTGGCGACAGGAGCTAAACTGGCGCCATCTTGCATGGCAATGGCTTACCGACGATGATTTGCAAACACGTATCAGTAGCCAGGACGTACATATCTAAAGTCGAAGAGGCTGATCGAGGAGCTCATACTCTTTTATCGTTAGTTTGCCTCATCTTGCCTTGATCGACCCTTTCGCGGGACGATCGTTCAGTTCATAAGTAGACTTTTTCTTTCTCTTCACTTCTTACCCATGATAAATATGTGCAAGATGCCTGTTACGATCACATGAAGACCTGCTTCATATATGATCCTCCGAAATGTTGACCAAGATCCGTCAATGCCTCCGGTTACAGTAGCCATGAGCGTTACTGCGTGACTTCGTATTTTCAAACCTGTAGAAAGCACCCAAAATGGACTTCTATCTGTACATCTCACCCATCCAAGCCAAAGAAGTGTAAGTCCAAGCAAAGCGTCACCAACGACGATACAGCTCAACCGTCATCGCCATTGAGTTTCGACACAGCAAGACCGGACTGACTGAATGATAGCTGCACGTCCATGATGCAATGAAAGGAGTGGAGGATTTTTTTGGCATCGCTTCGTACTGTTTAATAATCCTCCTGGGGAGGACCTAGTGCAGCTCATGTGGAATGTTCCTTTTAGGCACTGGCTTAGGCTACTGCTACTGCTACTGCTGATGCAGACTAGTGAAAAGGACTCTTTTCGAGATTAGTCTTTTGTAGAATTGTCCGGCCGGCAACTCGAGCTTTCTTGCACTTTGTTGGTTTCGATGCTATCTGTGTTAGTACTCGGGCGGGCACAGTACTACAATTGTTAGTGGTAAGGGACTTTTTCGTTTCCCTGTCTCGGGATCATGCTAGCGATCAGAAATGCTAGACAGGAGATGAGGGCACTGAGGATGGTGGCAGTCGAGGAAGTCGCACGGTGTGAAGACTCGTCTTTCCTATCAGAGAATTTTGGCCTCACGAATCAGGTCAGGATCGACCCTTGGTACTTCATCGACACCAAACCAGACCTCGCAGAAATGGGCTTCATGTCGTGCTAATGCCTGAAGGGACTTACTGTCAAATTCTTTCATCTGAGAGTTGCTTTGACGGCCGGCACTAGAAACCGTGGCCCCGGATCGTGGAGTCTCAGCAATTTCTGGTTCGACAGTGCGTGATGAAGAAACTATTTGGCCTTTATCATCTACGCGGTTTTTCCTATTACCTCCGTAGAGGTAGCTGGTAGTCTGTCCCTTGGTGGTGGGATCTTCTTGGAAGGCGACCGGTGTTCCCTGTCATCTAGGCAATTTGGTCGTGGATGCTCGCTTCGACAGGTTTCGCAACATTGAAGAAAGGTGTTCTCGGATTTCATGGCAATTCAACATATGTGGCTGATATGACGTGCATCAGGCGCTCGCAGTTCAATTCCCCATGCATCGGGTCGGTCAGGGCGCAACACTGCGTATGGACCAAGTTGGCCGACGTTAGTGCAGAGATCACGCGCCCTCAGAGAGCCAGATACCGCTAGCTTAGACATCAGTATGACCATGATGCATTAGGGTTGGAAGATCCAACCATCTGCACTCAGCGTCCCATGACCAGCGCTCACACCCGTTCTTTTACTCTCTTTAACAAGTTCATCGGGAGACGAGCCTTTTTTCCTGGCTACAACTGCTGCAAGCGTCACGACAAGCCCAATTGAGTGCTGGAGAGGGCCAATATGCCAGGGGCACTGGGTTTGCCAAATGACGGTGGTCCATCTTGGTGATCCATGCCAATCAGGCAGCAGTATAGGAGGTAAGATGAGAGCAGAAAGAATTGTGATGAATTTAAGATGATAGTGAAGGTAAAATGTGTCCTACAGCTCGCGTATATACGGACTTAATTACATACGCGCTAATAATCTGTGGAAATCCGTTTTTGAGCTTTTGCCTCCAGACTTCTTGCTAGTAGTAATAGGAGTCATGGGCCCACATCCATCGGCTTGCAAGTTGCTGTCCCTTCCATGTTGGCCTCTCACATGCGGTCAAAGCTGAGCTTGCCATTTTTATGCCAACGCTTGGCTATTGCTCCCTACTCAAGCCGAGCTGGGATTTGGTACATTCGAAACCCCTAATATACGCACCCTCTTTCCTCGTTCCCTGGCCATTTCTGTCAACACATTGGCTTAGACCACTTGCTTTAGAGCTCAAGCGCTAGCCTAAGCCACGGTTTCTTGCAAGGTGTAACTCAACTGTGGGCTTCGACTTGACTCCTCAACTTCGTCTCTAGACTTAGTCTTGCGTCTCTTTTGCCGGGCCTGTCCACAGCTGTACCTATTCTAGCTCGAGCTAGAGACGGACTCTGAATATCTCCGCGCCCGACTGGGCAAAACGCAAAATATCAGGTTGGCCTTTTTTTCGATATAGGAGGTAGACGAGGCATCGCAGTGATGCAGGGTTTGTCAATCCTCGGCTTGCATCTATGGTAGAAGACAACTTTGATACGGTGCAGTGAAAAACACTCCTAAACGGCTACGGTGTTCTTTGACGAAGAAAAGCAACCAAGTCAAAAGGCTGTTACAATTCAAGGTCTCGTACTGGTCATAGTCATCATGGATACGCCAAGAAGGCCAGCATCGACGCGACATGTCGACGATATACGCCAAGCTCTGACGGTCGTAATTGATCTATGCCATACAGCTACTCGACAATCAATGGGTGACGCTTTTCTCAAGGGCATGAAGTTATGAAAGCGGCAATAGTATGCGGGACAGCAACATTCATAGCTTCGACGATACCCACATATTCAAGTTCTCAAGACTAGCTGGTCCGTCGTATAGACCTGTTACCCTAAAGCTCTCGTGTTGATCTGATGGTCGATGAACTTTCAGCTGGATTTTACAGTGATAGGTAGGAGACCTACATTTTGGGTACCGATCCATCTATAGTGTTAGCTCCTAAAAGTCGCATTGCAGTCTGTAGCTCTTAGTCTAGTACTCTCATGCCGTCAGCAACCGCTGAAAGCACGTGTCCTTCGATATCTTACTCTCTAGAGTCCGCTCAACACCCACAACACCACCTGCTCCCAGCCCAAATAATGCAGCTCTTCCTATGCCGATCCCCCTAGCCCCAAGGAAAAGGGCTTCGACCACATCTGTTCCCCTTTGATACCGCCATCTACAAGGACTTCGACCTTCTGCAAGACCGCCTGGCAGTACTTGCGTATTTCTAATAGCGTATGGATTGCAGGCGGTGCAGTATCCGCTGCCCTGCCGCCATGATTGGACAAAAGAATGCCTTTAACCTGTGGAGCATGTAGTGATGCCAGATAGGCATCCTCGTGAGTCTGAATGGCTTTGAGGAGTATTGGCAATTTCGTGTGCTCAGCAAGCCAAGGCATAGTGTTTTTCCAAGTCAAGTTGGGCGAAGTACCTGCGAACAGCGATTTACCAATACCACCTGAAGTTGCTTTGCTGGCAGAGCCTGATTGAGCTGCTGACGTGAATGGAAGGATTGACCCCACGTTTTTGGACCTTTCATCATCCTCTCGCTTGCCCGGAACAGGTGCGTCAAGTGTAAGACAGACGAATTTGATGGTCGGGATGGCGATTCTTCGAGCAAGCATATCCTCACTCTTCTTTACGATCTGTCTGGCAATACATCTGTCAGCCAAAAGCTTGTCCGGGCTCGGCATCAGCCACAATTTGCTCGGGCGTCATCGAGGCGTTGTTAGATATCATCTGGAGAGCTGTGAGACGAAAACAAGCCCGAGCGATGCCTGCTTTCCCAGCGGCACTGAGGAGCTAGACGTGAGTTGAATGTTCACTGTCGTGGAAGAATTCAGAAAAGGGAAGGAGTGGGGCGTAAGTACTCCGCCAATCTAGCCATAGCTGCCGGTGACACGAATACTGGCAAGCCAACCTTGCATCCCATGATAGTGGTGGAGGGATTACAAAGCTCACAATCAACGAATATTCGAGGCCGGAGGAGTATCGATCGGTACACTTCGTTGTTCAGACGCTTCGATATGAGGTCGTCCCCAGCACTATAGTAATAAGCCCACGCTTTTCGACTAAGTTGTTTAGTTGCAACATCTTCGATCTCGTCCAGGTTCAGTAGGCTGTCAAGGGGCGGAGCTCTATCCTCAAGGCTCTTTTCCTCCTTCTCTGCCTCCTCCCTTGTCAAGGTGTTGGGGTCAACTGTTCCCCGTCTGTCCTCGTTTGAAAGGTATTCTTCCAGCGTGCCCGGGGGATACACAGGCTACACTTGAGGTTAGAGGGAGCGGAACAAAGACAGAAAAAGCAAACACACATCGTACTCTTCAGTAGCGTTTTGGCCAGCGAGTCCCAAGATCTGTGCATTATTCAAGGGTTCGAGCATTGATGCGGAAACCTAGGCAACGTACAATCTTGCTGCCTCCTGGATGTCGTGGGAGGAAAGTTGTGACCTGATATTTGGTATGATGCGTTGATATCAGATCGAAAAGATAAACCCGGGAGGAAGGTTTACATCGTAAACGTTGCCGTAGAGAATCACCTGCCGTATCAATATAATTAGAAGGTGGTGTCTTCATGTCCAATAGGAGCACATCGTACCCAGCAGCTTTCAACGCTGGAATGCTTCCTGACTGCATTTGAAACCGGTTAGACACGCGCCCATATGCGGAGAAAGATTATAAATGCATGTCGATGACCTGAAACATGATAAAAGGGTAGTAAAGTAGGTCGACCATGATAGATGACCCACCTTCTGTCGCATCGATGACTTAAGAGTGATATAGTCTAAAAATCGAAATATGTTTTCCCTGGGGCTGCTCTACTCGTAATGACAAGTACGGATTTTCGCCACTCAACCTCAGCGGGGAACCACCTGCCCCGTTCAGCCCTATGGATTGGACTTTCTTCAAATAACGGAGTAGAGATACTCAAATCTTAAACAACAGTATTTTCCCAGACTGGAAGTGGACCAAAGCCGCAATGTTCGAGGTAGTCAGCGCTTGGTTCATCTGCTCGAGTGGTGGCTGACATTTGATAGTCCGCCAGCGACCGTTATCACCTGCGTCTTCATCGAGCAAGGAGTGCAAGTATCTCCTCGCCCCATAAAGTCGATGATCGCTAAAGAACGAAAAGGTCGTGCTGACTAGCGAGGAGATGTACGTCTGTTACTTCGGCTCCTTCGTCCTGGTTGAGACCGCGTTTTGAGTCGGTAGACACGAGGGAGCGAAGGATCTCCCGTAACATGTCTCAAGTCTCAAGACTCAATTGTATCTCAGAGGCAATGCTAACCTGGAGGACTACAGGGTGGAAGTCCGAGCGTAAGTGATTTCGAAGTCTCTCCGAATGAACATGGCAATTTATGGTACACGACCTTTTTGTGAGAACGAAAGCCAAGCTTCTTGTTTCCAAGACCTTTGCTTGAGGAAAGATACGCTAACTCGGATGATTTCAAAAGCTCTCAACGCACGTTTGAAGTAAGTCAAGCTCGTATCTATACAGGCACAGATTCTGTCGTTAAGTTTCTTTAGGGAGCCTACATTAGGTCAGCATCTCGGACCACATATCCATGGTCTCCCACTGAAGGCCTATAAGAACATCTCTGTCGCAGTTCAGCTTCGCCCTAGTCATATTGAAGATATTCACAGGTAACTCTTTCCTTCCTATCATTGCTAGGATGAGGACTGATGTAAGCATGTAGCCGAATTCTACTCAATCGTAAGCATCTCTCGGAGCGGGTTTTGCCTTTCAGTCAGTACCTTGTTCTGAATCTCGAGACATTTTGCGGGAGCAGAAGTCGGTTCTCGCTACTTGAAAGCTGCTCAGAATCGTCGCAACTCTTCAAACCATGTCATGGGGTAGTAATGCTTACTCCGGCGTTGGGGATAGGGTGCCCTGTTCGCAGTGTACGGCGCCGGCATTCTTCTAATTTCGCTTTTCCGCCGACAACAGGGAAATCAACAGTTTTTCTCCGAAATTGGAGACCACGGGCTGAACCAGAAAAGATTCAAAACCAGCGGGAACGTTGTCGTGGTGCTGACTGCGTTGTCGGTAGCGGCGTATACAATCCTGCTGGTTCTCACCTTGAAACTTCCCGCATAAGCAGCCAGCACCAGCAGGGCTTTTCGAGAGAAGATTCGGACTCTCGGTGACCGAGAGGCTGGTCGGGCGGTCTTACTCCGGCTCGCTAATGATAAGTGGCCGACCCAGGGATTGTTCGGCAAGCAGGGCAGCGGGAATGCGAGTAAGGGTACATTAGTACAATAGCGAGCGTTTATGCGGGGCGCGTGTCCCCAAAAACGCAGCAGATTGGACGGCGATCCATGGAAAATTGCGGATAGGAACAACGATTCAAATCATGACACATGACAAATCTCATGAGCTGCAATAGAGAAACGAAATCTGAAAATTCCCGTAAATCATATAGGTACCGACCTGTTTAAAATCATCCCTTCGGCTAGGTAATAATTAACATCGCAATTGACTTGCAGACCGCAAAAGAGCGAAAGAGGAGATGATCTAAAAGGGCACATCGGGCGCTAGAGCTTCCCCCTGGGCCTTGGCTCGCCTTGCCGAACAGCCACTGCGATCATTCCGCCAACCAAACGACTTGAGCAGTAGTTGAGCTTCAATCTAAAGACGTGGCTGGGAAAAGTAATCCTAACCTATCCTTTGAACGACAGAGCATACGACAACACTTTCATGAGCAACTCTGCTCTAGATAAAGTCGCCCAAAAGCCCACTGGTCAACATTCTAAGCCCAAAGCTTCGGCTTGGGCAAGTCGCACGGACTCACGGCACCCCAGCCCCTTGCTTGAGCTGATTAGAGATGCCACTGTTGGGCAATGGCGAGTATAGAGAGCCTGTTCCGTTCCACGACCGCCTCTCAGAAGCAAAGGAGATTTCCCCCCACATCCCTCCTCATCGCAAACAGAGCCAACATTCAGTCTTCGCCAAGAGTACGTATTTCCGAATTCGTATCTCCCCTTTTGGACCAAATTTAAAGATTTGAGACTTGTCTTGAGAGTCTTCACTCTCAAAATTGTTCCAAGGCCCGATGTTCCCGTTCATGTAGGCAATGCTGACGGGGAAATTGTCATCTAGCTGCCATCATGAGTCATTTCTCCACCCCTAGCTCGGACGGCGCAAGGACACCCGACGAGAACGAGTTGTTGAAAGAAAAGGAGAAATTTAACAAAGCGTTCGGCGCACCTGTCTCTGGAAGCAGTTTGGCAGCACCCCAACAAGGTAGCAAGCAGGGTGGTACCAACGGTTCAGCTTTGACAGACACACCATTGACTACTGCGCCGAACAGCCCCATAATGTAGGTTACACACCTTTGATGTAGGTTGAAGCCAAGTTTAGCTGACGTGTGGAAGTCCACCACGGCGAAGAGACTCCGGAACCTCCACACCAGCCTCACGCCAACGGCCTACTACTTTGGATATCCCCGGCCTGACAAAATCGAGTGTGTCACCTGACGGTAGAATTGCCCAGAGAGACGTTGGTTCTAAACTGGTCATCGTTATGGTAGGCCTACCAGCTAGGGGAAAGAGCTATGTAACCAAGAAAATTGCTCGGTATCTTAATTGGCTTCAGCATGACACACGGATATTCAACGTCGGCGAAAGGAGGCGTGTCGCAGCTGGAGAACTTGGTTCGAATGGACCTCCAGGCATTTCCAGGACTCAGCGACCCTTACAGAGTATCAGTCTCACTACGAGATCATCAAATGGGTTCTTGACCGATGGAAACTCCAAAACCGCTATTACGCCCTCTATGAAAATATTGATCAATGGTGAACCTCCACCCCTTGAAATGCTTCCTTCACCGGCATTGGACCTGGCAGAAGAGGCGAATTCCCGCGACTCGACCTTGGATATTGTGTCCAACAGCAACACTCAGGATGGAAGACTGGCGCCTAAGGCGGTAGCGCCTTCGCTGCACAGGACTGAATCGATGGAAAAGATTCACGACGCATCATTTTTTGACCCCAATAATGAACAGGCAGCACACATCCGAGACGAAATAGCAATGGCAACGCTGGACGAACTCCTGGACTACATCCTCGATCAGGGGGGCTCAGTGGGGATTTTTGACGCGACCAATAGTACGCTCGAAAGGCGAAAGCTCGTGATGGAGAGAATCAGAGAGCGGGCTGGTCCTGAACTTGGAGTGTTGTTTCTCGAATCTCTTTGTGTCGACGAACAATTGTTGGAGTCCAACATGCGTCTGAAGCTGAGCGGTACGTCCGTTCCCAGCTTTGGCCTTTTCTAGCCGGTCCATTTCTGTGTCTGGAAGGTAATGCTGACTCACAAATCGGCATTAGGTCCGGACTACCGAGACCAAGATCCTCTTGTAGCATTGGACGACTTCAAAAAGCGGGTGGCCTTGTACCAGTCAAAGTATGTTCCCCTCGGGGAATACGAAGAGAAAAACAACACGCCCTACGTTCAAATGATAGATGTGGGACGGAAGGTAGTCTCTCATCAGATTCGAGGGTATGTAGTTTCGTATGTCGTTTCCGGGGGGGTGCGCGGTCCGATTCAGACCTCACTCGGAGCCGTGAGCTACGTTTTTGAGAGCAGAGAAGGGGCTTCTTTCCCCAACTTTGCTTTCTAGATTTGTTTCACAAGTCGACATGATGTCTTGAATAGGATGTGCTGACTCCGAAGGGGTTAGTTTTCTATCAGCACAGACCGTTTATTACCTTCTGAACTTCAACCTTGCGCCCCGACAGATTTGGATCACCAGGCATGGGGAGTCCGTCGACAACGTCAACGGCAGGATCGGTGGAGATTCTGACTTGAGTGAGAGGGGCATTGCATACGCAAAAGCCCTGACAATGTTCATCAAAGATCAACGTCAAGCCTGGGATGTACATCAGCGCGACAAGGCCCTTTCAACTCACTTTCCGCCCTTGCCAGGCGATACCACTCCTCCAAACCCGGAATACAACCATGGGGACCCTGACGACAGCAGCGAATCTCCTAAGAGCTTCTGCGTGTGGACGTCAATGCTCAAACGGAGCATCCAGACAGCCCAGTTCTTTGACGAAGACGATTATGACACGAAGCAATTCAAGATGCTTGACGAGCTCAACGCTGGGACCATGGAAGGACTGACGTATGAGGAGATCCGTACCAAGCACAACGAAGAATTTCGGCTTCGACAGAGGGATAAAATGCATTATCGATGTAGGTATATCCGTTGCTGTTTCTTCCACTTTCCGGGACCACCCCTTTCTTTTGACTTATGAGGCTGCCTCATGGTTCTTGTTTGTACCTTGAAGATGACGAGCTGACGCCAGAATTTTCGCAGACCCTGGTGCAGGCGGGGAAGGATACCTCGATATTATCAATCGATTGCGGGCTGTTATCGTCGAGGTCGAGAGGTAAGAGGCCTCAAGTCTCCTCTCTGTTTATGAGATCTGGATTCCTAATTGCCAGCGACAGGATGACGGATCACGTTTTGCTTGTCGGGCATCGGTCTGTCGCTCGAGTACTTTTGGCTTACTTCAAGGGTCTTAAGAGGGAGGACGTGGCGGATCTCGATGTCCCGCTGGGCATGCTGTACATGCTTGAGCCGGTAAGAACCGATATACAACATATCTGGACCCATGTTAATGCTGGTTATAGAAGCCCTATGGTGTTGAATTCCGGGCCTATCGTTACGACGAATTGAGAGATTGTTTCTTTGAAGTACACGATTATCAACTACAGAGGGCGACCTCTCATCTCTCGAATTGAGTGCTTGGGTAGTTGCATTCTGAGCAAGGTGTTTCGGCGTTCCATGACACCTCATACCCACAGGATCTGGCTTTTTCTGTACCATTATGTAATGGATTCCGGTTCTGCATTGAACGATACCTGGTGGGTCCGTAGATTAGTATAAGATCTATAGTCTTCCCCCTATCGTTCCGAGAGCCTTCACGCCGCAACTTTATGGCGCGGTAACGAAGCTCCAGGAAGTGAAAACGGTCAGCCACCCAAAAGCGGAATCCGAAAATGAGAATCTATTCCTGACATTTGTAAAACGGTCGAGGCATCATAGGCTAATAGTCTAATACGATAATACCATTAACGACAACAAGACATGTTTTCCTGCAGAGCCGCGGGCCGCGCTTAATGCGCCAGGAACTACTTGCTCTACATTGAAGTCCGAACGGTTTCTCGAAAAGAATTTCTTATTTATGATTGTTATGATACGCGGTAGCCACCTTTGAAATTTTTGCTCTGCCACAACAAGACTCACCTCTTGACTCAAAACAACTAGAGATCTAGGCAATACGAGTATCAGATTGAAATCTGGTCAATCTACCCTCATAGTGTTCTCATCCCCCCTCCCTCCATAGCTGTAAAGGGCAATATTGCTACGTCTTTCTGGACAGCTACAGGGTTAAGTGTCTCATGGATTCGTGATCGCGTCTGGCACTGGAGCTCTCCCCTCACTACTCCCAACACCTTCAGACGAATCGCTATCAACAGAATGGACGACACGGCTTCTATAAAGTCTGCTTCCCAGGCTGGGACTTCGGCTTCTAATGGAACGAAGAGAAAACGGTCGGCAGATCCCAAGTTCTACGCAGTACGCGTTGGCTACCAACCAGGCATTTACCACACCTGGAAAGACTGCCTAGAGCAGGTGAAAGGTTTCAAGAAGGCGATGTGTAAGTAAGCTGAGAGCTAAGAGTTGGTGGCCAGTCTGGCTCACGATACCATAACAGTCAAATCATTTCCCACTTTGACTGACGCCGAGCGCTTCGTTGCTGGCGAGAATCCGGTCCATGGAAATCATTCTGGTTTATCGCCTTCATCCAAATTTTACGCTGTGAAAAAGGGGAGGGTACCTGGAATCTACACAGATTGGCCATCCGCACAAGAACAGATTACCGGATGGCAGAAACCAAAGCACAGATGTTTCACGACCCGTGCTGAAGCGCAAAGTTTCTTGGAGGAAGACGAAAGACGAGCGTCGGACAGTCCAGCAGTTGAAATGGATGGTGTTTCCGTAACTCATCTCGCCGCCGACGTGCCGATCGAACCAGAATTCCAACCGCCGGTGAACAAGAAAGCCAAGAAAGGCGCATATGGTACGAAGACATGGGTCCCAGAGTACAATGAGGCGGACTACGAGCCCGGTACCGCGCCTTTGCCTCCAGATACTGAGGATGGGTTCGATTCTAACATTTTTCTGGATGCTGAGACCGGCAAGATGTTGTACAAGACACAAGAGCAGCGCCAGGTCACCAAGCCACGGCCGTCAGGGGTATCTCAGACCGAACCAATACGCATACATACAGATGGTAGCTCTTTAGGAAATGGTACGGCAGGGGCTTTTGCTGGTATTGGGGTCTATTTCGGTCCCGGCGACAAGAGGTTCGTTTTCTGGACAGGAGAGACATTACTAGCTTTTCGCTGATGGTCTCTGTGACAGGAATGTTTCCGAGACTCTACCAGGATCCAGGCAAACCAACCAACGTGCTGAGCTCACTGCAATCTTGAAAGCGCTCGAAATCGTCCCCAGAAATCGACACGTCTTAATCATCACCGACAGCCGGTATGCAATAGATTGCGTCACCACATGGTATATCAATTGGCGTAAGAATGGATGGAAGACATCAGCCGGCAAAGCGGTTGAGAACAAGGACATTGTTGAGAACGTTCTTGTAAAGATAGAGGAGCGAAACAAGCTGCACGTTCAGACCAACTTTGAATGGATCAAGGGGCATGCAAATCATCCTGGCAACGTTGAAGCTGATAAGCTCGCAGTTGATGGGGCAAGGAAGGGGCCAGCATCATAGTACGGGCTGATATGCTATGGTCGAAGTACTTGGAAGAATATCTCGTGATTGATGGTGCAGTGTCCATGGCATTATGTAGCCTTGCGTTTCTGAGGCAATCATGCTTTACGGCGCCTCGAAGCCACGGCTTCAGAATTGCATCTGGTAAGATACATCGAATTCTCGCCGAGCAAAGTGACGGCAAAGGCTCATATGAAGATGGTACACAACCGCGGGGCGTTGCGACGAAAACGACAGTCATAGCGGCAGAGTCCTCTGAAGGATTTGAAATATGCAGTACCATAGATGTAACACTGTCCCATCTCAGTAGGTGAGTGCTTACTCAAACTCGACCTGCAGCTTAAAGCACGCTAAGGAATCCGATAAGATAAGCCCTATCAAAATGAGCCAACGTCCTTCTGCATGTCTCCTCAAACTCTCTCCTCTCTCCAAGATAGTTAGTCGTACATCCTCTCATTTAATTGGCATGCGGTATCCAAACAATGCAATAACATTGGCTCCTCGGCCGTCTCTTCCGGCCATATGACCTCATTGAAGAACGTTCAGACTGGTTACTGCCCGCGGTACCGTTTCCTTTTATTCTCTTGGATGTCTTTCCCAACTCACGTACCTCGTGTTAAGGTAGCTTGCCCGAATCGCAAGGCGATTACTACATAGTGGACATCCTGCAAACATCAACCAGCATGCCTACTCTTGCTCTTTCGAATTTCAATATCGTGTTGGCAGTCTTGGGAGGTTTCATTACTTTATTGTAAATATTTTGCTCCTTTCCTCGCCTACCAATATGATGTGAGCATCTTACTAGTACTGACAAAATCGTAGTGGTCTGGTCTCTTACCTCTTCAAAGAGCAATTTTATCTATCTGAAGCCTGTCAGTAACCCTATAAACTGCTCCTAGAAGCCGGGAATTGGCGCTGAACAATATAGTGATATCGCTGCTCGCGGGGATCGTCTTCTCGCCGCATGCCACTAGTTTTATCAAGCCCCTGCAGTATGCCTCTGGATCACAGGAGAACCTTGATACAATTACCCTGTACTTCACTCGGCTCGTTCTCGGAGTGCAATTGGTACTGGCAGGGGTCCAACTTCCAAGCAAATATCTGTTGACAGAATGGAAAAGCCTGGCGCTCCTATTGGGACCTGGAATGGCATTCATGTGGCTCTGCAGCAGTCTGCTTATCTGGGGGTTGGTTCCAAATTTGGATTTCCTCCATGCCCTCGCCGTGGGCGCTTGCGTGACACCCACAGATCCCGTGCTTTCAAATTCCATTGTAAAAGGCAAATTCGCAGATAAAAACATTCCCAAGGACCTGCAAAAAATTATAATTGCAGAATCTGGCGCCAACGACGGGCTAGGATACCCATTTCTATTCTTTTCATTGTATCTTATCAAGTACATTGGTTCAGGAGATGCCGGGCAGCCAGGAGGGGTTAGGCTAGCCATGGGTGACTGGTTTGGAGAGACCTGGGGCTACACTATCCTACTGAGCGTTGTGTACGGGGCAACTGTAGGCTGGATTGCCAAAGAATTACTCCAATGGGCAAAAGACAAAAAGTTCGTGGACAGGGAGAGCTTCCTAGTATTCGCCATTACCTTGGCTCTTTTCATTGTTGGCACGTGTGGAATGATCGGCACCGACGATGTTTTAGCCTGTTTCATTGCCGGCAACGCCTTTACGATTGATGATTGGTTCCGCCTGGAGACGTTGGACGATTCTCTTCAGCCTACGATAGACATGCTACTCAACCTCTCCATCTTCATGTGGTTCGGGGCGGTCTGTCCATGGGGTAGCTTCCTTCGCAACGACGTTGTTCCAATCTATCGACTCATCGTCCTTGGTATTCTCATCCTACTTTTTCGCCGTCTACCAATCATTTTTGCCTTGCACACATTCCAGTGGTCGAAGATATGGCAGATCGAGCAAAAGCAGCAAGCTCTATTCGTGGGGTTCTTTGGCCCCATTGGTGTCAGTGCTGTCTTCTATTTGTACGTAAGTCTCGGGTTTCTACGGCAAATTACCGTGGATGGCGTGATACGGGCAGATGCGGAGAGGTTGGAGGATGTGTTCACTGTGGTCATCTGGTTTTTAGCCATCTGCAGCATAGTGAGAGGAAATCCGCCCTTCCCATTGGTATGTGTCCCACTAACCATGTCCAAAGATCGTCCATGGACTGAGCGTTCCGCTTGGAAAATTAGGCTACCATTTACCTCGAACGCTTTCAAGTGCGATTGCATCAAGATCCATTAGTCAGGATCCAGAAGAGCCACGTCCACCTTTTCGCGTCCATGAGCAAATCCAGAATCGACCACAGCTGAACTATCAGAGTAATCGTTCACGAAACAGCCCGCGTACGCGAGAAGAGCCGCCCAGGCCTGTCTTTCGTATTGGAGGGTCCATCATCAAATCCACGACGTTTGAAAATGGTGTTGGGCTTCAGACTATCGATGCAGCCAAAGAAAGAATCCACTACAATGTCGACTCGCCCGAGTTGATCCACAGTCGTGATGGTAGTGTAGACGGTGGGCACACTATTCGCTCCGAATAGGTTGCGTTGAAGACGTTGATTGGGTTGGCTCTGTCCAATTTCACCGTTGGATTAGAGTGAGCATTGAGATCTCGAACAATTCGAGCTAGAAGTCGAGGACCAGGAAACCTCACTTAGCTGAATGTTCGGGAATGTACTGAGGACATACCGCAGAATAACGTCCCAATACTACCAAGACAAGCCCAGCGTTGTTGACAATATTTCTCCTGGCGCAGGAGTCGTACCATTCGGTGATAATATCCATTTCCGTTGTCGGCATGCTTTTTCATTGTGTATACTAGCGAAAAATTGATTTGGGATATTCTAGCATCGACGATAAATGTTACGGAGAATCCTCCACATAGGGCCACTAGTACCAATTAGGCCTTAGCGCGCCTCCCTTCCGCACAAATCTGCCTTGCAGGCACATAGATTATTTAGGGCCCCTTCTGCAACCACATATTTTGGAAATAACCCCTACTTATTTCCACTAATTTTCAGCTTAGCGTCAAATATATACAGGGTATCGTTCTGTAACCATATTTCCACATATTTTCGCTTATTAAGCGAAAACAGGCTTGAAAATATGAAAACAACCCTCGAGGGTTGTTTTCAGCCAAAATAAGGCTAAGAACGCCAAGAATAGTGGACATCTATGACCGATATTCATATATTATTCTCTTTTGCTTCAGATTTGAAGCCGGTGTCTGCTCTCTTGCCAAGACGATGTTATTGTACCATTTCGAGGAACAATGTTGCCTCCATAGTCTGGCTCCAAATCATAGGCCATAAGACACCGGTATCGGTAGACACTCTATGGGAGCAGGCTTATTTGGGGTAATAATGGGAGTAATAGGAGTATCAATGATAGCCAAAGCCTGTGCAGCAGTAGCAGCAGGTATCTCGGCCATGGTGATGTGGAATGGTAGGAATTCAATGGTTTTTTACGGAGAAGACAATTTTTGCGACGATTTTGACTCAGTCTCAGAAACAGGGTTACAGAACGGAACCGTACATATATTCTACTTGTTTTGGAAATATCCTAAGCGTTATTTTCAAGCCTTGTTTTCACTAGCCAAGTGGTGGCGTTATTTAGTGGAAATATGTAGAGGTTATTTCCAAAATATGTGGTTGCAGAAGGGGCCCAAATTTAACGGCACCAAAAGTCCTGGACAGCGCTAAAATACTTGGCACTCTTGGCATTCTTGGCACTTTCTGTATAGTTACATTTATTTAACGATAATGCTTTATATAGTTGCGTATATACTCATTAACTCGCTCGACGGAGTTATATCATCGTATATTATCTTCTCTACGATCTTTTCTATACTCGTTATTATCTTTAAGACGTATTATCTTCGTAATATATCTCGATATTTACTCTATTTACTTCTAAATTCTCTTTTAAAGAAGCTCGTAATTTTAATAATATAGTTATTATCTTTCGACTTTCTTATAAGTTCTTAATATATCTTTTTAAGTAATATAACGTTTTATTTATAGTTAATAAAACTTAGTAAGTATTTAAATTCGAGTCTTATTATTATAATTAATACTTTAAATACTAGATATATTAATAAAAGATAATTAAGATAATTATATAGAAATACGCTATACTTAGTATAGACTACTCTAACGCTAAGACTATCTTAATATTAATTTTTTTAATTATTCTATCTATCTATTCATATATATATTTATTTAAAACTACTATAGTCTATTTTAATCTTTTTAATTACTTTAATCTTAATTAACTTTCTAATTCTCTATATAATAGTCTTAAATCACTTAATATTCTTATTTCTAAATATATTATATACCCGAGACTCTTTAATATTTATCTACTTTAAAGCTCTTAAAGTTCTTTTAATTTTTATTTTCTTATATATAATAATCTAAGATCGGGCTTAATAAGAATAATAATATCTCTCTTCTAAATCATCGTATTAGTTTTATTTTTCGAGTTGCTCGGGCTATTATAGCTCGTTAAATAATATCTAATTCTCGCTTAACGAGTAGATCTAAAAAAAAATTATAACTTTTATAAACATCGAACGACGATAAGATATTCTCGATCTATCGAGCCGTTATATATATTAATAAAGAATTTATTTTTTAGAATCTATAGGCGCGTAAGAGTAATTATCTTTAAGAAGAATCTTATTATAGCGATATAGAAGCTAATTATAGAGTACGTTAAATTAAGTAATTAATCGAATAACTTTAAGCTTTATTTCGAGGGTAATAGAGACTAAGATCTATTAAATACGTTCTTAAATAACGATATATAAGTTAGATATCGTTATGATTATAATAGATAGATAAGAAATAAATGAGTTAAAAAATTAAGAAAATTAGTATTAAGGTAGCCTTAGCGTTGAGATAATCTTAGCGTTAAGATGACTTATACTAAGTATAGCGTATTCCTATACGATTAGAGAATAGTAAGAAGATTTCTATTTATTATATTATATAAATGAGACTTATATATTAAAAGTCTTTATACTCTTTCTCTATTTCTTTACGCTATAAATATTAAAGTTTTTTTTTTTTTTTTTTTTTTTTTTTATTTTTTTTATTTTTTTTTTTTTTTTTTTTTTTTTTGTATTTTTATTTTTTTTATATATATTTTTTATTTTTTTTGGTAAGGTGGGGGTATTTGTTTTGTTGATTTGAACTCCCGAGGATGTTTAGCAAGGTTTCGGCCACCCCCCGCCCCCCCCCCCCCCCCCCCCTTCAGCTACCTATCCCTTTAGTCACTTCTCCCTTTTCGCCCCCCCCCCCGAATCAAGGGGGAAAAAAAACGAAAAAAACCCAAACCCCCCTCCCCCCCTCCCCCCCCCCCGAACACGGGGGGTGGGCCGGGCGCGGGGGGGGGGGGGGAGGGAGAGTTGGTTCTGTCCTTCAAAAAAAACAAAAAAAATTATAATATTTTTTTTAAATTTGTTTTTTGTTTTTTTTTTTTTTTCTGTCCTGGGGGGCCCCCAAAATGGTTGATTGAAGGGGGGAGTTGGTGGGGTCCACAATAGGGTAGGGTTTTGTGAAGGGGGAAAAAAAAAGAAGTGTTTATGTTTTGGGGGGGTGGTGTTTGGGGGTGGGGGGGGGTGGTGGTGTGGGGCCCGTGTTTGGGGGGTCGTTAAGGGGGGGGGGGGGGGGGGGGGTTTTAAAAGAGGGAATAATTTTTTGGGGGGGGGTGGTGGTGGGGGGGAGGAGGTGGTTTTTTGGTTGGGGGGGGGGGTGGGTGGGGGGGGGGGGAAGTTGGGGGGGGGGGGGGGGGGGGGTGGATTTTGAGGGGGGGGGGGGGATTTTATTTTGGGGGGGGGGGGTTTCCCTATTTTTAAGTTTTTTAGGGGTTGTTGTTTTTATTTTTTTTTTTTTAAAGGGCCCCTCTAAAACCCCGCGGGTTGGTGGGGGGGGTTGGAAAGTTTTAAGAGATGGTTTTAAAGTAGGGGGATATTAAAAAATTTAATTGTTTTTTTGTTTTTTTTTTGATTTTGTTTTTTTTTTTATCTTTTTTAAATATAAAATGAAAAATTTATTAAAAAGGTTTAGGAAAGGGAAAAAGGATGTTTTTTTAAGAAATTTAAAGATGGAATGTAATGTTATATTTTATTAAAAAAAGTTAAGATATATTTTATATTTTATTTTATTTAGTATTTTTTATAAACCCCTCCTTCCGGGGGCTTTTAGAGGGTTTTTAAGGGTTTTTTTTTTTTTTTTTTTTTTTAAATTTTAATAATTTTAATAAAATTTTTTTTTTTTTTTATAATTTTTATAAATAATTTAATTTTTTTTTTTTTTATAAAAATTAATAAAGTATATTTAATTCTTATTATTTTTTTTTTTTTTATTTTTTTTTATTGTGTAGAGGGGGGGGCCCCTCCCTTTTTTACTAGCGTCTCGCCCCTATTAAATGGCGCCCCCCCCTATCAGGGCGCCCCCCCCTATGTTGGTAAGGGCGGGGGGAGGAAGCTAACGAATTCTACCCGAAAATGGTAAAGAACCCGTATCTAGTGTCTTCGAGATTCTTGCGGAGATACTTGATGGTAGCAGGGCAAGCCTCCCTATATCTCTCCCTGTAGATTTAAAACATCGGACGGTTTCAATTCGTCGATTAGTGAGGTCTTTGAATAATTCCGCTATGGCGATAGCTGATTGGCTGGCTACCCTCTCTGCTTGCTACTAAAAATACGCCCATCATACTCAAATGTCTACTACCTATCGGCCAGCTGATCTTCCTATATCTGAAACGTATTAAATATAGCCTCGTTACCCTGCATGTAGGCCGATGTAGCACCACCTCGCTGTCCTCGTGTAGCACCACCTCGCTGTCCTCTTGTAGCCTGTCCAGCCTGCCCACCTCGCCGCTCTCCTCGTGTAATGCCTAGTCGTCGGGGTGGCTGCTGCAGCGGTCGCAAACCCCCCGCTGTGACGCTTACAGTGTAGAGGTAGGTGTAGAGGTAGGTGTAGAGGGTAGGTGTAGAGGTAGGTCTGATCCACCTCCTCCTTCATTCCCTAAGGTCCCCCCTCCCCCCTCTCCCCCCTCCCTCCCCCTCCCCCTGTCCCCCCTTCCTCGCCGTCTTTCCCATTTGTTGAGTTGTGCGGGGTGTCCGCGGGGGGGGGGGGGGGAGGGGGGTTGGTTTTGTGGGTATAGGGGGGGGGGGGGGGGGGGGGGGGGTTGGTTTTTTTTTTTTGCTCCCCTAAGTTTTCCAGCTTTGGGGGCGTAGGCTCTAGGTTGGGGTTCTTTTCCTTTTCCGTTTAGGTTAGTTTCCCTCGGCCCCCCCGCGCCCCCTATCCGGGTTTGGGCCCCTAGTGGCTGGGGGGGTCTACCCCTTGTTAGTAGGGGGTTTACCCTACCCCCTCCCCTTTTAATAAAAAAGAGGGATCAAAAGATAGATTGAGGATTTGAAGTTCTTTTTCGGTTCCCCTTTTGGGTGGTCCCGGGGGCCCCCCCGCGTTTAGGACGAAAAAGGAGAAAATAGGTTGATTTTTTTTAGAAAGAGGTGGGTTAGGTTGGTTTA